CACAGAACCCCCATGCCTTGAAGAGACTCACTAGTACGAGCCTCCCTCCGCCTTGCGTACACTCCCTCGCCCTGGCTGTGCCATGCGCTGAGTACGCCTGCTCTCCCTTCCCCACTTGGAGTCTCATAAACAGCCCTCCCCTTGGCTAAGAGGCCAGCCAATCACAGAGGAGGAGGGCTTTTAGTGGGAGGATTCACCCTGTGTTTCAAAAAAGGAAGAGAAGGACAGGCAGAGAGATCTTCAGTCTTCTCTGCCAAAGGAGTCCCAAAAACCCTCATAAATATATGTTTTCTGATGATCTTTGGCAATCCCTCTGAAACCCCCACATGACCCCCCAGGAGTCCAAACCCCCACATTGTTCCTGTTGATGCAACCTAGAATTGCATTGGCTTTTTATATTGTCCCATCATACTGTTAACTCATGTTCAGCTTGTGGTCTACTGTGTTATGCGTATTGTGTTGTTGAGATATTAATCATTGACCTGACTAGTGTCACTATTACTTGAAGTATTTTTGAGTACCCTGGCAGTGGGGAAAGGCTTCTTGATCTTCACAGGAAAATGCCTTGTGTTACTGTTTCCTGACATGCTACACACATTGTTGTAATTATTACTCATGGCCAAGTACAGTATAATTGTCTTCCAAGGGTAGAGTCTGGGCACTGAACTATTCTTGATCCACATGGTCTTTCACCCCTGTAAACACCCCGGCCTCATGAGTGTCTCTTGGCCAGTTCATCACATCTCCTTTTGATTCCCAGCTAGCAACAAACTACATTCAAATAATGCCCTCCACCATTCATATGTTATCTATTCATCTTGGCTTTAGGCAACATCTGCCTTATCTTTGTAACGTAACAATTTTCATTAAACCTGAATTTGTCACCTCACTGCCATATCCACAAGTTTTATATTTCTATGGCTATTCACACACACCTATAGAGCCTATGAAGGTCCACTCCTAGGCATGTTCATGCTTCTGAAGATGCCCATGCTGCCCATTTTCTTCTCTCAGTCTCTAAGGTGCTACAAGCTCCCTTTACATATTGAACTTGAAGGATAAGAGTGTAGTTAGGAGTGTAGGTTGAAATTAAGAAAAGAAAACAGTTTGAAGAGATTCTGTGCAAAAGAGAACTTGGGAATAATGAATTACCTGTAATTAGTTTTGCTCCCAATAATGATGTAACTATGTTATATTACCATTGTGATTTAAGAGAAAAAATTCTTTTGTCATGCAAGTATTACATTTTGATGTAGGAAGAGACAAGAACAGAAATGAAGCAGCAGGTCAGGGAAAGGAATAAGAAGTTTCAGATTCTCATATTTTTGTCTCCTCATGTTTACTAGAGGTGTGTGAAATGCCAAAAATCAGTTTCATTTCTAATTATGAAATTTGGATTTCATAATTAGGAGAGTATGTTACATAGCAAGTTTTGTCAAGTTTCCAGAAAAGGAAAAAACAGAGGGCAGAAATATAATACTAGTCCCTGGCACACTGGGGATTGAAGAAGCAAGGAGATCTGGCCTCCCATACCAGATCACTTGAAAAGCACTAGCAGAGTATTCTTGGCGATCCACCTCACTCTGCATATTGTTGGGGGGGGGGGGGTTATTATTGCCATCTGGCAGACAGTACATGATGACAAAAGACAAGAACAAACTAACTGAAAGTTAGCTTTTATCCTAGAGCTGTGATTTTTTGACCTTCAAGGTTTTGCATTGATGTGGTATTGGGTGCTGGGTGGTGGTGGTTGGAGTGTGGAGAGATAGGTGTGTTGTTTTTGTGATGTGTGCTGGAGACAGGCCCGTAGCCAGGATTTCATTTCGGGGGGGGGGGGGCTAAGTTTGTTTCGGGGGGGGGCTGAGTCCACGCGGGGGAGGGTCTACCCTAGCAAAATTTTTGTATTGTTACCCCAATACCCCCATGCATATGGGATATATTGAGTAGGGTGATCAGATCATGATATGAATAAACATAACAGTTTAAATAATGCAACAGTAAGGGCTTTTTGCGAACCACCATGAGAATTTCGGGGGGGGGGGCTGAAGCCCCCCAAGCCCCCCCCCCCCCTGGCTACATGCCTGGCTGGAGAAAGCATTTAATTTTGTTGGACAATGTACAGTGACAATAAAGTCATTCTATTCTTTTAAAGGATTGTTGGAGTTCTTGACCAGCACATTTGTAGGGCAAAAAATTGGGGAAGGCTTGTCATCCTGATGTTGCAGAATGTTGCAATGTTACAGTGCAGGAAATTAGACAATGACAACAAAGCTATTATATGTATTAAAGCACAGATCAACACTGTGGGCCTCAAAAAGTGATGTACAGATATCTCTTTGGTAGTGGTAACATTATTCATCCCTCCTTCCTCTCTGGGTTTTTTTTTTTTAAAGACTAGATTATCCATGGGAAGAGGTAAAGTTTGTGATTTACTAATTCGGGGTTTCCTTGTATTCTTTCTGGTAGGCAATTACTATCTTGAGTTATCAGAAAGTATTGTGGTTAAGAGAAATTATGTCATTACTGCTCAATCTGCAGCATTCATCTAGCTTCCGGGTGCTGCAGTATCAGGAAGAAACTTTTGCTTGGGGGAAGTAATCATATTAAAGAGGTATCATTACTAGACTTTAACTACTGTTGATTGCTTTAGAGTATTGTCATCTAAAGTTTTAATGTGCCTGATTTTTGTGTATATTCTCTCCCTTCTTTCCCATCTCAAGAAGGGAAGTCCTCAAATATTTGAAACCATTATGTAACCTCGGCCAGCAAATGATTATATAGGATTTAAATAGGTTTTTAAAAATTATTTGGCAATTGCTTATCCAAAATCAGCGGGTGTGAGGGGAGCGCTGATATTATTAGCAGTTTAATCTCTAATACTGTGTGCCTCATGTTGCAGAAATGAACAACAAGGAAAGCTTTGATGTGAGTGAGTCATTCATGGAATGTGTAGTCATGATTTAGTAACTGTTTCAGGCCCAGAGATAATAAGATTTAAATTCTGTAGTATTTTATAATAGTTTAAAAACTGGGTCATTTCATCATACAGAGAAAGAGAGGCTAAAAACCAAATTAACGGATTAACGGATAGAACTGGATTGGAGAACTTGTGTCCCTCCCATTGTTGGTGAACATTTGACTCATTGGAGCACTTGGGTTCCAATAGTTCCTAACTGACTGGGGTGATGGGAGCTGCTTCTCATCACCTCTGTCAGGTAGGAACCATTGGGGCAAAGCCCACACTTTGCCATTCCCGGGAAAGATTATTAATACCAAAATACCAGATGGTGATAGTGATGATAGCTATATCATCATCCTGTTTTTCCCCAAAAATAGGGGCCCAAAGCAACTCACAACTTTTAAATGATATAATTAGAACATATAAAGAGTTAATATTAAAATAAAATTAAACTTGCTACAATTAATGTAACAGCTCACAATTTTTGTCTCGTAAAAACATCAAAAAGAAAATTGCACTCATCAGTTGTGGAAATGCTTTGGCTTCTAGGATATTTTAAAGTAGTAATCATTGTTCTGTGAAAAATTATTTCTATTTCAGCTTTTAGTGTCCAAAATATTTTAATTCAACGGTTTTAAAATCTCATAGCCTTATTCATTATCTGTGTCATTTGAAGTTATCCACGTAGAATAAATATCTATTATCATTATTATTATTATTTGTTGTTCATTCGTTCAGTCATCTCTGACTCTTCGTGACCTCATGGACCAGCTCACACCACAGCTCCCTGTCGGCTGTCACCACACCCAGTTCCTTCAAGGTCAGTCCAGTCACTTCAAGGATGCCATCCATCCATCTTGCCCTTGGTCGGCCCCTCTTCCTTTTACCTTCTACTTTCCCCAGCATAATTGTCTTCTCTAGGCTTTGCTGCCTCCTCATGATGTGGCCAAAGTACTTCAACTTTGTCTCTAGTATCCTTCCCTCCAGTGAGAAGTCGGGCTTTATTTCTTGGAGGATGGACTGGTTGGATCTTCTCGCAGTCCAAGGCACTCTCAGAACGTTCCTCCAACACCACAGCTCAAAAGCATTGATCTTCCTTCGCTCAGCCTTCCCTAGAGTCCAGCTCTCACATCCGTAGGTGACTACAGGGAATACCATGGATTTGACTAGGCGGATCTTTGTTGCCAGTGTGATGTCTCTGCTCTTTACTATTTTATCGAGATTGGAACTTGCTCTTATTATTATTATTCCACTTTATATCTCTAAAAAGAGACCCATTCTGAGTATGCTAACATTCACTTGGCATATACTTTCTCTAAATTCTTATCAATATATAAAAGATTTTTGTGTGTGTCAGAAGCGACTTGAGAAACTGCAAGTTGCTTCTGGTGTCTGCAAGGACGTTGCCCAAGGGATGCCCGGATGTTTTTCTGTCCTATGGGAGACTTCTCTCATGTCCCTGCATGAGAAGCTAGAGCTGACAGATGGGAGCTGACAGATGGGAGCTCACCCCACTGACAGATGAGAGCTCACCCCACTCCCCGGATTCGAACTGCTGACCTTTTGGTCTTCAGTCTTGCTGGCACAAGGGTTTAACCCATTGCACCACTGGGAATCCATTCTAAAAGAAATTAAATGACTACATAACATTTGATGTAAGGTTTGAATTATGGAATGGGAGGATGTTTAACTAAAGCTTCTGTGCTCTTCTTCTTTCAGTTTTGGCCCAAATTATATCTCCTGCTATAGATTTTTAAAACACTATCAAATGGGGGCAGTGTGAAAGGTGAGGTGGGCAGGATTCCTTTTTCCCAAGTCTGAGAATAGGTTTGGCAACATGTATGTAAACAGTCTTTGCATAAAGAATTGGAAAACCTATGATTAAAACTGTTTGCACCTTCCTAGAAGTGATTCAGAACTACCTATAAGAGCTATATATCATCCCCAAGGGAGTATGAAAATGCCAAGGTATTTTAGAACATTACTTTTCAGCTACTTGTATTTACATGTTTCCCTTTTTATGCTGGCTCTGGTTAAACAGAACACTTGAGGCCGGCAGCCAGGCTCACCCTGAAGATGGAGTGAAGCACCTTCATGTGCCAAGGTATTTGGCCCTGACTCAGAGGGTAAGATTACTGATTATTTGTATTCAGCCTTTCCTGCTGTGGTCAAATGTGCTGTAAGAAGGGAACCGTTTTGAAAGCCAAGCATTTTCAAATACTTTTTCCTTTTATGGAATAGAATTCCTGGAACATCACTTCCTGGATATTGTATTTTCTAAACTCCTCAGTGATACAAGACATTTCCTTGCACCCAGCAATGAGATGTAAGCCTAAAGGCCCTCTATTTTAAGCAATGAAATCCTGGAACATGCAAGAACTAAACAAAACCTATTTATATTTGGTTTAATAATATTATGGGAGCGGAATATAATAGGCAATGGATTTTATTTTTTAAATTAATTTACAACATGTATCATCTGAGTCAGTGTCTTATAATTTCTGAAATATGCCATAGACAACACAGAATGCTTCAATGCTTGGATTTTATGCCCAATCAACTCCAAGGGACTTCCTCTTTGGATTACTACCTCAACAAAATGTGCATTGCAACTGTATAACAAAACAGCATTTTTTAAAAAAGCATTTTTTTCAAGGAACATCAAAGAATTTCATCATACAATAGCCAAAGGATATGATTTTTTTTATCACACTAGTGCTATCCTGTCATCTTACCTATTCCCTGTCATTCTAGACTAGTAATTTCTTTTCACAGTATACAATTACAGCATTTCAATGACACCTTAAAATATGTGACTGCAGCCTAGGGGATCCTCACAAAATTACAGGATTCCATCGGATTAAACAGTTACTATTAAAGTGGGATCAAAGTGCTATACATGTGGTGTAAAAGAGAACATTACTTTTAAGAGACCATAGAAATACTCTTCAACATATTTTCTCTGTATTGTGAGAATATACTTCCCTGTGCATTTGGTTGAGAGTGGGAAGGGAAGAAAGCCCTCAGACATTCAATTATACCCTTGGTAAAAGATATCTGCATAGAATAATCACCTCTTTCTTGTACGGCACCTATTTTCTAGCTCCACTTCAACTGGGTTTTGTGTCTTATTTTAGCATTGAAAAAGTCTTAGACTTTTTTTGAATGATCTTTGTTGGCAGTCTAGCTCTTTTGATTCACTCAGTACCCTTCAGTATCATTGGCCATAGTGACTTTCTGGAGCAGATCTTTGAGCTGAGTGTGGGCAGTGCTTCATTACATCTGAATTATTGTTTCCATAAAGCAGTATTAGGAGAGTTCTGCTTGTCCTTAAGGCATCTATGAGTTGAGGTCACACACATTTCTCTCAGGCTATTTAGCATTTACATCAATCAATTGAACAAGGTCATAAAGCAATCCAGAGCATATTGTCATCAGCATATTGATGATGTCTACCTTTATTGCTCCTTTTCCGACCAAGATATACTTGTAGATGTGCTAGACCACAGCCTGACTGATTATAACAGGCATGATGAAAGGGAATCTATTAGTAGGGAGAACCTTAGCCTAGAATAATACAGTTTAACATGTCCTGGAGAGGAGTAAAATCCTTCTGAAGTACTAGGTTTATAGATTGAGAATGCTCCGACATGCACTATGCATTTGGAGGCTCAAATGCCATCTGGTTCAGCACTTCTTTATCAGATCAGGTTAATATCCAAGTTAAAACTTTGGACCTCTTCACACAGGGCAAAAAATGCCCCTATTTGCCACTTTATTTCGCTGTTTGGACAGGACCTGTTGTGTGCCATCACACGACACATGGCAGGCCTCATCAACTTTCTTCCTAATGAGAAGGCAAAGCACCAAAAGGCGCTTCATCCACAACTTCGGGGAGGAAAGTGTTGTTCGGGTAGCTCCGATGCATCTACCCACACTTTCCTCCCCCAATTCCCATGTGATAGGAAAAAGGGCAGTGGGGCAATGCATGTTGCTGCCTTTTTATTTATTTATTTATTTTATTTATTTACGGCACTTGTAGACCGCCGTTCTCAGCCCTAGGGCGACTCACGGCGGTGTACAACATATAAAAACAATTTACAATAAAGGCAATAACACAAACAACAGTAATAACATCACTCTCAATAATACAATTACACTAAATCATTCGCGACGTCTCATCATAGAATCACAATCCAATCTCGTTTTCCATATTCCGTTCCAATCATCATTGCCAATTGTTGTAGCACTTAGTCAAACGCCTTCTCAAACAACCACGTCTTTAGTCTCTTGCGGAATGTCCTAAGGGAGGGCGCCTGTCTGATGTCTACAGGGAGGGTGTTCCACAGCCGGGGGGCCACCACCGAGAAGGCCCTATCCCTCGTCCCCGCCAGGCGTGCCTGTGAGGCAGGCGGGATCGAGAGAAGGGCCTCCCCAGACGATCTCAAGGTCCTCGTGGGCTCATAGGCCGAGATGCGGTCAGAAAGGTATTTTGGGCCGGAACCGTTTAGGGCTTTGTAGGCCAGCACCAGCACCTTGAATTGGGCCCGGTAGCAGATCGGCAGCCAATGGAGCTGGAACAACAAGGGGGTTGTGTGCTCCCTGCGTCCCGCTCCTGTTAGTAACATGGCTGCCGCGCGCTGGACTAGCTGGAGCTTCCGGGCCATCTTCAAGGGCAGCCCCACGTAGAGAGCGTTGCAGTAGTCAAGGCGGGATGTGACCAGAGCGTGTACTACCGTGGCCAAGTCAGACTTCCCGAGGTACGGGCGCAGCTGGCGCACGAGCCTTAGCTGTGCAAATGCTTCCCTGGTCACCGCTGAAACCTGGGGATCCAGGCTCAACGATGAATCCAGAATCACACCCAAGCTGTGAACCTGCACCTTCAAGGGGAGTGCGACCCCATCCAGCACAGGCTGTAACCCTATACCCTGTTCGGCCTTGCGACTGACCAGGAGTACCTCTGTCTTGTCTGGATTTAATTTCAATTTGTTCGCCCTCATCCAGACCATTACAGCGGCCAGGCACCGGTTCAGGACCTCGACAGCCTCCTTAGTAGCAGGTGGAAAGGAGTGACAGAGTTGGAGTGGAAAGGAGTGACTTTTCTGCCATCTGATGAGGGGAAGGAAAGGGTGCCAGTGCATCCTCTCTGTGACGATGTGTAACTTTTATTCTCATGTTTATGTGTTGTTTAGACAGTGGTTGATAAATGGTAGGTATGAAGGAATATATTTTGTTGGAGATGGTGGCTTGGCATTAGCTGGGTTGCCATAGCAACAGGGGCGGAGCCAACTGCCTCTTCACAGGGCAGCTGTTTTGAAAAATCAGTCAGTAAGCCGGTGTGCTATAGGGAAGACTGAATCTCTGGGTGGAGATTCAGGGAATTAATTGATGACCAAAAGGGTTACAGAAAAGGACCCAGTAGTGATAGAACTACAGGGGGTTATTGATTCTGAGTTGAGAATCAAGGTTTGGCTGGGAGCCAATTCTGTTAATAAGCCTTTTAGCTTATTTGTTTTATTGGGACAGTTGTCCAGAAGAGTTACATCTGCTTATAGAAACCTCTTGAAGTCTGTGCCTGAGATTACTCATGAAACCTTATTAATGTAACCAGTCAAGATTTGTGCCTCTTGTGAAGAAACAGTTAAACATGTTATACTCCTGTTTAAAATAAACTTGTTACTGTTTTCCTTAAGCCTTGCCTGATACAGTTTCTCTCAAGGCAATCAGCCTACATAAGAAGTAAGGTCAAGCCAGGGACAGTGGGCGCTACGCTATCAAATGAATAAAGCCTTCTGTAACTAATAGTCCCTTTATAAAATAACTCCTAAGCTGATATTGATCGTTTTCCAGCTTTCCTCACACATTAGGTGGCAGTAAGCTTTTAACCACACTTCTTCACAAATTGGTGGCATTCGGTGACATTAAAACAGTCTTCTTTACACTCTCCCACCCCTTCATGTAATGAGGGAAGGAGGGAGGACGCGTGGGGCACCACAAGCTGCCCCATTTGCCTTCCTTTTCGCTGGCAATTGCTAGCACAATGACACAACCCAAAAGGGCCATGAGAAGAGATCCTTTATTTGCAGGTGGGAAGAACTTGCATCAGTAATCCCTGCTCTAAACTAATATAATGCCTTGTACAAGGAACCATCTTTTGGGGATGTCCCAAACATTTCAGAAAAAGTTCTAAATAGTAGACTTGCATGGCCCTTTTTCTCTAGTCATTGGCTTCCAATTTATTTCCAAACTATTTCAAAATTCTGTCATTTTACCTACAAAAGGTCTATGCAACTTTGGACTTTGAAATCTGGTGAAAAGTATTGCATACCAGGCATGGGCAATCTTCATCTCTCCAGGTCAGCTTACCGGCTGTCAGGCATGTAGCGGGGGGGGGGGGGGCTTGAGGGGCTTCATGCCCCCCCCCCGAAATTCTCATGGTGGTTCGCGCAAAGGCCTTACTGGTGCATTATTTAAACTGTTATGTTTATTCATATCATGATCTGATCACCATACTCAATATATCCCATATGCATGGGGGTATTGGGGTAACAATACAAAAGGTTTGCTAGCATAGACCCTCTTTCACTCAGACTCAGCCCCCCCCCCCCCCGAAACAAACTCAGCCTCCCCGATTTGAAATCCTGGCTATGGGCCTGCCGGCTGTTAGGATTTGCGGGAGTTGAAGCCCAAAATACTTGGAGGGTCGAAGTTTGCCCATGTGTGCTATATACTAATGTATAAATCTAGAACTTGGGCAAAAAAAATCTGCCACAAAACCTGGGTTGATTTATCCATGGGTCAATGTTAGTACTGTACTTTAACTTATCAACAAAACAAGCCACACTCTAATCTGGATAGAGTGGTGAAAGGCAAGATTCTTAATCTGTCCTGGGAGAACCTAAAAGCGACACTGACCCCTCTCTACTCCCTCTACCATGGTGCCACTTCTGGCCTTTCTGAATGTTTGGGCAGGAAAATGGCAACAATGGTGGCCATGGATGGCTGGTCCCTTGAGGTGGCACTGACGCTTTGCCCTATCTGAAGAATGACCCTCAATTTATCTATGTGTCATATCAAAACTCATGATTTTGTCCCAGAAACCTGCCCTCAATTGATACATGAGTATATATGGCATGCTCTCATTTCTTTTAATGGGTGCCTTTTTGTCCTCTAACTGCAGCCCTCCTCAGAGTTCCTTGTCAATCCAAACTTTGGGATGTGGCTCTGAGGGCCCTCTGGTTAAGAAGTCTCTTCCTAGAATGTCTTGCCTAGTGCCCACACTGTTATCCTTTTGATGCCAGGCTAAGGTGGTTTTCTTTTCTTGTGCTTTTTATCTTACCATCCACTGAATGTTGTTAGATTATCTATATTTAGGGCCGGGCTTTAGCACAGCTAGTAAATCACCAGCGGACATAAGATCTACCAACCGAAACATTGCCAGTTTGAAGTCCCGGTTTGGCATGAGCACCCAACTGTCAGTCCAGCTCACTGTTTATCTAAGCAGTTCAAAAACAGCTAGAGCTGTAAGTAGAGAAAATAGGTACTGCAAAGAAGTGGGGGAAGTATTTTACGACATCATAAAAAAAGATAAAAAAATACTCAGCAACCAAAAGGAAAGAGGAAGTTCTGATGGCTCTTCAGCATAGCGGATGGAGCAACAGCACCTCCCGTGGCTGGATTCGAGCACAACCTCCAAGGCACCAAAAAGCTGACCCTCAACACAACATACCTCCTTTCTCTTTGTTTCTGTCAAAAAGGCATTGAATGTTTGCCGGGTTTGTATACTGTGATCCACCCTGAGTCCCCTTGGGGAAATAGGGCAGAATATAAATAAAGTATCATTATTATTATTATTTCTTAAGAATGTAGAAACTTAGCAGTGATTTTGAATTTTGATCAGTTGTGCTATCTAACTAGAGCTAAATATATATACACATTATTTCTATGGGCCCACTTTCAAATGTTCGAGTGAAGCTGTAGTTATTTCTGCAAACATAGGTTTATATGGTTATTCATTTGTGCGAGATTTACAAAAAGGAATAGGTTAGAAGTTAGGCAACATTACATCAAAATTCTCGCATTTCTTTCTGTTCTGTAATTCGAAATCCACCTTCAAGTATATTTAATGGTGGGCTTTCAATGCAAGTCTTCAAATGTGCAAAGAAACACCAAAGGTTGTCTAGGAGTGAAAGCTTACTCTTAAATGTCTTGATTATCTGAACATTTTGTGTATGCTAGACATTGTAAGAAAAGAAAAAGGTGTTGAGACCAAACCAATGCAGTGTTTTTGAGTACTTATTCTACTATTAGCATATCACAACCTAATCCATAAAATTAATATATGGAGGTAATATTATCTGTTTAAAATTTTATAGCACAAGAAATGCTGAGAAAACACTGCAGTTTAAGCAATTGAAGTACAGTTTTTCTGTATTTAGCATAGCTTAAAATGACTATTTTATGAACAGATAGTAATGACACTTAGATGTAAATCAAATGACTCAAGGTCCTGAGTATTCTTTATACATATAACTTCTGCATTGATTCCAGTGGGAAAAAATTAGATCCCAGACTTTGTTGCACGAAGTTGGGATCCCAGGCACCGTGCCAGGAAGTTCTTAAATTGACCATAGAAACCACAGAGCACGGCATGTTTTCCCAAAAATGAAACTGATTTTGTCATTCGAAGCAAAAAAGACGAGAATGTGTATATTACAAACAAAAAATTACTTATTCTCTGATTTATTATTATTATTATTACTATTATCACAATTTACTATGGCATAATCATGTCATGCAACAGTAACGGAGTGGCAAAGTGTGGAGTGGGGGAGAAGCAGAGCTATAGCAGGTTTCATTTTCTGGTATGGGTTGCTTCTCTTTCACAGGGACTCTGGTGATCTGGCAAGGTGAAATAGCCAGTGAGAACTGCCTACCAATAAGTGTAAACCTCATTTGAATTCATTGGTTGGTGGGCTATCAAAGCTTGGCTAGAGTACCCAGAACAGGGCGTCTTCATTCTGATTTGTTGGCTGGGTATTTATTTATGGGCTACAACTAGGGACCACACAATTCTCTCCAAGCTTTGTACCTCCCTCCTCTTTTCTTTTGTTTGGTCACATGTATGCACATGTTATATTTTGCTGTCACAACTTTGTGGGGCAGTTGGAATGGCATTGAGGACTTCTGGGGTAACAAATACACAACAAACACAATTCAGCAATATATTGCCATCGAATCCCCAAAAAGTGCTAGACTCAGGATGTGTCCCAAACTGAAGGAAGACTCTTAATTACCAGTTAAAGTTTTAGTGATTAACATAAAAATTATACAGTAACTGCTGTGCATGTGCTTACATCTGCTTTAACCCTTCTTTGCCCAAGTCAGTAATAAGATAGTACTAGTATCAGAAATGTGGAAAGTGCACATCCATAGCAAACCGATGACTGTAATATATACATATATGTAATTATTTCTACGCGTAAATCTATTTCCATGCTAACTATACATTGTTGAAGGGTTTCATGTCTGAAATCACTGGAGTGTTGTGTGGTTTCCAGGCTGTATGGCTGTGTTCTAGCAGCATTTTCTCCTGATGTTTCACCTCCATCTGTATTCAGATCCTCTAAATATACATAATCATGAATAAATGTTACTTGTAAATGCCGTGATTTGCAATTTATCCCATTGTCACAACTACTTCTCTCCTTTTCATAAGACCTTGCAAAGCACTGTTGTAATGAAATGTAACAAAATTGGCAAAGGGAGCACTCTTAAATTCTCCAGTGAAGCTTTCTACCCAATAATTCAAGGAATGTTGAAAAAAGGTTTTGCTTAATGTCCTTGCTATGTTACATTAGACCTTGAAAGCCCTAGTTAATAAAACACAAGGAGAAACACAAGTTGTTGCTTTAAACTTTATTGCTGCTTGTTATTATAAAGTGATCCCAATGTTAATAGCCTGGACTTTAAATGGATTTGATTTGTATTTTTGGCATCCACTGTAGTCTTGGGATCACAAGGCCCCACAGCGCTTATCTTCAGAGGTTAACGTGAAACAGGCATTTTCATCAGCGCATGGTCTTATTAGTCCACATTGCAGTCCAGCGGGTCCTTTGCCTCCCACCATGCCAACCCTTCCAGAAGATGCTGAACAGCCAGCTGGGGTGCAGCATGCCATTTTGCCTTCTTCAGTCAAAGTAAGCAGCTTTTATTAATCTTGTGTCTATCTGTCTGTCTGTGTCTCCAAATTGCCTGTCTACCTAATGTGACCCCATCCGTTTTATAGGGCTTTCTTAGGCAAGTAATCTTCAGAAATGGCTTGCCATTGATGTCCTTTGCATGCAGCACTTGATATTCCTAGGTGATGGTTGGTTTCCCATCCAAGTACCTGGTCTGATTTGGCTTTCAAGAACCACAGTACACATGGAATTAAAAAAAGAATTCTGCCAAACCTTTGTATTGGATACATATATTTCAATATACTTGCATTTTGGAAATTATATTCAGACGTTATAGCTCATACTTGTCGAATTTCCTGCATTGTAACATCATGACATTCTGCAACATCAGGATGAAATATTTGCATGACAGAAAGAACCCTTCCCAAATCTTTTGCCCTCCAAATGTGCTGGTCAAGACCTCCAGCAATCCTTCTTTTAAAAAATTGAATAACTTTATTGTCATTGTACATTGTACAACACAATTAAATGCTTTCCCCAGTACGCACCACAAAAAAACAACACACATGTCCTTCCATACTCCAATCACCACTGCACAGCCCCTAATACCACATCAATGTGAAACCATAGAGTTCAATATAGTTACAGCTCTAGGATAAAAGCTATATCTCAGTCTGTTTGTCCTTGTCTTTGTCACCCTGTATCATCTGCCAAATGGCAGTAATTAAAAAAAAGAATATGCTGGGTAAGATGGATTCTTAAGAATGCTCTGAGCTTTCTTCAGGCTGCAGGACCTATAAAGTTTTTTTCCAAAGAGGGGAGAGGACAACCAATGATTCTCTGTACAGTAGTGGTAACTTTGGAGCACCTTCCAATCTGCCGCTGTGCAGTTACCAAACCATGCGCAGATACAGTAGTTTAGGACACTCTCTACAGCACAGTGATAAAAAGTCACCAGCAGTTTTTCATTCAGTTTTTGGTTCCTTAGAAGTCTCAGATAGTACAATCTTTGCAGTGCTGTCTTAACCAACACTGCCATATAAATACCCCAGGTCAGATCCTCTTTAAAAGTGACGCCCAGGAACTTAAAACTGGTCACCTGTTCCACTTGGTCCCCATTTATGACCAAGGGCTGTATTTCCAGTATGTTCTTTCTGTAGTCCACTATCAGCTCCTTGGTCAGATGTTAAGAACCAGATTATTGTCCCTGCACCACAAGAGCAGCCGATCCACCTCATCCCAATAGGCAGGCTCATCCCCTTCAGAGATAAGCCCCACCACTTGTATCATACACAAATTTGGTAATGATACTGCTATGATGGACAGGGGTGCAATCTTATATGTAAAGGGTATGCAGAGGACTCAACTCTGAGGAGTCCCAGTGTTGAGAGTGAGGTCTAAAGAGGAATGATTACCTAATCTAACCCTCTGGGAGTGTCCAGGGCTGTTAGAGAAATTCTGATCCATCACATCTAGGAAGCACTATAATGGAGAAGGCTGATCTGTGGCAGGTTTGATTATATGGTACTGAAAGGGGACCTAGTGACAAGGTATTACTGTTTGATGGTAGTGGCACATAAAACAGTATTTCATTGATGATAAAGCCGAGCCATCAGAGTCTTATCTGTCACTTCTGTACTATTGAACATAATAAGGAATAGGTACTTTTTCCTCAGCTCCACTCAAAGTGGCCCTCAGTTTTCTGAACTTGCAATTAGGAAGTTATAGTTGAGGAAATTCTGCAATCTGTTTCCCTTTCAGCCAGTCCAGGCCCTGTTGTAAACACCTCTGAACTGCTCATTGCTACTTTATATGCTTCATAATCAAACAGATTGCACAGCACTGGAAGTATTTTGTAAAGAGTTAACGCTACTTAAAGTAATCTGCGAACACCCCCTCAAATGAACAAAAATAAAATAAAAGTAGTTACGGACTTTAGAATTGGGTTGTACGAACTTTCTTTTTTAGCATCCATCTGCTCTCCACAGCAAACCCCGTATTCAGTTTCTAGTAATATTAACAATTTTGACATGCTTTATGTAGAGAAATGACTGTACCAGCTTGGTGACACTTTGACACTGGATTTCCTACTCCTGTGGTATCACCTTAAAAAGTAATTTTGAACATTGGTGTACACAGGTTAGACAAGAATGTTTGCAAAGAGAACTTTATACAAATATGCAGTACTATATAAATATTTCCAGTGATCTACAATCCTTTGGGTTTGCCTCTTCAGATTTATTACATCAGCCGGCTTTAAAAACTAAAAAGATCATCATGTTCTTTGAGATGTGTTGAAAACTTAAAAATTAATGTATACCTGGCACATTCAATTTTGCTTTTATCATTGTCTTCTAAACCTAGGACATAATATTCTACACTCTGGATGAAAACATCCGCTGCTTTTCCTTTAACATCATAGGAAAATGTTGAACTGTACAATAATTTGTCATGCATTCTGACACAATTATACATTTGTGCTGAGGGCTAGTTTCCTGGTTCAAGATAAACAAGTACGTTATGTGTGATTTTAGTGAACAGCAGTCGGTTGGAAGGTATAAACACAAGACAAAGCAATCTTCATTTTGCTTTGTTTTACATGCATCTGTGTATGTCTCCATTTTCCAGGTATTAAATGGATAAAATAATTCACTGTGGGAAACTAGCATTGTGGGAATCTGAGTAAGGGCTAGTCTCTAACTGTTGTCCACTGCTTGTTTTGAAACATTTACACAGATGCAACTAAGAGTTTCCTGTTTCTCATACTATTGCATACTCCCACCTGGAAAACCTCCATCATCACTGCTTGATGAAGTTAGAAAGAGAGAGATGCTTTGATTGTGTTTGCCAATCCTCATATTACAAGGAAACAGGCACCTATCTCTTTCCCAGAAGAGGAATTGGAGAATGTTTCCTCATACTGGGATGCAATCAACTAAAGCACATTGGCTCAAAATGTGTGAATGTGCTTTGGATTATGGGAAAAACCCCTGGAAAATGCACATCAGATGCACTGGAAAAGTTTTATGACAATGTGGGAGTGCCACCACATCACCATTCCATGACCACTTTTTCCTACACAGAAATCTGCGTATCCAGAGAATTTTAAAATGACAAGAGATGAAGGTAGCTGAGAACTAGCTCTTCCTCACCAGCAGTCTCTATTTAACTATGCAGAAGCAAGTTCTACTTGCCAGCAAAATGTAGAATTGTGTATGGACACACAGTAGGCAAGAGAAAAAAAAAAGCTATGGTCAAAACTTTGCATTATGCTTCCCAGTAGGACTTGCTTCTGAGTAGTTAACTACAGTGTTAGCCTTGCAGTCATGTTATGCAAGTGTTGACAAATTTTGAGCTGCTGTGTTGACAGGGTTTTTGGAGGGAGCAAATTACTTAAATAGAAGACTATAATTGTATTATCGAAGGCTTTCATGGCTGGAATCACTAGGTTCTTGTAGGTTTTTTCGGGCTATAGGGCCATGTTCTAGAGACATTTCTCCTGACGTTTCGCCTGCATCTATGGCAAGCATCCTCAGAGGTAGTGAGGTCTGTTGGAAATAGGAAAATGGGTTTATATATCTGTGGAATGACTGGGATGGGGCAAAGAGCTCTCTGCTGAAGCTAGGTGTGAATGTTTCAGCTGACCACCTTCATTAGCATTTGAAGGCCTGGCTGAGCCTGGGAAAATGTTCTGTTGAGAGGTGTTAAGATGTGCCTGGTTGTTTCCTCTCTGTTGTTTTGCTGTAGTAATTTTAGAGTTTTTTAATACTGGTGGCCAGATTTTGTTCATTTTCATGGTCTCTTCTTTTCTGAGAGGAAACAACCAGACAAATCTTAACACCTCCCAACAGAACATTTTCCCAGGCTCAGCCAAGCCTTCAAATGCTAATGAAGGTGGTCAGCTGAACCATTCACACCTAGCTTCAGCAGAGAGCTCTTTGCCCCACCCCAGTCATTCCACAGATATATAAACCCATTTTCCTATTTCCAACAGACCTCACTACCTCTGAGGATGCTTGCCATAGATCCAGGCGAAACGTCAGGAGAAATGCCTCTAGAACATGGCCCTATAGCCCGAAAAAACCTACAAGAACCTAAGACTATAATTGTTTCTTTGCAACTTATCTCTAGTATACCTTTACCTTCCTATTAATGTTTTAAACTATATTTTTATTGCAATCTGTCCAGGAGTCGCCAGCTGATACAGGATCATGCAATACACCTTCTATAGTTCTTCCAGAATACAGAGTTACATCAGAGAGTAGATAACTACAGTGTTAGACTTGTTGACAAATTTTGAGCTGCAATGTTGACAGTGTTTTTGGAGGGAGCAAATTACTTAAATAGAAGACTTATGGCCAAGAAACATTAGTGTGTAGTCAATATAGCAGCAGCTTACTGGGTAATAATAATAATAATAATAATAATAATAATAATAATAATAATAATAATAATAACAACAACAACTTTATTTGTACCCTGCTACCATCTCCTCAAGGGACTCGGTGCAGCTTACCTGAGGCCAAGCCCACAGGACATCAATAAACAAAGCAATAACAATAATCAATACAAAACAGTTAAAATAAACTCAAAACAGAAAATACACAATAAGCAATAACAATAACATATCAAAACATACAGCATTTAAAAACCTATGGCCGGGCCAAATGTAATAATTCAAATTTAAGATAAAAAAAGTGCTGGGCATGAACAAGGTAAGGCAAATTAAAATAGGGGTTTCAGAGAAAAATGGGTAGGGCAACATTCTGCCCGCTCCTCACCCTCCCATCCTGCTGAATTAACTGAGTGCAAACCTGTTTGCCATTTTGAACTTTGTTTGCAGCAATGGAAATAAAATGAAGACAAAGAAGAAAGTGAAATGAAAAGGGCAATGTCAGAGAGAGAAATGAAAAGTGGGATGTCAGAGTATTAATAGGGCACTAAACAAACTGAGCTCTGGCACGACGGGTTTCAGAGCTAACTTTAAGAAATGGGCTTCAAAGTGGAATCCATGACATGCAAGTGCGGAGAAAAGCAAACCACAGACTACTTGCAGTCTGAGCCCTGCCACATGCACAATGGAGGACCTTCTTACAGAGACACCAGAGGCACTCCAAGTGGCCAGCTTCTGGTCAAAGGACATTTAGCATAATGCCAAGTTTTTAAGTTTGTTTGTGGTTTTTCTATACATTATAACTGTATTCTCAATTCACTTCTGACACAACAAATAAATTAAGAGTATTAATCAGGGCAGTCCCTGCCAAAGTGGGCCAGTTAGAAGGAATGGCATTCTAGATTTTTATGTTGAGCACAACAGTTGTTGAAATACTAGTTTATATGCTTTCTTGAAACCCATATCAATTTTCTCATCCACTTTGCAATCTCATGAGGTGGCCTCTTGTCCTGTGCCATAAATATCTGTTAGGTTTTAAAGCATCGCACATTTTTTTTCATTCTGTTTCCATAATAAGCATCTCTGAGGGGAAGTAATTTTAAAATGTATAATTTTTACCTCCCTGTCTAAACATTTATAATAGTTGCAAGATTAATAAGCTTTACTAAAGACTATGAACCTGATCTAGGTCCCAGTTGCACACAGCCCCCTTGTTTGTGTGCGTGTAGTTGATAGAAAATAAAGATGGAAATATGCATCTGCTGGTAGATCAAAAGGTCTTTCTTATTCATATACACAACATGGCCTGTACAATGCACATCTGACACACACAGCAGATCGAAGATAACAAGTACTACTCTACTTAAGTACATGGACTTTCTTCACTGAATCTCTATATATACTTCAGTACTGGCCTTATTCAACTTTTGCTAAAACGATTTGTTACACAAGTTAAGCTATGCAAATGCTAACAATAATCAAAGCAATATATTCAAAACATGGCATTTGGAGTACTTAATATAGCCTGGAGCAAGAATAATGAATAATTTGTGTTACTGGCAGCATTTATAATCTAGCTTCCTTGTCGTGGCTACTAGACCTCAATTTAGGAATTAGATTTCAGATACCTGTGTTCATTACAGAGCTACATATATGTATGTATGCATGTACACATATCCATACATAGACATGTGTATATATGCATGTGTAGATCAAGAATTAGATAAAGTTGTTTGTGGCAAATAGTGAGGTTCCATAGGGGCATATAGGATTTTAATTGTACAGAACCTGGGAAATCATTAGGCTTAGGTTTTCATGTAAGAATAGGGTGATAATTGTTTCTTTGCAACTATTCTCTGGTATACCTTTACCTTCCAATTAATGTTTTAAACTGTATTTTTATTGCACTCTGCCCAGGAGTCGCCAGCTGATACAGGAACATGCAATACACCTTCTATAGTTCTTCCAGAATACAGAGTTACATCAGAGACAGAAAGCGAGAAAAGTCTATCTTTCAGGTAACAGATAAACACACATTATCTCTGTTGTGTGATTAATGTGCATAATCATTTATAGGGTCATGTAACGCAATGGCAACTGCCTACATTCTCAGTCTAGGTGAGGAAAAAGAAAGGGTAAACATAAGCCAATAGAATTGCATTTAAATATTCAGGGGTAGCCATGTTGGCCTATATAGCAAACTAAAACAAAATTCGACTTCAGTATACTTAAGTATACCCGAAGATGCCAAACACTTGAAACTTTGAAAGCTAAAAACTTCAAAAAAAGAGGTGAGTTTTCTGAGCTGGAAATTTTCAGCAAGTAATGTTTCTTTGGGGTGCTGAGTTTCTTGGAGAAATTGTTTGAGGAAGGTGATCTAAGCCATAAGCAAAGCAGCAAGGAAATGTGAAACAAGTGGCTAGAGATAGCCGATTCAGGCTGTGGCAAGCTAGATAAGCAGTATATGAAATGTTGCTGTAGATTGACCCTCTTCCTTGGGAAGGGGAACTGCATAAACTTCAGTTTGCATGGTGAAAGCTTCCCTTTGCCATTTGGGTCAATAATACTCTGGCAGATAGTCTTCAAACACAAGCAGGCAGGCTTGTCAAAATGCTCACATCTTATCTTATATTTTGTCTTCTTAGCAGACAAATTTGAGGGCAAATCTTCTCGTCCTTTCTCGTCCTCCCCCGCTTCTCTGTGTCTCTCTTTTCAATCTCTCCCCAGCCCCACTACCCTCTACACCAGGGGTAGGGAACCTTTGGCCCTCCAGCTGTGGTGGACTTCAACTCCCACAATTCCTTGAGGCTCGGCATTCGCCCCAAAGGCTTACCTTGGCCCAATGCCGAGCCTCAAGGAATTGTGGGAGTTGAAGTCCACCACAGCTGGAGGGCCAAAGGTTCCCTACCCCTGCTCTACACTCACTTCCCTTAAAATTGCCCTGCTTATTGTGATCAAAGTTTCTTGAATCTCTGCTCACATATCTCTCCTTTGAAGTAAGGGTGGATGTTTTATTTTCCTTAATGGCAGTGCCCTCCTTACCACTCACACTCTTACAGATGTATATCAATCTAACTTTCAAGGAGTATTAGTTCTGCATTGTTAGCACATATAAGCATTATTATTATTATTATGATCAGTGAACGAGCCTCATACATAATTTTACAGAAAGTTACTGGCTTAGCAATGCATTTGTATAATTTCAATGGTTGTCCTAGATACTCGAAATGAGCAAAAGCATACTTGTTTTTCCATTGCCAGAACATAACAGCTTATACAACATGTGGCCATGTTTTGCAGGACTAGCTACATGAATATACTAAGCAAATATACTGAGTTGCAAGTATCATTGGGGTTTTTTTTTTTTAGAACAACAACTTAAAACTCTGGATTTAAAGTAGCAGTACTTGAATATTCTCAGGAATTTTAGCTAAATCCTACATTGGCCAAAAATAGTACACTATGTGAAAACAGACTTCAGTACAAGAACCTTTAATGGCTACATTGCTCTTCCAAAGGAACAACTGTATTCTCCGGCTCCTTGCCTGGTGGATCTTGTCTACCATATTTACTACCTTCTTTCCTATTTTCTTCCACATCCCTACAATGTCCACTGTTTGACTTGTTTCCATTTTGTTCCTTGCTTGCTTGATTTGCTTGCTTACTTTCCCAGGTAAAGTCACCAAGAAAGACTCTCAACGTTTTTTTTTTAAATGGTGGCAATTTTTAATTATTGAAATATTTTTATACCACCCTTTTTTTTTCTAAATCAAGGGTGGGAGTTCTGTGAGCCTCCAAATTTTGTTGGACCAAAATTCCAATTTTGGCCCTAACCAGCACTGCCAAAAATGGGGAATGCTAAAAGTTGTAGTCTCCCATCTCTCTTCTATTTTATTTTATTTTATTTTATTATTTTGTTGAGCTTCTACTCTGCCTTTATCTCAGCATGGAATTAAAGCTATAATTTACAATAATCAAAATAAAATGGTTTGGAATTGAGTCACTTCCTTATGTCCAGTGTCCATTTTAATATGTTTACAGAAGAGTACTTACCTTGTACAGAAATCCAGAACATTTCTAAATTAAGATTCTCCTAAGTGCATACTAAATCCTAAGGGTGTAGTTTTAATGTTTTGTGATGATGTATACTTCAAATACTGTTTTTCATTGTTGTGTATTAGCTTCAACTGGGCATAGCATGCAATCCCTAAATATTTGTGGGCTATACAAATAAAGCCTTCCCGTGTTGTGGTGCCCAGTAGCTCAACTCATTAAAAATATCAGCTAGATTCTTGTTCCATAGCATCTGTCATCCTCCTCCACTTTGTGACTGGGTTCTATTTGGATTTTGCAATGATATGGAAATTATTTTTTGTAGCACAGGTTTTAAAGAAGTTTTGACAGCAATTAATTCAACTTATTTTGTTCATACACAATAAAGCAGAACTGAATGTAATGGGAAATTTGCATAGTTAAGAAGAGAGATTATGACCCATTTTTGTGTTGTAGTTCCAAAAGCATTAGGATAGATAGGATCTTTTTTATGTAAAGCAATAATGTACACATTTGCACCCACATAATATCTTGATTGGGGTAAAATTTCAATTGTTTTTGTCAATTAGGAGAGACAGACATTTTGAATGAAATATATATATAACAATTGGGTTCAATTGTTCTATATTAATATAGCCTTAATCATTTTGTGTAGGTAGTGATACCTATTTTGTGTGAGTGTGTTTTTTTCTTGTTCTTTCTCCTTCCAGACCTGTTAGTCCTCATCTGCGGCATTCTAACAGAAATACTAGGACACCTGCTAGCTCTTTGACATCTGTGGGTAAGAAACAAACTTTCCAGTGTCTGTTTATAGTGTGATTCTCTCCATTTATTTATTTATTACATTTATATGCCTTAAAAATATGTTTCCCAATATGCTGATATTTTTGATATTATTTGATGAAAATCTATTGGTTTGTGTATTTGCCCTTGCAATGACCAAAACAAGAAAGCTACCATCACATGATAGTCACTGTTGCATAATAGTTACACACACTCCCCCCATGCCTACCCCCCATGCCCTGCACACTCCCCCCATGCCTACCCTTGAGCTTAATTTATTTCACCACATATTGTCGCATCCCTTTTAAAATCCAAAATAATTGAATATAAAATGTGACTATTACGTGGTTAAATACTACTTCTCCAGCCAAAGTAATGTTAGAGTAGGTGCAGGTGCATTTCAGCCAGGAACCAGGTCTGGCTTAACCTCAGTTGTTAGGGGCATGGCCCTGACCCCTGCAAACAAACAGATAATAGGGAGGGTAATCTGCCCTATATGTTTTCTCACATCTTTAAAAAGCAAAACTATTTAAATATCCTTTATTTTCCAAATGTGGAATGTCATCTTTGCTACAGTTCTCAAATCCAGTGTGTCTACTGTAGGTAGAACAGTTAGGGTAAAAAAAAATGATGACAGTGATAATGATGACGATGGTGATGTGCCCTTCATAGGTACGAATGAGGAAACAGCTGTGACTACTGTTAACACAGTGCCAACTGTATAAGTCACAGTTCATTCAAGTTCAGTTCTATTAAAAAAAATGTGCACCACTTCAATATGTTATTTGACAAAGAATTTGCTAGGGAACAACAGTTCCTAGTTATGTGGGCTCTACTCAGTTCTATTTTCAGTTAATTCCATTCCATACATCACTAAAAATGGTGTATCATGTTACATGCACAGTTACATACCATGTTTCCCTGAAAATAAGACATACCCATAAAATAAGGCGTAATAGGATTTCTAACCATTTGTGCAATATAAGCCATACCCCAAAAATAAGTCATAGTGATAGGGATGGCTATGTAGCACACCGGTGCACAGCAGTAAGGAAGAAGGGCAATTCTTCTCATCTGTCCCATCATGACAGCTGCTATCTCGGAGGTAACCAGAGAGTGCGGGCAACCCCATCAACAAGGTTGGCTCCCCCTATCGGGTCCTGGTCGTTCTGTGCATGCTGCACGCTGAGGAATAGAGACATAGAAAGTGAAAGTAAATGTCTCTTTAGTGAAGTGAGGAGCAGGACACTCTGTTTTAGGTATTGCATGTTCTCAGGAGGAGGAAGTAAAGCTGTGACTGCCATTTTACTCAGCACTGTGGGTCTCTCTACCCGAGCACCAACCAGCAACAGTCTGTGGGTCTTATTTAATAAAAATAAGACATCCTCTGAAAATAAGCCATAGTGAGTCTTCTTGAGGAAAAATAAATATAACACAGTGTCTTATTTTCGGGGAAACACAGTAGATTATTATGATGATGACGAACTTCCTTTATATACCACACTTTTCCCAAGTTTTGGACAAAGAAGGCATACACATTAAAATATTTTAATATAGTTAAACATACAACAAGTCAACATTAAAACAGAACCAAACTATTAAGAATATTAAAAGTTGAACAGTTTGTAATGTGGATTATTTGCTATTTAGATAATACAGGTCATATAATTAACCTACTGAATGACCAGCTTCCAGATGTTAAAATATCTGAAGAAGACAGAAAGAAGAATCTTGAATTATTAGAAGAAGCAAAGAGAGTGAGTGAGAGATTCCTCACTCGCAGAGGAAGAAAATCAAGAAGCAGTCTTTCAGAATCTCCCACAGGTAGGTAGTAATAACCTTTAAGATACTAAGCCAAGTGGAATTATTTTCAAACCAATACATAGTCTACATAATCATTTTGGTGCAGGAGTTCTGTTCTGCCCCCACGCAGGCCTGTAGCCAGGATTTCGTTTCGGGGGGGGCTAAAAAAAATTCAGGGGGGGGGACTCGGGGGGGGGCTGAGTTTCAGGGGGGGCTGAGTCTGAGTGAAAGAGGGTCTAGCCTAGCAAACCTTTTGTATCATTACCCGAATACCCCCATGCATATGGGATATATTGAGTATGGTGATCAGATCATGATATGAATAAACATAGCAGTTTAAATAATGCACCAGTAAGGCCTTTTCGCGAACCACCATGAAAATTTCGGGGGGGGCTGAAGCCCCCCGAGCCCCCCCCCCCCGGCTACATGCCTGCCCCCACGCTAGCTGTCTAAATGGAAGGTGCCTGGCTGTGTCGGGAAGAGATCAGAGAATGCTCAGACAAACAGTCAACAAGGATTTAATGACTAACAAATGCTCAAACCCTCTCTCCTCCCAGGTCTAATTGGCAAAGTCCTTGAAAGAGTGGCTCTTGATTACTTATCTCTTCTGTTGTTCCTTCTCTTGTTGATGTCTGTCAGTCTCTGGAGTGATTCTGATGCTTGACCTGAAGTGACTTCAACTTTGACTTGACTCCAACTTGACTTGAACTGACTCCAACTTTGATGTGTTATTTTGTGGATTCTCCTAGCCTTCCTCTCTTCTGACATTCCACTTGCAAAATGGCTAATCCTCAAAAGGAACAAGAAGGGTCTCATACAACGCTCTGCCCTTGGGAGGCTGTCAAAAGGGCAGGGAAGGAGTGGCTTAAAGGGAGGGGAGACATCTATACTGCCCCCCCCCCTCATAAAAACTTTACATAAAATACTAATTCCCTCTAACTAAAAAAAAGAACTCAAATAAGGGAAGACAGTGAGGATCCTTGTGGAGGCATGACACTCCCCATCTAAAACTTCTCATAAAGTTTTTCCCCTTACTAACAACAAATTAAAAACTAATCTAATACAAATGTCCCAAATAACTATCAAATGTCCCAAACAAACAATTCAGCCTGGTGGTATATCCAGTCTTGAGTCTTAAGTCCTATTAAAACTAATATATTTTTATATTTTATATTATGGCATAACACCTATAAAGGCATTGGGAGCTTATTACTCACTTTAGCTTTAGACTTTTCTGGCCTTGATTTATATTCTCATGGCTATGTCCTTTTCTCCCCCTTCAAAATATTTAATGCAATGAAACAGGCACATTTGCATTCCGTTTTAGTTCTGTTTTCAGGTCTGCCTTGAAGGAAGAGAAGTTATAACTAAAAATGAACTCTTTCTCCTTTGTTGGAGATGATTATTACTTATGACAACCTGTGTCAGAACTATGGCATTGTGTAATTATGAAATTCCTAATTTGTCTTAATTGGATTCAATTTAGAAAAGAGACTGGTGATATTTTTTCTTGTACATACTATACATTCGCATAGGCATGTAGCCATCATCCTTAAGACCCATATTTGCTATGCAAACTTGAGCAGCTGTATACCATGGTTATCTTTCAAAGATAAATAAATTCCATTGGAAGAGAAGTGTAAGAATGTGTGTCAAGAGCAACAAATACATAAACTTACTGTGCATTGTTGTGTTTTAACTGATTCTAACTTCATTTAATGCAGCCCTATCCCCAGCACTGAGTCCCAGTGTTTCACCTGCATCATCTCGAAGCAACTCTTTCACTCTTCCAAGTCCAACAGGTAAAAACAATGGGTGTTGCATGTTCTAATCTGAATGTATTATTTTGCCTTAGGTGGACAACTATGGAGAATTATTAGAAAATGTTATAAACACATTTTCCAAAATAGTATATTAATGATATCCCTGGACAAATTGACAGAATGGGAACAGGATGTGAAAGTAAAAAGAGCTCAGCTTCCTAGTTTTCACTGTGAGAAGCTTCCAGGAAGCAGGTCCTGACTGAAGAGCCACAAATGAGTCCCTAGGGAGAAAGGAAGGAGAAATATTAAGCAAATAAATAAATAAATAATGGTTATGAAGCAGGAGGCTCCATTACTGGCAACCAAAATTAGCTAATAACCATTAGAACAGATTTATATGTTTTGCGACTATGTCTAATCTGTCTTTAAACCCTTCAGTCACAGTGCCAGTTGCCATATCTTTGTGATCGTGAGGGCCACAACCTATGTATTCTGTTTCTAAATTATTAATAGCCTACTGTTCAAAAATATACTGCAACAGTTTAACAAAATACAACATAATATAAAGTTAGATCTGAAACAAATCAATTTCATTTTCCAAAGTTCATCAAAGAGGTATTTGTGTGCCTAGAGGATAATTAAAGGGAGGAGGTGGTAAGGATCTTCCTTGGAAGCAAATCAATCAGCACAGTGGCTGCAATAGGAGAGAGGTTAACCTAAATGCCTCATGAAAAAGAGACTCCTAAAGAGATCTTGCTTTTTGCAACAGTGCATTTGGAATGATGTGGTGCATGATGCAAAAATTACCATAATCTGAAACCTATAAACCAGGTGCATGTTTACTTGGTTCTGGATTTTCGTTACTCTGTTATAATTGCTCTGTTTTGTACTTGTTGTAGTAGCCATATAATCTGGATACGAGCTGTTTGCTACGTAATCAATATGTAAGAGCCAATCATTTGATCACTCACTTTTTTCCTATTTGAAGGGTCAGATATCTCTGCACCGACTCTTGGATCAGTGTCCCCACTGCAGGTAAGAAGGCTTTAAGAATTTTAAACAGTTGACTATTGTTATTGTAAAATGAATTAGGGGAAGATGCATATAAAGGTAGCCTGCAATCATCTAACCACAAAATACCCCCTCTCCCCCGCCCCAGTACATGTGAGTTTGCATCTAGTTTCAGAATCTAACTAGGAAAACAAAACTACAAATAATCTGAAGGTTCTTTTGCAGCAAAGAGGTAAAAGACATTTGAGAAAATTAAGCATGCTGTCTTCTATCAGTCATCTCTTTCAACTTCCCTCTTAGCCACTACATTCACATTCAAAGGGAAATGTGCACTTTGTCCCATAACACATCCTTTGGCCTCTCAGAAGCATTATGAACATGGACCAGCAAAATTCTTTTTGTTATAAGCACTTTCCAGGTGTCTCAGACATATATTCAGCGTGGAAGCCAAAACTGTAGTTCGTTATATTTTCACTGTCATCAGCATCATAAACATAAGACCTTAATATCACTCTGTACTGCATCTGAAGAAGTAGGTTTATATCCATACTAAAATAAAGTTTTTGTTAAATGGAATGCTACATTCCATTTTTTCTCCTTTTTTCCATTATATATTTTCATCTTTAGTTATGTATGTTTTGAACAAAACTGGGAGTCAAGATAGCTGATGAATTAGCACTACAAAATAGATTGAAACAAAAGTCTATTATAATAGAATTGAACTGTAAATTACAGTGTGAATACCACTCAGTCATAACCAGTGATCTCCTCTTACTCTGTTTAAATATGTCTTGGTTATTGGCTCACAACTAATTTATTACCTTTCCCAAGCACTTATTTGGAATATGCATTATCTTATCTGTATTAAATGAAAAAGAGAGGCAGAACTGAGCATCAGGGGACAACAGAGATCCCCGTGTAATCTCTGGAAAAAAGTGTTATAGAGGAAGAGGAGAAAAGTTACCACTACAACTTTCTGGAATGCACTATCCAAAAAAGTGTGGGTGTACTGCAGTACTTCCACATCTTAACTCAATCAACCAGTCTTAGGAGGATACTGAGGCTGACAATAGCAAAGACAGCCACCAGCCCAAATAAACAAACAAACTGAGAAATCCATTAAAATCAGCAAGGTTCTGCGTCACCTCTTCTCTCTCAGTAATCCATCTCTATTTCAGGAATTCATCTCTATTCCAAAAGTGGTCTTGCAGTCAGATTGGAAAATACCTAGGGAAAAAGGCTTACATCCTAGATGTGTATTCAGAGACAAAATACAAGATATAAATATTTATTCAGGCTACCTAGTGAGTGCCAACTTCAAGGTCCTCTAGGAGACTTCTGAGTAGCATCCAAATGTGCTGCAGCATTAAATGAAATGGGAAGACTCTGTTGAATATTCAGATGTAACTTGACCTCTACAGCACATCTCTAGGCACAATTATTCAGGGATTACGTTGAACATAGTGCTCTGAGTGGAGTAAATATGGATAGGACTGCACTGCCACTCTTGATGGTTTAACTCTGGAGTGAACAAGTCATGAATCCTCTGAGTTGTATGCAGCAAGCTTTGCTGTGTAAATAGTTTCTCGGTTATGTCTAAGCAGATTCAGTAAATATAACTGAAGAAATTTGGTCACATTACAGCATTTTCTTCTGGTTCAGTATAAATGTTTCTTGGTGTAAACAAGACAGTTTGTACTATTCTAAGCACTAACTGGTGCTTAGAATATTCCAAGCATGTATTATTTCTACTAAATTCCAAGCATGTATTATTTCTACTAAATTTCAATAGGAGCTTTGCTGAAGAAAAATACAGCATTTTTGTTATTATTATGAATACATTGAATACTGGAGTTTTTATTTATTACTTTGTTCATGATAAACATCCCTTTTATTTCAGAATACCACAAAAGGATTAACTGATCGAAATGAGAATGATCAAAGTAAAGTTTCTCAGGAAAGACTGAGTCCTCACGCAACTAATTTGGAAAGCCCCAAAGAGAAGCTATCTGAACAAAAGGAGAACTTTGAACCACATAAAATTATGGAAAATCTGTCCAGATCCTGCACCTCAGGTACTGACGTCAATAGAGTATCTCTAAATGGGAACACAAACATCTGTGAAAATGAACTTGGAAAGCTATTCCTTACCAAACCGAATGACTCTCCTTTCAAAACTCCTTTACAAGGACCAGGGACAGTTTCGGCGGGTCCAAAGTTTAAGGGCTCAGAACCACTACTGAAGGATTCAAAATTTTCTTGCAAAACACAATCTGGCACCCGCCCTCCTCTACTGAGAGCTGTGTCATGGGAGCACGCAGAACCTGGTAATATAGAAAAAGCACCTTTTAAATCGCCATCTGAAGATGATAAATTTTTTCCCACTAATAATAAACCCAGCAACTCACCTACTAAACTTGCAGCATTCAAAGACCTTCAAATACAAGTTCAACCAGTTCGAATGCAGAAATTAACAAAGCTCAGAGAGGTGAGTTTCTGTACATGACAAAAGGAATGTTCTGTTTAACTGTTTTTCTAATGTGAGGCAACATTATTGTGTTGTAATGAAGTAAGAGAAAATATACATTTGAACAGTGGAAAAATGACATATGTAAGCACACTTTGCTGTCATTTTTTCAGGCGAAGAAAGGTGTATCAGATTAGCAGGGTTTGTCAGGAGAGGGCAAACCATCTCAGGCTGGGATTGTAGAGAAAAGGTTGCCAAAATGAATCACAGAAAATGAATCTCTCTCTGACAGCTTGAATCATTAAAATTCTCTTTCAACCATAGCCTCTTGACTCAAGCATTGCCATTTTTCTCTGCTTCTGAATACAAGGAAAAGACAAGAACAACTGGCTGGAGGTCTATGATCATAGTGATCATACACAGAAATTCATAAAAGTTATTTTGGGGATTAAATGCTCTGAATCCTGCAACTAGCATGACCCAAGGCTGTACTAAACTGGAAGATTCTGGGAACTGTAAAACAAAAAGGTGCCCTTTCCAAGCTCTGTCACAGTACATGCAGTTCTAGATTGTGACCACATTCAGAGATGACTGATTATACTCATTTGAACCAATCTGAAAATGAAAGGACATGGTAACTGAATGTATTAATTTATCACGGAGCATAGAAGCCTTCTTCTATGTAGTTAATATATTTTGTTTGCTTCAGTAAAATTATTTGAATGACCTATGCACTAAAATTGCAACAAACTATATACGAAATCAAATTAACTGTCCGAACAAAAGACATTACTCATGATAGTTATAAATCATCTCCAGCATCAGGCAGCATGCTAGGAGACAAAGTCAGAATGATATGTGACACTCAATTTCTTTTTGTGGCTTTCCCATAGTCCTCTGGTTGGCCAGTGTGAGTTCAGATTTTTGGTCTAGTTTGGTTGAGTACTGAATCAATATTAAGAACTGAGTACTTCTTAATATTGATTCAGAAAGTGGTTTTAGTGATGTAAAACTGCAATGTAAAGCTTAATAGCCTGGGTGATATAATGGTTTGAATGTTTGGACTAGAACTCTGTGAAACTAGGATCCCCACTCACTTGAGGAAGCCCATTGGGTGAGCTTGAGCGAGTCCTACGTTTGCATCCTCAAAGGAAGGCGATAGCAAACTTCCTCTGAATTAATCTTGCCAAGAAACCCCAGTGAAAGGGTCCCGATGAGTCAGAGTTGATGTGAAGGCACATAACAACAGAGAACACTGGAAACTTTATGCGTTGGGTGCTTAAAAAACAGCACCGTGGAGTGACTAACTGTTGCTGTAAGAGAAACATTGGTGGCTTCCTCATTGTATATTATAAAGGTGACCACAAAATACAGCGGAGATGTATTTTAGTCTCAGATAAAGTATGCAGTATATAAACAGGAAGGAGCTGATGAACTGGCCTGTCATCTCTCAGAGTAATATTTGGGAACGAAATAATCTACCTAGTCTCTTAGGATATTTCTTTGCATCTAGAAAAGCCCTTCCTCCCTGAGAATATAGCAAGAATTCTGCTTTTTGTGCCTCATCTTTGCTTTTGCATTTTATTTCTTGTTTCTTTTAACACTTCTTTCCCTTAACAAGGCATACCATTTCACATAATAATAATAATAATAATAATAATAATAATAATAATAATAATAATAATAATTTTAAAAACTTCATTTGTACCCTGCCCTATTTCCCCAAGGGACTCAGGACAGCTCATAACATGAATACTTACAACATAATACATAAAAATAAAATAAACAAATAATAATACATCAATCAATATAAAATAAACACAGTAAGCCTTTTTTCATGCCAGGAGCAACTTGAGAAACTGAAAGTCGCTTCCAGTGTGAGAGAATTGGCCGTCTGCAAGGACATTGCCCAGGGGACGTTTAAATGTTTGATGAGCTTCTCTCATGTCCCCGCATGGGGAGCTAAAGCTGACGGGGAGAGCTCAACCTGCTCTCCCCAAATTCAAACTGCTGACCTTTCGGTCAGCAATCCTGCCGGCACAAGGGTTTAACCCATTTCACCATTGGGGGCTCCACAAGATAATCCAAAACACAAGTAAACAACAATTCACAATAAAAATTATAAATTATATCATAACCTGGTCTCCAGAGGATCAGTTCTTTTAAAAATATTGTTTTCATTTGTAGAAATTGGGTGGGAGGGGGAAATGGGTGGAATCTAATTTATGGGTGCACTGTAGAATTAATGCAGTCAGACTCTATTTTAATTGCTGTGGAATCACGGGAGCTGTAGTTTTACAAGATCTGTAGCTCTGACCAATAGTGCAGCCCATCGAAAAGTATAATTTAGTTATTTTACCCATGTGTATTAATGCAAGAGTGTAAAGCAATTCTCCTAGCCCATTGTTCAGTTTGTTGCAACCAGTGTGTCACTCCTTCAAAATGAATATGTTCCAGCTTTATCACAGAGGTGTAGCTGATCTCTGTGGTCCTGAGTGCTTCTGGCTACTGAGAGTGACACAACTCTTTCTAGACAAGAATAGTTTGACCACCGTGAATTTGGCTACTAAAATGTGTTATTTGTATAACTGTTTAGACTACTGCCATTAAAGTTACGGCTTCTAGCTAACTGGGAGAAAGAACATATTGTTAGAGCATAGTTACTCTAAAAGTGAGTAATGGTGCTCACTTTTAAAGCCCTGTGCTGCTTCAGATCTGGGAGTACCCAGGATGTTTGTTCAGTTGGATCATCCTCAAATGACTGCTTTCCTAGCTCCTAGCTTTAATGGACTTTTAGTACAACGGATATTTTATTTTCCTAGCTTTTAGCTTTTTTCGCTGTTTTTTTTGCTGTTTCATTAATTTCATATAATTTATTAAAAAGTGAATAATGGTGGGTATTTTTCAAACTGAAGAATGGTAAATAAACTCATGCTGAATTGTTGCTAAATCCTACAATTACTTGATTAGCATTAGCTCCTTTTATTAGCTATATATGTAAAACACAATGCTTGCATTACTTTGTTCTATTACCAAGAATGTTTATTTCAGATTTTTCACTCCCACATTAGGAGCATATATTGATGCGGAATCAAAATTTAGTTGGATTGAAACTCCCTGACCTCAGTGAAGCTGCTGAACAGGAAAGAGGTGAACAAAAATGGAAATTGTTGTGAATGTATTTATGATTCAGAGGGAGGGAGCACTCACTCCTGTTGTAGCACAACTCTTTTCTGAAACTCAAGACTTTTACAAGAATATATCTATTTTGACAACACCTTTTCCTACCAGAGTGGGGAACTTGTGGTCCTCTACTACAACTTCTACAGTATCATTGGTCATGTTTGCTGGTACTGGATGGAGGTAAATGTCCAACAGCATTCCAAGGGCTGCAAATTCCTCATCCTAGGTGTTGGAGGAAAAGAATATACTGTAGTGGTAACTATGTAAGTTAAGCATACATTGTATTCATTATGCATGTGCTCTAAAAGCTCCTCCAAACTGCATGATGTCGTTCATTCGTTCAGTCACTTCTGACTCTTCGTGACCTCATGGACCATCCCACGCCAGAGCGCCCTGTCGGCCATCACCTCCCCCAGCTCCTTCAGAGTCAAGCCAGTCACTTCAAGGTTACCATCCATCCACCTTGCCCTTGGTCGGCCCCTCTTTCTTTTTCCTTCCATTTCCCCCAGCATAATTGTCTTCTCTAAGCTTTCCTGTCTTCTCATTATGTGGCCAAAGTACTTCATCTTTGCCTCTACTATCTTTCCCTCCAATGAGCAGTCAGGCTTTATTTCCTTAAGTAAGGACTGCATGATAGTACTGGTAAATGTTGGTGCTTTCTGTTTTAGGATTTCACAGCTTGTAATGATTGAATCCACTCCTGTCATTAACAAGCTAATACGAAGTTTCTGATCCTCATTGTCATAGGTTGTAGGAGAGTTCAACACTACCTCTGATCTGATGTTTCTTTTCAACCTCTCTTTTCTCCCACTCAAAGCGTGGGAGTGTTATAATTGTAATGCTTGTTATATTGCTAGAGAGCTATAACACTCTAGCACTATTAGCTCTAAAAGCAAAGTGGAAAAAAGAAGAAACATTTAGTCTGATAACCAAAATGTAATGAGACCACAAACTTTAATGGAAAAACTCCATGGCACAAGTCATGCCCCCTAATTTCAAACATCATCAGTGAACCAAAAGTGCAGCAAAAGGAATAAATATGCATTTGTGACATTCGTCCCAGAATTAGAGAGGGGAACCTTACTGTGGGTTTAAAAAGTTGCTGATGATGCTGGATATTTACATTAAAAATTCCAGGACAGGGAAAAATGTCATATGGGTATTAGAAATCTATAGGTATAACTCCTGCCAAGTCCTGAGACTTTGAGCCAGTTTGGAGGAACCCTTTGTTTTTGAAGTAGCCCAACAATTGGCAAATTGACCTGAATTTAACCAGACTGACACACTGATTTTAAAACTTATTTATACCTTGCTGCATTCCACTCATTGAGTTAGAATTTGAATGCACGTACCTGAGGTGACCACAACTATTGTTAATTTATCTATAGTATTGCTAATAGGTACTTATAAGACAAATAGTATCCCAGCTATTCATTTTCAAATGGAAAGATTAATTCTATTAAGTATTGCTAATATTATAAGGGAATGTGGCAGTTATCTTGGATAGCAGGAATTTGTTTGCAGTCAGAAGTTCATAAACTGAATTTTGTGATTAATCTAACTCTGAAATTGTTTTCTTAGAGAACAGAGTATCAGAGTGAAATGTTCCATGTGTGTTTCACTGAATGAGTGAAACACGATTCCCTGTAAAAATAAACAAAGTATCTGCATCATGAAATCTCCTTTAGGGTCTTCACCAATCCCTTTCTTGCCAGAAGAAGACGATGAGGGAAAGAGTAAATGTGATGTCATGCCAAACATTCCTGATGCTCTTTTTCGAAAACTTCGTGTGCACACATCTATTCCTGGAAGGTAAATCCTTTTGTGGGAGGTTCCTGTAGTGTTATCTCAAATGTGTTATGAAAGAGAAATCTATTTCTATTGAACCTGGGATGGCAGGGATTCTACCAGTCTCTCCTAATGCAGCATCATTTGGATGTGTTGGGCATGTGTGAGTCCAGGCCCAGGGCTCTGCTGGCTCCAGCCGAAAGGAATGACAGTCCAACACAACCAGAGGAGACCAGAAGCTATGCTTTTGCCAGCAATGAAGTTGCTCTTTAAGCAGAAAATACAGATTGTCAACTAATTCAAAATATAAGTGACCTTACATCCTGAATGTGCAGTTACTAAGTCTCCTTGGCATGATTAAGGAAGCAGTACTTCCTGTTCACTTTTGCACTGTTTACTGCAATGTTGGTAATAGCTGAAGTATCATGGACTTGCCAGATTCTTAAGAAATGTGTTATCTTTCATACCAATACAGGAAATGGAAGAGGGTTTTTGAAGTTTATATAACACCGTCCTGAAACAATAAATGAATGTTATAAAAATATTGCCTCAGATCTTGAGAGACCAATAACCCTTTATTTGACAAAAATCGTACAACATGCTTGTAAATGAATTATGTCTCACGTGATACAAGTTCGCAAGTGCTTGTTTATTTCTGTGCAGGTTTAAACATTTTGGAAATAATCTCTTTTGAGAGGTTACTTGACAACAGTGTTACAAGTATAATGTGTACATAAATATAAATAACAGAAAAGGTCCAGTTAGCAGAATAGATGCACAAACCATTATACAAACTTTTTTCAGCACACAAACATTTACAAAGTGAAATTCTTACATCAAGATCTCCAATGTAGTCCATTCTGCAGTCACCACTTCTACAGCTCTTACAGTAAATATGTTTTTTTCCCTAAAATTCAAATGAAATTTATTACTTAGTGATGTCAATACAGCTATTGTGCTTTGTATGCCATTGCTCTAGCAGTGACTAGCAGAGGCTTGCATAACTAACCTCCTCTTAACTCTGATACTTCTCTGGATAACAGTTCTTTTCATTATTATTAAAAGTATTCAACATGCTCTTAATTTCTGTAAACAGATGCAATAGTATACTGAAAGATGCTGATATCTTAATTATTTAAAAGTAACTTTTATCCAGAGAAAATCAAAAAGAGCATCCTGACATTTGAGACATCCAGCTGGAGAAAAGGACCATGACATACATCAGCTCCTCACAGAAATATTGTTTTATGAATGCAGAAAACATGCTTTCTCCCATATACTTTTGAAAACAGAGTTTCTTGACTATAGCCCTAAAGTATAAATCAAGCTCAAAAACGTATAAAAAATTATCTTTTTAGAGCATGGAGAAAATTGCTGCATGAAGAAATGAAATAAGAAAAAAACTACATGCTAAATAAAAATAGGAATTTAAAGCTTATCTGATTTAAGTTGCAGTCATTATCTCAACTCTACTTGTGGAACATACAAAACTGTGTAGCCACTGTATTAAATATTTACTGGATTTGCAGGATGCATGGCTTCTTATGTACTTCCAGGAATTATAACTTTGTCTCTTTTTATTGCAGCTCTCCTTCACTTACTGAAAGAGAAGTTGAGGTAAGCCCTTTTACAATAGAGATTTTGAACACTATTTGCCATCTGGTTTTGTTTGAAACCCCTACAAGCTGTGTTGGTGCAAATTTGTTTGCTTGTTTTGTTGATAGGATTTCCTTGGTCTCCAAGAAAGTTATATTTTTCATTAAAATAAAATTGTTTTAAAGAGTCTTTAATAACTGTGCAATACAGTGCCTGGACATCCTAGAATAGCCTGAGAGGAAAACAGGAACATTTTGACCCAAGCCATAGTGAGATTTTGAAATAGCAGTCAGTTGTTTTTCTTTTTGGACCTTTGGGTAGGATTTCTAATAAACAAAAATAAAGAGAATAAAAGTCTTGTATCATTTGGTCAAGAAAACATATTGAATTAATAAAGGAATGAATGCTGTCCCAGGGACAATACTGTCATAAATCCTTTGCATATGTAGAATTAATGTGACAGCATCTCTCTTGACTGAATAACCGCAATCACTGAAGTTGGTTTCTAATTTCTGATTCAAGAGAGGGTCCTGAATAAGGAACTGGTGAGTTGCATGCTTACTTCATCTGCACAGAATCTGCTTTGGCAGACCTTAAACAAGCTATGGGTAACACAGGATTTCTCTCAACACCAAATCCCATGGTAACACTTTAAAGGAAGCCAAAAGAAAATTCTTACATTAAATTGAAGTTTTCGTTTTCTTTTGAAATGTGTGTTTTCTACTTTAATTACTTTTTCCATTTCAATGGTGGGATTTGCAAAGAGGTGGTGTCAGGTCCTAGAGTAAATAACTGATCACAGGCTTGCTAAAGTTGCTTTTTCCTACCCTAAGTTATAAAACCCTGCTGCTTGTAAACTGTCCCTTGTGAACCACTATAGTATCATATGTTGGGCGAGTGGGCTTCTTAACAAAACACCCTCTCCATAAATGTAAAGCAGAGTAACTTAGCAGCATGACCCAGCACCAATAGCCCTAAGCGATAAAAAGAACAAAAGCACACAGACCAATGTTGTATCTTCTATAGGAGTCTTTTCTTTATAGCAAAATAATAGGGTTGCACTACTTTTAAAAAACAAGGTTTCTATGACACAACTAAAGTTTAGCATTCACACTGGACCTTCACAGATGGGACCTTCTCATGCCAAGGTTTACCTCACGCACTAAGGTGTTCTCATACTGAGGCCTACTAACACACTGAGGCCCTTCTCCCACAGAGACCTCCCACATACCGAGGGCTGCAAGCACACCTGCTTAAATTGAACTGCAGCTTTTGTTGAGTCATTGCATCCATTTAACCCCTTCAGTGCTTGACTCACATTTTTGTCATTAAAAATACCCAGTTAATTTTTAATATTTCTGACATCATATACATCCAAAGCTCTGTTTTGCATGCGTCCCCGAGGCAGCTTTTCCCATTTAAAATAGTTTTCTTTGGGAAATGTGTCTGATTTTGATTATCTGAAAGCTCATTTTAGGTTTGCAAGCATTGGTTCCTCATTCAGCTTTGCTGTTCATCTCTGTGTTGAAGGAGGTACTCAGGACTGAAAATCAACTTCAGCTTCAGTTAATTGCCAACACCATTATTTTAAGACATTGATAGTCCCTGTCACAATACTGGATTTTTTTCTCTTGATCTGTCTGCATTCAAAGTTTACAACCCAATTTTTCAGCTGATACAGCAGTAGCAGCAGACATTTATCTCTTCAGCAAAATGTTCTTAAACAGAAGCATATGTCTGCTTTTTTTGCCAAGACTACTGATTTTAAAAATTCTATGGAAAATCCCATCAGATGACCTGGGACCTTTCTGGTTTCTGATCAGTATTTCATAAGCTGTAACACAGGAAACACAGGAAGGACTCAAAACAAGCGAAACGTCAACTAGGAAACAGCAGGAGAAGAGGGGAAAATCCAAACAATCAAACAAAAAAGTGAATATAATAAATATTATTATAAAAATATATAGCACAGAATAACCAAAGCCTCAAGATAATTAAATATGGCTAGTAACAAACTGTTACAATATATAGGAATACAAACACCTCATAATGATACAAACACGAAGACTTAGCACTACAAATGTATATATGAAGTCAAAGAACACAGACCAACTGAAGTCTATAAGCAGCTAAATTTAGCTGAATCTCATACAGCATATCACTGGCAGCTGCACAGTAAGCAATAGTTTATACCTAAAAGTCCATAATAAACAAAGGAGTCAAATACTGGTATACTGCACTCCATATTTCTATTCGTAAAGACCAGTTATATACAGTCCGCAAGTCATATATCATTGATACAACACAATGAAGAGTTATAGTATATGGCTGCTTCTAAAAATGTGGAGCAATTTCAATGAGTCTTCATCAGTACAGGCTGAGTCACTCTTATCTGGAAAGCTGAAATATCTCAAAAAACCTAATATTTTTGCTTCCAGCCACCCATTTCCATTTTGGGGAAAGGGGGCTAGTCACATGTTCAACTCATGGAAACTGGCCACAAAGGTGAACATGGAGTGACCACATTGGCTGCTGTCTGATCCCAGTGCCAGGAGAACGAAAAGGACTGGTGAGGGGGCTATTTCCCCATCCCAGATTCTTTGCTAACAGGGTGAAAAGTGTGGGAAGCATCTGGGACATTGCTTTATGCAAGGGCCTTGGGTATGCAAAGTTCTTCCTCCTCCTCCTTCTTCTCTTTTTCCTATTGGATTTCTAGCAGTGGTTGAGCTGGTGCTCAACGTGTATTGAATATGAGACTAACTTCCTTTCTCCCCTCATTCACTATGTGTATGCAAGTACAGGTATTCAAAAATAGCTGAAATAAGATAAACTTAACCTATAATGAGAAGACAATAGCATTTTTCACAAAGGTCCTTTGGTTAATTATGAAAAATGCTATTTTCATCTACTGATAAAGACCCACGGATGACTGCTTGCACCCTTGCTGCTAGGCTTGCTTTCCATATTACTAGAAACGACCCTCCAGTATGGAGAACATGACTTTCAAAGAGTTATAAGGTCTGGCACTTATTTTCATAGAAAACTACACCAATCTCTACCCGTATATACCAGTATTTGATTGGTAAGCAAGTTTAAACAAGGCTTTCCTTTTTTCTCAACAGAATGTATTTATACAACTTTCCTTGGCATTTAGAAATGATAGTTATACTTTGGAATCAAGAATTAACCAGGCTGAGAGGGAGAGAAACCTTGCTGAGGAGAACACAGAGAAGGAATTAGACAACTTTAAATCAGCTATTACGGTAAGATAATCTGATTATTCCATTGCTGTGTAGAACTAGACTGTGCACAGCTCAGCCTGTAAAAAAATAGCACAGGAAAATAAACTAAAATATAGAATAGAATGATGAATTCCTATATAAACATAAGCCACTACTTAACAATATTCCCAAAGGGCTATTAAGTAGAACAACTTAGAACTGTGGGTTACAATGATTTCTTGATTCAAGCTCGTTTTCTTGCTCCATATATTTGTGCATGCTGTCTTTTCAGGCCTCTGCTTCTTTGTGGCATCACTCTGAACACAGAGACATGTACCAGAGGCTACTGGAAGATATCACAGTGCTGCACCGTTTATCCTCCCGATTATCCAGTCGGGCTGAGATGGTTGGAGCTGTTCGTCAGGTAAGAATGTTGTTGCTACTATTGTAGACCAATTGAAAGGTGTTACCAGTTGATGGATCAGGGGATGCCCATAAGAATTGTCCCAAAGTGGATTTGATGAATGGATTCAAAGATGATGCAAACATATTGCTACTGGAGGAGAATATTTTGAACAGTACCATGTTGTCGACAAAGAGTTAATTTACACACATGTGTAGTTAACTTACAGGTGAATAAAGGAGTTGGGACCTGACAGATGTTACTTTCAGTATGATCCACAAATAATTAATTACTATAGGAAATAAGGCAGCCACTTCAAAAATCAGGTGCAGAAAAAAATAGGCATTTGAAGACAAAATTGTGCATGTGAAGAGGCCTATTCTGAACATACAAAGCTAATCTGCTCTCATGGCCACAGTGGATGATACTAGTAATCTTACCACTTGTTGACACACAGTGCAGCTGCTGGTTTTGCTGACTATTGTATATGTAATACAATGGAGAGGAATGTTGTCCTTTTCATCTTATAGTGTCCTCGCAAGTGGTTGTCTTCCATCCAAGAGTAGAGTCATGTGGCTCACCTTAGGGATGGAAAGAATATTTGATAATATTTGTTGAGTGGCTAGAATCATGATGAGAAGAATTCTGGTTTCACTATTCTGGCTTATTCTACATAAAATTCACGTGTATCTTTTTTGTAGAGGAAACAGTATTTTCTTCACAAGTATCAGAATTTTCTGTTTCTGCACACAAAATAGAGGATTCCGTACAGAATTAGCACTTCAGAACAATATTTTTCTGGGTATTATTAATTTCTACTCAGTACTTTTTTAGGTATGAAATGCTTCCCATCTTATTCTAAATTCATTGTAATTTTAAAAGCCCAAACAAATCTGGAACAGGATCTGCCTAAAGAGAAACTGTGGGAGCTCCAGAATGCTTCTGTACTATTTTCCCTGGAATCTCCTCTTGAACAGAGATCTCTGGCTATGCCTCCACACTATAGCTTCATTTCTGCAATTTACTCTCTGGTTTGGACTTTAGTGGGAATAGTTATTGGAAGGAACACTGTGCAGATATCTGTGAATAACAACTTTTATGGTACAGTATTAGTATCTTGTTTTTCTAACATGGTATATCACCAAAAGCACCCTCAAGAATTTGGGGGTCGTTGAAAATAATATTTTGCAGATCAGCAGAATTTGCAAAGTAAGAGTTAATCTCTTTTCTTTTTATATTAATAAGTAGAAAAAAGGAGAGAGTTATTTTAATTTTCTTTAGGCAATTTTTGATAATAATTCAGGCAGACTTTGACCTGGCTGATCCTACTCCAACATGTTTTTAGCTTAGTCCTCTTTCTCACATATACCCGAGTATTTTGGTTCTTGGATCAGAATACAGAGGGCAGAAAAGCAAATAGTGAGGCAGATCCTCAATTTCCGGGGCCCCGCAAACACATAAACGAAGAGCCAGAGGGGTGCCCGTATATCTGCCATCAATCACTGCTGTGGGCATACTTTGAAAACGAAGGGCAGTGAAGGCTTGTCTAAGTTTTGGAAATGTGAGCCTAGTCAGGTAGATAGCCCTATCATGGTCAAGTTTGTACAGTCTAAACCAGTGGGAGAATTTGGAGTTATTAATGGCCTGCCTATCATGGTGGGCACAATTATTAAAAAAAATATTCCTGTAGTTTCTCCCTTGAGTTCAAGATAGAAGGCTTATCAGACAGAGTGGGGTGAAATTCCAGCAGCTTCTGGTATCTAGTGTTCCAGACTTTGCATTTTGCTAGTTGTTCAAAACATCCCTTGGGAAGAACCCTAACTGAGGAGTCTTTTACATTTCTCCAATAATTAAATAGGGTAAAATGAACACGTGATCTAATGGAGGGGAGACCAACCTCTGCCCGGACCAAGGCTGCCGGGGTGCCCGGTGGGAGTCTCAGTAGTTTCTTAAGAAATGTATTCTGGAGAGCCTCCAGTTTTGCTATCTGAGACTCATCCCATCCCCAGACAGCAGCACCATACAAAATCTGGGCTATAACTTTACTCTGAAATATTTTAAGGGCTGGGACAACTAGATGACCCCCTGCAGTGTTGTAGAATCTGAGTATTGCTCCAACAGATTTCAAAGCTACTGCTTTAGTGTGTTCTACATGGGGTTTCCAGGATAGTCTTTCCGTGAAATGGATTCCAAGGTACTTAAATTCCTGACATTGTTCTATTTGGTGACCCCTGATGGACCATCTGTGTTGAGAGTGTCTTCTTCCAAACACCATTACCTTTGTTTTATTATAGTTGATATTCAGCTTTTCTTTAGAACAATATGCACCAAGCTTAGAAAGCAGTCTTCTCAGGCCAATTTGGGTAAGTGAAATTAGAACCATGTCATCTGCATATAATAGGATGGAGATTTTCTTGGATCCTACTGCAGGTGGAAAAAATTCTGGCCCCGAGAGTGCAGGTATTATATCATTCAAGTAAAGGTTAAAGAGTATTGGTGCCAATAGACACCCTTGTTTTACTCCTTTATTAGTGTGAATGGGGTCAGTCAATGAGCCAGAAATACCAACTCTTATTCTAGCTGTGGTATTAGAATAAAGTGCCTTGATTAGAAACAGTAGGCGCTTATCCATATTGGTGCTGGCCAGCTTATGCCACAACAGGTTTCTATCGATTGAATCAAAAGCTGCTGCTAAGTCGACAAAGGCAACAAATAGGTGTTTGGTAGGTCCAGCAGTTGCTTGTTGGGCTAAGAAATACAAGGTTAGACAGTGGTCAATCGTACTCTGTCCTTTTCTGAAACCAGCCTGTTCTGGGTGGATGATTTGGTTATTGAATTCCCAGTCCTCTAATTTGTTTAACAGGTGTTTACTATATAACTTAGAGTCAATATCTAAGAGACTAATAGGGCGATAGTTGTTGGGATCTTGTTTATCACCTTTCTTGTAGATGGGGACAACTATGCTCTGTTTCCAGCCCTCTGGGATTGTGCCTGTGTTATTGATTTGTGAGAACACTTTGGCTAATATTGGAGCCCACCACTCTGAAAAATGTTTAAATATTTCTGGGGGCATCATATTTTCCCCTGGGGCCTTACTCAGAGCCAGGGCTGCAATCAATTTCTTCACCTCAGAAGATGACACAGGGGACCAATAAGGCAAACATGTGGTATTGGGAACACTGGTAGGATGGTTTTCTGAAGAAGTAGCTCCGTAGAGCTTGCTAAAATGGTCAAACCATTGCTGTGTTGAAATATGCCCAAGGACTACTGGCCTGACCGTATGCATTCCGGTTGAAATAATATCCCAGAACTGCTTCTCATTTTTTCCCGAAACAGCTAATGCTAATTGGTTCCACTGAGCTCTAACATGTGTGTCTTTTTTCTGCTTTAAGAGTGCTTTATACGAAGCCCTCATCTGAGCTAGACTTGCAGTGACAGTACTATCCTTTTTTCTAAGTATATGTTTGGAATACTCCATTAGAGCTAGCCTGGCACTTCTGCATTCAGAATCAAACTATCTGTTAGTTCCCACCTTGTTGGGGTTTAGTTGTTTGCCACAGACCAGTTTGGGTCTGAGATTTTGGATGATGAATTGATAGGCATTTAAAGTGTCTGTATTAGAGTCTAGGATGTATTGTCGGCAAAATCTATAGGGGTTGCTCTCGAATATGTGCAGAATGGAGTTGCCTAGGTTGACTGACCACCTTATTCTCCGTTCTCCAACATGAATTCCATTTAGATTTTGTGAATTTTGAGAGGATTGTGTTGGAGATGATGTTTCAAAATTAAATAGGAATGACAGAGGAAAATGATCACTCTCCACCCTATTATTAATTGCAAATCTTTGGATATCAGGTAGTAGGCTGGCAGAAACTGCCATATAATCAATAGTACTAGCTCCCCTATTGGTAACATAAGTATAGGCACCTTGCGTTATGTCATACTGTGTCCCATTAAGGCAGTGCAATTGATGCAAGGAGAGCATCTCTAAGAAACTCAGACCGGCCTTGTTTCTGATGGTATCTTGAGAGACCCTGTCAGCAGATGTAACCTGGTCATCTTGTCTGCAGTTAGTGCCTTCCACCTGTTTAACACCCATCCCAATTCTAGCATTAAAATCTCCACACAAGAGGAGCTTTGTGGAGGGGTATTGGCATTCCAAACAGGTGAGGGTTTCAGATAGTCTAAACCAGACATTATTAGGGTCTCCATTTTTTGATAATCTAGGTGGAAAATAGACATTTATACAGATTACATAACCAAAATACGTGCTCTTAATGAGGAGGGCCTGTATATATTGTGGGATGGAGCTATCCAAAGGTTGAATGTCCACGTGCAGATCTACTGAGATAAATATGGTAAGACCCCCGCTACCACGGCCTTTTGAGCTTGTTTTCACTGCTCGAACCGAATGTGCTCTGAAACCATGAAGGGAAGGTAGATTAGTTTCAGTGGCCCATGTCTCTTGCAAACAAATAATTTTGAATTGTTGCAGATAAATTGCAAAATCTGCATCATGAAACTTATTTGTCCATCCCATTATATTCCAGGATAGCAGGTGTAATTGTCCCGCTGGTGTCGATAGATCTGAATCATTACCGATGTGCAGAAGTTCAGTCTGAGCAGAGGCTTTTGGGCTATGGTTATTCAAGCCAGGATCAGTTGGGTGTAGTTCAGCCTGCATAGGCTCTACTAGCTTATCATGCTGTCTCTTTGTCAGATTTAATAGCTCTCCTGTCCTTCTTTGGTAACTAAGTTTCTGAATATCACTATTTCTGAGTGGATGAGCAGAGTTCTCCTTTACCATGTTCTCTTTATTTCTGGGCACCACATTTTGAAAGAACTGCGTGATTGGGGGCTGTTTCAAACCACAATTTGTACTTAACATTCATGCTTCTTTTGAAATTTGTCCCTTGTCCTCTGCTTCAATACTCGTGAGGGCCTCCCAGGGATTGTCATGAGCAACACACGGATTAGTAATTTGGGGTTTCACGACTTTCACCTCTGGGGTCAGTGGGAGGTGTTTAATGGAGGGCTCAAATCTCTCCTCAGAGTCTAAAAATCTCATCTCCAACCATTTTTCACTATTCTGAGCTGCTCTTTGCCATTCCTTTGGATTAGTGTGTCCTGCTTCATTGAGGTATAGCCCTTCCGTATATATTTCCCTTAGATGGCTATTTAGTGCCTCTAACCTCTCTAGGATATCCCATTGCTCTTTTTTTGGCAAATTTGCATATGCCTCTACCAGTGATTGTTCCTCGTTACAAAAAAGGTTCCCCAGACCATCAACACCTTTTTCTTCTTTTGTTGGCCTGGTGGCTTGAACCTTGTGGGATTTCAGCAATTGTTCATTTCCCACTTTAAGTGCTGGTTGCTGTTCCTCAAATCTCACTGTACCATCTGGGACTCGTTGAGTGAAGACCTTCTTAAAAAATCTTGTTATCCTGATGCCTTGTTTTGAAAATAAATCTCTAGCTCTTATGACAAATTTAGCTATATTTGGGTCGATAAAGGAGATTATGGCATCAACATGCATTGAGTCATTATGTAAGTAATCAATCTCGTCAATGTCCGTTGTGTACAACCCCCCTGGTAGAACATTATTCATAAGTCCTATCACATGATTTTTCCGATCTTCTAAACTTAAAATCTTTCCTGGTTTAGGGACTTTTATAATCACTAGCTTATTTGGCATAAGGACCAAGTTCCAATTATCATTATAATGTCCATTGATCTTTTGTCTGCAATTTTGTTGTTTTACTGTTGGCAATTTAGGTCCATCCATTGCCTCTACCTTTTCTGGGTTCCTACCATCTTTCTCTCCTGTCATATTGGTCACCTGAGATTCGGTTTGTGTTGTTATATTAAACTTCTGGGGTCCTGGATTTGTCACTTTGGTTCTATCCACCTTGCCATCATTGGTAGCACTGTGACTCTGCTTTTGGAAACTTTTTTTGCTTCTCTTCCTTTTTGTTACCAAGGTTTTTGAAGATGGAATTAGAGCTAGGAGTTTCTTTAAACCGCGTTGATGATTTCTGGTACTTTTTATTTGTTTGCATGTGGTCTTTTGTTTCATCTCCCTTTTGCTGTTCATGATTTTTTTCTGGCTCTTACAGTTGACTTTAAGGTGCTTGCTTTTATCTGCTTTTCTCTGTTTTGTTCTTTTATCACTACAGCGTAGGATAGCTGCATCTTGCTTGGTTGTATCTAGGATGTTGGCAGCAGATATTGCCTTAATAGAGTCACAGTTGCACCGGCTTTCCAAAGCTTCTGCCTTAATTATTTTTACAAGTGTACTCAGGAGCCCCGTACTTTCCTGTAGATAATTCTTAATTATCAGCAGATCATTAGAGAAGGCAGTGAACTTAGCTTCCAGGTGCAAATAGCCCTCGTTTGAATCTTCTCCTTGTTGCAAGTCGAGGTAGGGATACTGTTGTAAAAAATTATTGGGTGTGTGAGAATTAAAGTGAACCTCTTCTGAAGATAAGGTGGGGGGCTTTCCTGGCGTCGGGTCCAGGCTCCAATTTTGTGTTGCAATAGCCTCAGAACTCTCCATCTCGGCTTGTGCCAGTTCCTGAGCCAAGCTTCTCCCACCTCCTGAGTCCATAATCTTACTCTCCTTCAATAAAAGCCCTTTGGTGTCGATCGGCCAGTCCTTGAGCTCTTCAGCAATCGTAGTAATATTGTCTGCCTTTGTAATCCTTGGGCCCTCCTCAGGGTTTACCAACTGCCCCTGGTGCATATTTTCCAGAGGGAAAAATTTAGTCATTTTTGCTTGACTTTGTTTCCTCTCTAGTGCAAAAAGCCTCCTCTCCTCAGTCTCAGCAGACTCAACAGCTAGCTGTATCTTCTCAGTTGCTAGTGTTTGTCCATGTAGAGGTAAAGCTTTCTCCTTATAGTTGTTTCTTGTATGAACCATTGTAAGAATGTTTAATGTTTAATGTATCAACACTTCCAAAGGCAGCTTAGGTGTTTTCCAGGCAGTTTGCAGGTAGTTTGCAGCTAAAGGCTTTAAAACTGTGTTAACTTTAAAACTGTGTTAACTACACCAGCACAATCTTCAATAAAATCTGGTGTTCATGTATTTATTTGTTTGCCTTGACTTGTATGTGAAAGATCTATGGTCTAAGCATCGAATAAACTAAACTAAAAAAAACATATACATACTGACTCAGATGTCCTTTGTTGGCTGTTGGCAGAGATTTTAAGATTTGTCACCAAGAAAATGCATGTGACCTAATGATCTGAACTAAATGTGTGCTTTTTCAGACCATGTCTATATCACAAACTTGAAACTAGCTGAAAAATTGTTCACTTTCCCTAGAGATCTGTAATTTTATGAGGACAGCGAGTTATTTTTAAAATACTTTTTCAACATCCTTGCCAGACTAGTTTCAAAGGAAGATATTTTAGGTCAAATAATGACCTAATCAAATGATGCCAACATAGGTGACACATAAATGATGAGTTTGTAGCATAAAAACCAATGAATATAGTTTGTAAAATTCTTGAATCTGATTTACAGTTTTTAACAACTATATAAAAATGCACATTATAGCAGTTGAAATTTGTAAAACTTGGTTATATCAGGATCTATATGAAATACCCATCAAGAAACCCCACCTTCCGCCTAATTGTAAATATCCAGCTTGACTCCTCTTGTTTGCTACATTCCGACCTCAGTGTCCAAATCTCTTAAATGAAATCAGTAGCTTCCAATCTTAATGGTTTGTTGGAAAACAATGTTCTGATGTCATCATCTACCAGGAAAATATTTTCTGAATTAAACTGAAAGCTGAGGCAAAAGAAATATTCTTGCTTTAAACTGCCTGAAGAATCCACATTGTGCTATGCATATGTTTTTACTAGTGGAACAAACTGTTCCTGAAGAAGTCCTGTAGGTGGCCATATAAGCAGAACCCCAGATTTCCCCGTAAGGGACGACTGCTACTTCTATTTCAGCTTCATTAGGGGTACTATTCTTCAGCAAAGTTTTTGTCCCATTTATAATGGTAGGAGGGGTTTTTCTTATATAAAAAAATCATTTCTTTATTCAGAACCAGTGCTTTGGTGCTTAACTCTTAAAAATACTAGTTTGAGTCCTGGCATATTCACTTATGTTGCTGCTGATTTAGTGTTCTTACTTCTTTTTTTTCTAAGAACCACCATTATCTTTCACAACTTTTTGACAAACAGGTAAACTTCTGCATATTGGGAAGGGTTGTATATTTTGGATTAAGCTATTAGAAATGGGGGAAATCTTTGACTCATTTCAGAAATGTGTGAAGTTTTTCACTTTCAGGAAATTAAACCTGAATTTAAAAATAAAAATAAATGGAGAACAAAGCAACACTCCAGATCCTCCAATTCCAGTTGCTAAAAATTATAATATGGTGATATTTACTTGATGTTTAAAATGTTCTTCTGTTTCTTTGCAGGAGAAACGCATGTCAAAGGCTACTGAAGTCATGATGCAATATGTGGAGAATTTGAAGAGAACGTATGAAAAAGATCACGCTGAACTGATGGAATATAAAAAACTTGCTACTCAGAATTCTAGCAGAAGCTATGGCTCCCCTGGTAATGCCATCTGCCTCCCCAAAATTTAAAAACATGTCTCTGTATTGCTTTTTGAACCTGAAATGCAAATTATTTAGCTTCTATGACAGCAAAATAAACAAAACAGATTTATGTGGTCTGATTTAACAACAATTGATAATCTTGATTTAATTTTCTTCTTTAAAAATTGAGCATGAGAGTCTTTTTAGCAGTAAAACAGCCATCAGTTACTATGATTTGATACCATGCTACAAGGAATAATTTAATATTATAAAGTGTTGCTTTACATGTACATTGGTATTGGTAGAAAATAGTCCTAGTTAGCATTTCAGTGGTGTCTGTGTTTTTCTAACAATTATTTTCTGCTGGGTTTGTTTTGCCTTTCTTCCCATGCAGAAGATGGTGTGCCCCGAACATCTAGGTCCATGTCTCTTTCTGTTGGAAAGGTATGCTTTCAAATTCCAATGTTCTGTTTACTGAATGCTATGTATGCAAAAAAATGAATTACAAAAAAGTCTTGGGATCAGTGATTTATATTCTGCCCTTTGATGCCGGTGTTCTCCAGATTTCCTTGTATTGTAATGCCATCTCTGAAAGGCTCACCTGGTAGGTGCTTACATAAGGCATCAGATGAAGAGCTCTTTGTTCTTCCAGGTCTTTATTTGTACGATCTTTGACATTAATAATTTCTCCCCAATTAGTATTTAGGTTATTATTATTATTATTATTATTATTATTATTATTATTATTAAACTTTATTTGTACCCCACTAGCATCTCCCGAAGGACTCGATGCGGCTTACAAAGGCCAAGGCCTCAACACAACAGCAGTAAACAACAACAATACAAAAGAGAGCAAATTAAAAACATAAGCAATAACAAAACATTACACTATTACACAATAAAAACCATGGCCGGGCCAATGATGGGTACAGGTTAAAAAGTGCTGGGTGTGACAGGAGGTGTATTGGAATTCTGGGCAAGTGCAATGTGCAGAGAGTCTTAAACTCTAGTAAAGTGCTTCTGGGACAAAGTGCTGGGTTATCCTATTCTGGAAAGGCACGTCGGAATAGCCAGGTCTTCAAGTTCTTCCTAAAGACTGCCAACGTGGGAGCTAGTCTAATGTCTTTGGGGAGGTCGTTCCAAAGTCGGGGGGCAACCACAGAAAAGGCCCTATCCCTCGTCCCCACCAAGCGCGCCTGCGACGCAGGTGGGATCGCAAGCAGGGCCTCTCCAGATGACCGAAGGGAGCGTGTGGGTACATAAGCGGAGATGCGGTCACGGAGGTAGGGTGGTCCCAAACCATTTAGGGCTTTGTAGGTAAGCACCTGCACCTTGAATTGGGTTCGGTAGGTGAACGGAGCCAATGGAGCTCCTTAAACAGGAGGGTTGACCTCTCTCTGTAAGGAGCACCAGTTAACATCCTGGCCGCCACCCGTTGAACCAGTTGGAATTTCCGAGCCGTTTTCAAGGGCAGCCCCACGTAGAGCGCATTACAGTAATCCAATCTGGAGGTGACTAAGGCGTGGACCACCCCGGCCAAATCAGCCTTTGCGAGGTATGGTCGCAGCTGGCGCACAAGTCTTAATTGTGCGAAAGCCCTCCCGGACACCGCTGACGCCTGAGCATCAAGCGTAAGTGATGAATCCAGAAGAACTCCCAAGCTGCGGACCTGAGACTTCAGGGGGAGTGCAACCCCATCCAGCTCAGGTTGCCACCCTATACCCCGATCCGGTTTACGATTGACCAGGAGGACCTCTGTCTTGTCGGGATTGATCTTCAGCTTGTTCCTCCTCATCCAGATAGCCACAGCGGCCAGGCACTCGTTCAGCACTCGAGGGGCCTCCTTGGAATTAGGTGGAAAGGAGTAATAGAGTTGTGTGTCATCTGCATAGAGATGGCACCCAACTCCAAAACCCCGGATGACCTCTCCCAGTGGTTTCATGTAGATGTTAAAAAGCATGGGAGACAGAATAGAGCCTTGCGGGACCCCACAGGTCAAAGGCCAGGGGTCCGAGCAGGCGTCTCCCAGCTTCACCATCTGGGATCGACCCTCCAGGAAGGACGGGAGCCACGACAGAACCGTGCCCCCGTGACCCATCCCGGAGAGTCGTCCCAGAAGGATACCATGATCAATGGTATCGAAAGCCACTGAGATGTCCAAGAGAACCAACAAGGTCACACTCCCCCCGTCTAGCTCTCTACGGAGGTCATCCACCAAGGCGACCAAGGCCGTCTCGGTACCGTGACCAGGCCTGAAACCAGACTGTGACTGATCTAGGTAGTTGTTGTCATCTAGAAAACCCTGAAGCTGAGAGGCGACCACCCTCTCCAGCACCTTGCCCAAGAACGGGAGGTTGGAGATTGGTCTGAAGTTGTTAAGCACTGTGGAGTCAAGGGAAGCCTTTTTGAGAAGTGGACGAACCACTGCCTGTTTCAATTGAGATGGAAAAAACCCCTGCTCCAACGATGCATTAATGATAAACACAAACCAATCTACCAACCCCTCCCTGGCCGATTTTATTAGCCAAGATGGGCAAGGGTCTAGAGCCGACGTGGTCGCCCTCACAGCCCCAAGGACCTCCTCCACGGTCTCAGGAAGAACAAGCCTAAAAGAATCCCACAAAATTGGACAAGCAGGTGCCTCAGTCACCTCCCCTGGAACTGTGGTGAAATTGGAGTCCAGCTCAAGACGTATCTGAGCAACCTTGTCTGCAAAATGGTGTGCGAACTCGCGACACCGAGTTGCTGGATCATCGAAGGACTCCTCCACCACCGGGGGATGAAGGAGTTCCCCGACAACCCGAAACAACTCCAATGATCTATTTGCTGCAGACGCTATACGGGTAGTCAAAAAGGATTCCCTGGCTACCCGTATAGCCACGGAATATGCCTTAAGAGAGGCTTTAGCCCGTGTTTGGTCAGACACGTTCCGAGATTTCCTCCATTTGCGCTCTAGTCCCCTTCTCATGTGTTTCATCACAGTCAACTCCTCGGTGAACCAGGGAGATGGTGTGTCTCGACGCAACAAGATGGGGCGTTCGGGAGCGATCGTATCTATCGCCCTGGTCATCTCCCTGTTATAGAGAACCACCAAGGCGTCGACAGGATCGCCAGGCTCCATGGCAGGAAGAACCCCAAGATTCCTCAGGAAACCAACAGGATCCATCAGTCTCCTGGGGCGGACCATCTTAATTTGTCCACCACCCCTGCGGAGGTTAAGGGTCGCGGAAAGTCTGAAACTGACCAGATAATGATCGGACCATGACACAGGAAGGATGTTTTGTTCTTCCACTCTGATCATTCCACTGTCCGCTACAAAAACTAGGTCGAGAGTGTGTCCAGCCTGATGGGTGGGTCCAGTTATAATTTGTGACAGCCCCATGGTCGTCATGGCGGCCATGAAGTCCTGAGCTGCACCAGTCAAGGAGGTCTCAGCATGGATGTTAAAATCTCCCAGCACAACCAAATTTTGGGAGGCCAAGGCCGAATTGGAGACCACCTCTGCTAGCTCAGACAGGGAAACTGTTGGGTCGCGGGGTGGGCGGTACACCAGCAGAAACCCCACACTGTCACGGTTCCCCACCTTCAGGTGAACACATTCAAACCCAGCTGTTTGCGGAACAGCGCATCTGACCACGGCGATGGATTGCCGAAAGACTACTGCGACCCCTCCTCCCCCCCCCCCGGCCTGGCCTGCTGATGCACTCCAAAACCCGGTGGACATAGCTGAGTAAGATTTACTCCCCCCAACTCGTCCAACCAGGTCTCAGTAATGCAAGCCAGGTCTGCCCCCTCATCCAGGATCAAGTCCTGAATGGCAGCGGTCTTACCATTGACAGACCTGCCGTTAATCAGCAGGACCTTAAGACCGAGGGGACTGCCATGGGGCCTACCACTTCCTACCTTCTCCAGGGTCGCAAGAACTCTATTGCACTTCTCCCTGGGATGTTGGCAACCAGCAAATCTCCTCCCCCACACAACCTGAATAGGACCCCCCTCCTCCGGAACTCCCCCCCCCCCACGTTGTTGGAATTTGTGGCTAGTCAGCTTTCTGAGGAAGAAAGGCTGGAGTATAGTTTCCCTTGGATTTCATGTAGGGATGTTCCCGATGTCGTGCTGGAAAGCGAGACATCAAGGGAGCTGAGAGGACTGAAGAGAGGGAGTGTTCTTGGGTGGGAAAGTGTGGCCAACTGTGTAGGGGCAACTGAGGCAGATGGGGTTTCGAATTGATATGGTCCTGAGGGGGGGGCCCTAACCGGTGAGCTATTTGTGGATTTATCACAGGGACTTGATGGCACAGAACGAGAAGGTACCACTGTGTCAACAAGGGGGCGAATATGAGGGTCCACAACCACCCTCCTGATGGTAATGCCCCAATTCCTTAGGCAGGATCGAATTGCCAGCAGCTCGCCAAGCCATGAGTTGTCTTCTGGTGTTATTAGAAGGCAGGAAGAACGATCAAGTGACTCCGCAGCCAAGTTATGGCCTTCAATCTTATTTCCCATGGTCTTTTTGATAAGATTTGGGCCAAAGAGTCACAGTTTTCTTGGATCATTTTTGTTAATCCTGAGCTGATTCTATGCTTGTTTGATTTTAGTTATCTTAATGGCTCTTCAAATGTCATTTCTTCCCTCTTTTTAGAATTCATTTGATATTTTGTTGATTTGCAACTTGTGCAAATTGCCCAAAGAACATCATTGATGGACAATATTAAAATGTTATAAAAATGAGGGAAATTATAGAAAATCCCATTGAGTTGTGTTATAAATATTTAGCTGTTAAATGATAAGGATAAAATCAAAAAGAAACTTTTCCCTATCCTCATGAGAGTTCCTTATTTTCTTCCTTCTGCTCACTATCAATATGTTCACTAATGCCTTTCCTATGCTTCCAGTTCCCATTCTCCTCATGTCTTTTCTTTCCTAAACTTTATATGGTCTTCTATTTAGTGCCCAGCAATGGAAATAGTTTCACTATGACCATCCAACTTGGTTATTTTTTATTGTTTTGCACGAACATTCACATTTGAAAGTTTTCCCCATAGTTATAGCTTTATCATAGCATTTTGGAAAGTAGTTTTTATTTAACGGTTACCATTATAGTAAACAACACCTTTACATATAGGGGTAGATGATGGATTTTTGAAAGTAAACTAGCACAGGGCGCTGACCTGTGCTGGATCCTCATCATTTTTTGATGATCTGTCTTGGTATTTATTTATTTATTTGTTTGTTTGTTTACAGTATTTATATTCTACCCTTGTTACCCTGAAGGGGACTCAGGGTGGATCACTGAACATACATATGCGGCAAACCTTCAATGCCGTTTTATACACAACTAGACAGACAATTATATATAGATAAGAGGTGAGATGCCTTTACTTATCAAGGATGAGAAACTTTGAGAGTATTTTTACATCTCTCCCTTCTGGCTTATTATACTCCTGTGTCTTGAGATTCCTTTATATGAATGCCCTATAATTGCTGTAGATGCCAGGTCTCTTATAAATTTTGCAGTGAGTTGAAAATTTAAATAGAATGTCTATTAATTACCTATACTGAGATAGATTTAGAATCTAATGATGAACAGAAAACATTGTTATTTCACCTTTTTTTGCCCAAACTGAAAAGGCTATAAATCCTGGGAAGATATCACTTTGTGTCACTTGTATAGTGAAATTTGTTTTCATTGCAGTTGCCTCGAAGAAGAGTCAGTGTCGCTGTTGTGTCAAAATTTGAGCTTCCGGGCCAATCACCTGCCGCATCACCTGTACCTTTGATACCCTCTTCCCTGGTAAGTTTAAATTCTATACACATGAACATTTTAAATATCTTCACACAAACACAAACACACTTTTTCACACATTGCAAAAGTATACTGGGGCCATTTGAGCAATTATTAGATTCGCATAAGGTAATTACCATTCAATAGAGATCAATTTTCAGAAAACATGGTATTTGTTTTTTTAAGGTTAGGTAAAGGTAAAGGTTTCCCCTGACATTAAGTCTAGTTATGTCCAACTCTGGGGGGTGGTGCTCATCTCCATTTCTAAGCCGAAGAGCTGGCATTATTCGTAGTCACCTCCAAGGTCATATGGCCAGCATGACTTCATGGAGCACCATTACCTTTTCACAGAAGTGGTACCTATTGATCTACTCACTCTTGCATATTTTTGAACTAACAGCGGGAGCTAACCCCACTCCCCGAATTTGAACTGCCAACCTTTTGGTCAGCAAGTTCAGCAGCTCAGCAGTATAACATGCTGTACCACATAGGGCTTTTTAAGGTTAGGAAAATGTTTATAAAGGAAACACGGTTTACCTTAGGGGTACACAAGTATGCGAGGTCCAAGATCCTCAGGAAGGCACGTGGCCTAAAGAAAATGCCAAAGGAGCAAGAAAAGTGGCTAGAATTGTACTTCTAGTTTTAAAAAATGGGAATTTTCAAAGATATTATACAATAGAGGCTTGCAAACCTATTGTAAAATGCCGTTCCCAGGCGCTTGCAACAGGGCCAATCCACCCATTTCAGGACAGAAAAAGTGTGGTCTGGAAAATCTAGAGGGGTTAAGCGCTTCCAAACAAAAACAATCAAAAACAACCCAATGGGTCACATACAGCCCGAAGGCTGCACTTATGATGTTGATATCTAAATTAAGTTGAATAATCTCTATTCACAGCCTGAGTCATCAAATGGGAGAAGCAATCTGACATCAACCCCTGTCTTGCCAGCACTTGTAGAAAAGTGAGTTCACATACATTTATTACATTGTGTGTTATATAGCAGATAACTTCTGAGAATGCCTGCCATAGATATGGGTGAAATGTCAAGAGAAAATGCTTCTGGAACATGGCCATACAGCTTGGAAAATTCACAGCAACCCAGCGATTCCAAGCATGGAAGCCTTTGACAACAAACTCGTTTATTATAGCATAAACTTTTGAGGAGTCCAGTTCACTTTTGCTAGAATAAACCATTTAGTCTGAACGCTGTGTAATTGCATTTTTGTACTGAAATAGCAAATACTCCAGCAAAGGATCACCGCCTTGTCGGGGCGCTGGAGCTTGAGCACCTCAATGATGTCATGAGCGAAACCGTGAAGGGACACCCAAGACGGGACGGTTGTGGCAGAGAGGTCAGACCAAGCGTGATCCCTGGGGAAGGCAATGGCAAACCACTCCAGTATCCTTGCCAAGAAAACTAAATGGACCAGTACAACCAGAAATATGTTGGTATGCCATTGGAAGATGGGACTCCCAGGTCGGAAGATGGCCAAAATGCTACTGGGGAGGAGCAGAGGATAAGTTCAACTAGCCCCAGATGTGATGACGCAGCTAGCTCAAAGCCGAAAGGAAGGCTAGCGGCCGACGGTACTGGAGGTGAACGACGAATCCGATGCTCTAAAGATCAACACACCATAGGAACCTGGAATGTAAGATCTATGAGCCAGGGCAAATTGGATGTTGTTATTGGTGAGATGTCAAGACTAAAGATAGACATTCTGGGGGGCAGCGAACTGAAATGGACTGGAATGGGCCACTTCACATCAGATGACCACCAGATCTACTACTGCGGACAAGAGGAACATCGAAGAAATGGAGTAGCCTTCATAATTAATAAGAAATTCGATAAAGCGGTGCTTGGATACAACCCAAAAAATGACAGAATGATCTCAATTCGAGTGCAAGGAAAGCCTTTCAACATTACAGTGATCCAAATATATGCCCCAACCACAGCTGCTGAAGAAGCAGAAGTAGATCAGTTCTATGAGGATCTGCAGGACCTACTGGATAATACACCAAAAAGAGACATTATTTTCATTACAGGAGACTGGAATGCCAAGGTGGGAAGTCAAATGACAACTTGGATCACAGGCAAGCATGGTCTGGGAGAACAAAATGAAGCGGGACGCAGGCTGATAGAATTTTGCCAGGAAAACTCGCTGTGTATAACGAATACTCTCTTCCAACAACCTAAAAGACGGCTTTACACATGGACCTCACCAGACGGTCAACACCGAAATCAGATTGACTACATCCTTTGCAGCCAAAGGTGGCGGACATCCATCCAGTCGGTGAAAACAAGACCTGGGGCTGACTGTAGCTCAGATCACGAACTTCTGATTGCCCAATTTAGAATAAAACTAAAGAGATCAGGGAAAATACACAGACCAGTTAGATATGATCTCACTAACATTCCTAGCGAATATACAGTGGAAGTGAAGAACAGATTTGAAGGACTAGATTTAGTAAACAGAGTCCCAGAAGAACTATGGACAGAAGTCCGAGACATTGTTCAGGAGGCGGCAACAAAGTACGTCCCAAAGAAAAAGAAAACCAAGAAGGCAAAATGGTTGTCTGCTGAGACACTGGAAGTAGCCCAAGAAAGGAGGAAAGCAAAAGGAAACAGGGATAAGGGGAGATATGCCCAGTTAAATGCGCAATTCCAGAGGTTAGCCAGAAGAGATAAGGAACTATTTTTAAATAAGCAATGCATGGAAGTGGAGAAAGACAACAGAATAGGAAGGACAAGAGACCTCTTCCAGAAAATTAGAAACATTGGAGGTAAATTTCAGGCAAAAATTGGTATGATAAGAAACAAAGATGGCAGGGACCTAACAGAAGCTGAAGAGATCAAGAAGGTGGCGAAACTATACAGAAGATCTGTATAGGAAGGATAATAATATTGAGGATAGTTTTGACGGTGTGGTGAATGAATTAGAACCAGACATCCTGAGGAGTGAGGTTGAATGGGCCTTAAGAAGCATTGCTAACAACAAGGCAGCAGGATGACGGGATCCCAGCTGAACTGTTTAAAATCTTAAAAGATGATGCTGTCAAGGTGATGCATGCCATATGCCAGCAAATATGGAAAACACAAGAATGGCCATCAGACTGGAAAAAATCAACTTATATCTCCATACCAAAAAAGGGAAATGCGAAAGACTGCTCAAACTTCCGTACAGTGGCCCTTATTTCTCATGCCAGTAAGGTAATGCTCAAGATCCTGCAAGGAAGACTCCAGCAATACATGGAGCGAGAGTTGCCAGATGTTCAAGCTGGGTTTAGAAAAGGTAGAGGAACGAGAGACCAAATTGCCAATATCCGCTGGATAATGGAGAAAGGCAGGGAGTTTCAGAAAAACATCTACTTCTGCTTCATTGACTATTCTAAAGCCTTTGACTGTGTGGATCATAATAAATTGTGGCAAGCTCTTAGTGGGATGGGCATCCCAAGCCACCTTGTCTCTCTCCTGAGGAATCTGTACAAGGACCAAGTAGCAACAGTCAGAACTGACCACGGAACAACAGACTGGTTCAAGATTGGGAAAGGCGTACGGCAAGGCTGCATCCTCTCACCCAACCTTTTTAACTTGTATGCAGAACACATCATGCGATGTGCGGGGCTGGATGAATGCAAAGCTGGGGTGAAAATTGCTGGAAGAAACATTAACAACCTCAGATATGCAGATGACACCACTCTGATGGCCGAAAGCGAGGAGGAGCTGAGGAGCCTTCTAATCAAGGTGAAAGAAGAAAGCGCAAAAGCTGGGTTGCAGCTAAACATCAAAAAAACCAAGATTATGGCAACAAGAATGATTGACAACTGGGAAATAGAGGGAGAAAACGTGGAGGCCGTGACATACTTTGTATTTCTAGGTGCAAAGATTACTGCAGATGCAGACTGTAGCCAGGAAATCAGAAGACGCTTACTTCTTGGGAGGAGAGCAATGTCCATCTCGATAAAATAGTAAAGAGTAGAGACATCAGACTGGCAACAAAGATCCGCCTAGTCAAAGCCATGGTATTCCCTGTAGTCACCTACGGATGTGAGAGCTGGACCTTAGGGAAGGCTGAGCGAAGGAAGATCGATGCTTTTGAGCTGTGGTGTTGGAGGAAAGTTCTGAGAGTGTCTTGGACTGCGAGAAGATCCAACCAGTCCATCCTCCAGGAAATAAAGCCCGACTGCTCACTGGAGGGAAGATACTAGAGACAAAGTTGAAGTACTTTGGCCACATCATGAGGAGACAGGAAAGCCTAGAGAAGACAATTATGCTGGGGAAAGTGGAAGGCAAAAGGAAGAGGGGCCGACCAAGGGCAAGATGGATGGATGGCATCCTTGAAGTGACTGGACTGACCTTGAGGGAGCTGGGGGTGGTAACGGCCGACAGGGAGCTCTGGCGTGGGCTGGTCCATGAGGTCACGAAGAGTCGGAGACGACTGAACGAATGAACAACAACAACAACTGAAATAGACTTAAGGCAATATCTTTTAATATTTCTATAATATTTAAAAGAGTTGTTAAACAGTATCCCCCCCCCCCAAAAAAAAAAACACACACTTGGAAATTACAACAGTGGCCAAAAATCCATCCAAATGCACCCCCCGTAATAAATTTCAGTAATCTATACACATAATAAAAGTGAAAATGTGTGTATGTGGCAAAGGTACCTGCCTACACAAACAGAGCCCCATTTCCACAAACAGGTTGTAGTTCCCATAGAGCAGGAGACACCCATGGCCCTCCCAAAACTGACACTGCAGGTTACCATGAACATGACCAAGAGCCCTACCGATGTTTTCCACACACACCATACTGCCCACCACCCAAATGAAGGCTTTCAGATGGGGACAATTTCAGCCTAGATTTTCTGTTTTACCTCTACCAAAGACACCTCCCAGGATTCCTTTCTCTCTCTATTGGTGTGGAATTTGCATGGCTGCCTCTCCCTTAACCCTTTCCTATGGCACACAATGGAGGAATTGATCAGCAACTGAACATTTTTTAGGGGTTTGGGGGACTGACTCCACAGGATGGAAGTTGTAGTTCACCCTGTAACAAGACACAGCACTGTGTCCCCATTGACAATGAACCTGGACCACATTTTGCACACAGAACCCCCACAACCAACAAATCTTAGTGGAGGGATTTGGGAGAAATTCACCTAGATTTATAGCCGTTGTATGTATGGAGATGTATAGTTCACCTGCAATCAAAGACCACAATGAACCCCACAGATGATAGACCAGGACCAAACTTGGCACAGAGAATCCCTGTGACCAACTGAACATACTGCAGGGGTTTGGGGAAAATTGACCTTGATTTGGAAAGTTGTAGTTCTTCTGCATCCAGATGAACAATGACCCTCTCCATTAATGGACCGGGACCAAACTTGGCACAGAGAAGCCCCAGGACCAACTAAACAAACTGCAGAGGTTTGTGGGAATTGGCCTTCATTTTGGGAGTTATAGTTCACCTGCATCCAAAGAGCACTGAACCCAGCCAATGACAGATCTGGTCCAACTTGACACTCAGACACAACACAGCCAACTGTGAATACTGGCAGGTTTCGGGGTGATTGCCCTGGGAATCTGGGAATTGTAGTTCTCCCTTATCTAGAGAGCACTGAACGAAGCCAACAACGGATCTGGACCAAACTTGGCACACAGACCCAAGATGTCTGTGTGCCAAGTTGTAGTTCAGCCTTATCCAGAGAGCACTACACTCAGCCAACGATAGATCGGGACCAAACTTGGCAGATTCAACATGGCCAACTGCAAACACTGTCAAGGTTTGGAGGTGACTGCCTTGAGAATCTGGAATTTGTAGTTTACCCTTGTCCAGAGAGCATTGAACCCAGCCAACGATGAATCTGGACCAAACTTAAGTGATATTACCAAACTTCCCATTTTTTTTACCTTTTTCAAATAACCTGGGCACTGCTGGGTCCCCAAGATAATAAAGAATAAACTCAAAAATTATTAGTCACATCATTTTTCTTTTTAAAATATTGTCATTATGCTTTCATTATCATAAAAAGTAGTGTGTTATTGGCAGATTTGTTGCTTCTGACACATTTCCAGGCTCTGTTCCATATTTCTAAACATAAGAGCAAGAGACATAGAACGTGAAGCCAGCATTTCACATTTTGTCAAGAGGTGTCTTTTGGGAATACAGGATGTGCTTGTGCTTTTGAACTTTACTGCATGTACGTACTTCCTAGACAGGACATTGGCAGCTTCTTTCCCCGGGCAGAACACTTGTCATCTTCAGGAAAAACAGAATATATTTGACGGAAATGTCTCGCTGACATTTTGGAACTATGATTATTGATTTTTTTTAAAGGTACATGATGGTGCTTAGAGGACTGTGTTGGTGTGATACATCCAGCTTTTATGTAGCTAAATAACCACACCATGAGATACCAAATTTCCCAAAAGGAGATAGAGGATATTTTATAATTGGAGAGTGGTGTCAAACACATTGTAAAAAAAATAAAATAAATCACATCTATTGACAGTCAAGAGCAGAAAAATCAGAGCCCAGAACTGCAGGCCTTGGGCACCACAAAGATCGTAATCTTCTACAAAGAAGGCAGCTTAGTACCACCATCAACGAACCTCTCCTTTGGATAATTTATCCCTTTGGGATAATACCGTATTCCTATCCATTTATTTTGAGCAGAATCTCTGTTTATTGTCAGACTGCCCATCCAGTTCAGTTAATCAGATTGGAAAGTATTCCTCATTTTATTAAAATGCCTACTTTATTTTCTAAACTTTTCAAAATTATGGGACTTATCTCCACCCCCTCCCCAATATTTTAATTTAAAAATTAACAATAAAAACATACAAAAAAGAAAAACAACAATACTTATACATGCATAAACATAGACATACTTGGACAATGACAGCCCAATAAACATACATTTCTACCTACAACTCTAAAACTACCAAGCTTCTCTTTTGTTGATTTCTCTATAAATCTAACATTTTTCTTCCACTTTATTTCCAGCAAATTGTTTACTTCTGTTTGTTTTAACATTTACAAGGGAATATCCCAGGATTTTATGTCTCCAAGCCTGTCTTTCCCTTTCCCTCCAATACGTATTGACAAAATTATGGGGCCTGCCTTGAAATGATATGACGTGTGAGAGAGACACCCACAAACTATTGATTGTAGAACCACCTTTGTCAGAATGTACAAATTATAACCATGTATTTGTTGCAGTGTATGTAAGGAAACAAAGGCAGAAGACACAAAAAATAGGGAAGATGAAGAGAAGCAAAAGTAGCGTAGACCATCCCTGAAATATGTGATCACAATGAAACTCACATGCATAGATCCACTGAGAAAAAAATAGATCTTTGGAAACGAAACAGCATGAAATAGTTATTGCTGTTGGGCTATGTAAAGGATAAACGTTCACTTGGACAGGGGGGCCAAGCAATCACACCACTGGACACCAGTGTACTAAAGATCAAGGCTATCTTGGCATGGGAAAACAATCAATCCCACCCACTGCCCTTCAGCTTACAGGGTTATCGTTCAGCTGGACACTTCTTTGAATAAAGATAGTTAACTATAACAAGGGGGAAAGACTCTCTTATCCCACCTTAGTACTATATCTTTTAAGTGACCAACTGTGATGTAGTTGTAGACCGATGTATTTGTTAAATCACTGCCACCACCTCAAATTAAATAGGTCTGAGGAAAACCATATGTGTGAATGTGAAAAATAGGAAAAGTTATATTCAAGCTCTTTATTCTTCTTTAACCACTGTTGTTTTTGCTGACTGGACTGAAAGAAATCTTCTTTAAGTTAGCTGAGATGTAAAGGTTGTAATAGACTGAGGCAGACTCTAATTTGAAGGTGAAATAAGAAACAGGTTTATTTTAGAACTTGATAAACAGATCAACTCTTAAAAAGAGTGGTACAATAATCTTGATGCAGTTTCTTGAGGCTTAGCTGGTTTTAAACAGGCAGTCTTACTTAAAGGCTTCAACTTTTGTTTCACAGTGAGTTCCTTGTCCCCACACTGATCACTAACTGACACAGTGTGTCTTTGAGCACAGTACACTGCCTCCCAGAGCAAATCAGGCTTCCCTTTCACTGTCCCTACTCTGACCAGTGAACCAGGATCCTTTGCCTATCCCTTGCTCTAATTTCTCAAGGCTCACACAAAAGTCTTCCCTCTCTGCCTAAGATCTCCACAGCTCTCCTTTCCTAAAATATACGTCTTTACTCCACGATGACTAAACTCCAACTCCCCTTACTTGTCAAATAAGCCAGCCTTTTTTCCCTCTCAATCCTAACTCCACCCCTGACTGTCCTAACCAATCAGGAGTCGGCTGACTCCTCCCTCCTGCCTCTGGCTCTCTTGCCAAACCCAGAACATGTCAGCTACTGACTTTCCAGGCTTCGGCCTTCCAGCCAAAAAGGTCAGTTTCACTACAGGCTACGATTCCCAGAAACCTACAGTCAGCATGGATATTGACAATCTGCTTTTAATTAATTTTTTGAAGTAGCAATTGCTGCTTTGGTTTGTCTGCACTGTGCTATTCCAATCAAAAATGCAGAATAGCACAAATTGATGGGAGGGGGCAGAATGCCATTTTTTGTGACGATAGATCCTCATTTCAATCAATGTATGCAAATCCACATAGAAAGTAAATTGTCACCCTTATGTTATGCAGTCTGTAACTGATACCTCTCATTTTGTCATTTATCAATTTTCAAATCTGTTAGTGGAAAATCAAATGGGGAGCCTGATTCTGAACCCACCTCTTCCGCGCAGACACAGGGTGGCATAGAAGACATTAATCCAGAGACAAAAGCCAAAATAGAGGAGGAAGCTTATAACAAAGGGTAAGACTGTGTGACTGGATTCATCGTGAAAGATAGGCATGTTCTTTTTCTCACCTAAAGCAACCATGGATTTTTATTTTATTTTCATAAATTTGATAAACTTCTGGTAGCCAAAAAAGGGCCCTACTTTCCATTTACTGCAAAAGTAACATTTCTGAAACAGAAGAAATTTCTATTCAGAATCTCTACATCTATGAATCTAACTTATTTTCATCAGAGTAATTTAACAACCCTGGAAATACAATTAGCCATAAAAATGATTTGTAGGTGTAGAGTTTGTGAATGGGTATTTCTTCTATTTGCACACATACGTAAAGATTGTATCTGATCTTTAAATATAAACAGGGTCAACTCTGTTTAGAACATGAATGGAAGACTGCCATTAAATATCATGAACTTTAGGGAAGATTTCAGAGGAAGGAACTGGCAAAATCCCTTCTGGATATTCCTTGCCTAAGAAACCCTACCATATTCCTGGAGTCACCAAAAGTCAACAGGTGATTTGAATGCACATACACCCAGAAATATTTTAACACAGAGAGAGATGCACAACCTGTTGTTTGCATTATGCTTCCCATTTTCCTAGTTATGTTTCTGCTTGGGAGCATTTAAGTCAGTTTCTGAGGATGAGAATTTCATGGCTTGAGGAATTTTTGTTCTGTTACCTTGTACCTCGAGTACATATCAAAGAGACTTTGTGGTTGCTGTGAACAATTATCATATGCAAACAAACTTAATACCCACACTTCTAGATACCTTTTAATGTGTTGAATTTTCCATGTCAGTCAAAGCAACTGCTTTTATCATTCTCAAAAAGTAAACGAAATAATCAAAACCAAAGAAAGACTAAACCCCTTCTTCAGTTCTCCAGTTTTCAACTGTTTTAATTGCTCACTCTCTGAATTCAGGGTCAACTACCTGCAGAAACCACATTTTCCAATTGTATCTCAGAAAGAACAGTTTTGACTGATTATTGTGAAGATTTATTATCACAATAATCAGTCAAAATAGCATATTTATCCCCATGTTTCTTTCATAATAGCGAATATATCACCTGATACACTATGTGTATAGTGTATATATCTATAACTCAGTGAGCACTGACTTAGGACTCCTGGAGACCAAAGTTCAAATCTCTGTTCAGCCATATCCTGAGCTAAACAGTAGACTTCAGTTAGGATATTAATGAACTTTTCATGCCTTATAGTAATATTTGTATTTTGGCAACAAGTTGTTAGTGAGTAGAATGTATCTATATTACAGATTTAATTATTTAGTTACCTGGATCCTGCCCTAGAACCACTGGAAGTGTTAAATCTTTCTTACAATGAGAGGATGATGATCTACCACTGGCTCATGGAAAGAAGTGACAATAGTTGGGGAATTGTACAATGAATTTGGCTTAGATAAATGAAAATGCTTTGGGTGATGTGCATCCAGTTATCATTCTATCTATCTATCTATATCTATCTATCTGTCTGTCTGTCTGTCTGTCTGTCTGTCTGTCTGTCTGTCTGTCTGTCTGTCTATGTCCTGCCCAAACATTCAATAAGGCCAGAAGCGGCATTTGCAGCAGAAAGTGGAGAAGGGATTAGTGTTTCTTTTAGGTTCCTCCAGGACAGATTGAGTAGAGTCGTGAAAGGTGAAAAAAAAGAAAGAAATTGTTCCTTTTCATAATAATTAAGGTACAATACTTACACCGGCCTGCTGAAAATCAACTCCGGGGTTTTGTGGGCTGATCTTTTATCAATCCTCCTAGATTTATACACAAATGTATACAGTATATTGTTTTATATATTTTACTTCTGCCTGAGGCTTCAATAAATTCTACTTTTTCAAAAAGCTATCAGGAAGGATTAAAGAAAACCAAAGAACTTGAAGATCTGAAAGAAGATGATGAGGACAAAATAGATGAAAGCCCCAATGTAGCAGGTGAAAGTGACGACGAAATTAGCAAGGAACACAGGTAAGAACGTAGCTATACTAAGATTGTTCAGCACTAATTTATTTGGTGAATCATAACATTATTGATTGTTTTTGAGGCTGATTGCCATATATTGTGACGATGTTGTCGAAGGCATTCATGGCTGGAATCACTGTATTGCTTTGAGTTTATTGGGCTGTATAGCCATGTTCCAGAAGCATTCTCTCCTGATGTTTAGCCCATATCTAGGGCAGGCATCCTCAGAGGTTGTGAGGAATGTTGGAAACTAGGCAAGTGGGGTTTATATATCTGTGGAATATCCAGGGTGGGAGAAAGAAACATTCCCACTTGCCTCAAAGAGTTCTTTCTCCCACCCTGGACATTCCACGGATATATAAACCTTACTTGCCTAGTTTCCAACAGACCTCACAATCTCTGAGGATGCCTGCCATAGATGCAGGCAAAATATCAGGACAGAATGCTTCTGGAACATGGCTATACAGCCCGGAAAACTCACAGTATCCAGTTGTGATGATGTTTTCTTCCTAACAGTTCCTCCAGCTGTTTTCGACATGTGTGGAAACAAAAATAAAGCATCCCCTTGTCTATAAAACAAAAGGTCAAATTGCACAAAAATAATTTTAAAGACAACAGAATCACAATAATTCATGCCCAAAACAATCAGTCTGCCTTCTCTTTTTAAAAAGCATTTTATTAATTACACAGTAAACATCTCTATGAGTAAACAGTAAACAATCCAAACACTATCACTATAAAGACATTGTATACAATAAATCAGTTTTGATAGTCTTTCAATACCTCCAACTTAGTCTTCCCAGTTCATAATCTTCATATGAATAATACTCATATTATTCTTAGCCACTATTCTCTACTGTAAAGTGCATAAAAGATATCTGAACAGCAGAGGGAGAGAGAACTGCTGAGAGATATGCATAGTAAAACTTCAGAGTAAACAAAATCCCACGTTGTGAATACTATGTCATGGGTTGGGACTAAATCTCTACTGCTTAAACAGCCTTCTCCAACCCAGCACCCTCTAGAAGTGTTGCTCTGTAGCTTCCCTTAAATGAAGATGGGATATGTTAGATTATGAACACCAGAGGCCCCACTTGGAGGAAGGATACTCGAGGAAGCTTCCAGCTCTTTTGGACACTATTGAAGCTTTATTCTTGGATTAGAAGAGCTGGGGGCAACCCTGCCCTTGGCTTGGTTATATGCAGCCCTTGGTTTCACTTGAGGCCTCTGCAAAAATAAATTCTCACTTTCTTTGCAAGAACAAAGAGATAGAGAGGGAGAAAGTGGTGGCAAACAGCAGAAAGACATTGTTAAAAACAAAACAAGTATGCTTGCCTATTTTTGACTGTGGGTTCATCCACTGCTGACATGCTGCCCTCAACAAATTGCACCAAGACAATGCAGCCCTTGGAAAAGAATTACCCAGCCCTGTTTGAGATAAGTGTGTGTGTGTGTGTGTGTGTTTGAAAGTAAATGGCTGTATTGTTGAGATTTGTGCTGCCAGTTTCAGATTTGCATTCCATTTGTTCAGTGTTGCCGCAACCATTTTGAGATGACAGATGTTTTCACACATGAATTTGCAATGGCCTTTGAGCTCATTTGTAATATTTTTATGTGGAAGAGAAAGCAAGGAGATGTTTGTAATGCAAATTAGCTTTTTTCATTTCCATAGGTTGTTTCTTTCTCATTACAAACTAATTTCAAAAGATGACTTGCATGTGAAAACATTAAGTAATCTATTTTTCCTGTGATACTCTTACACAATGTCGGAACCAGAGCAACTCTGAACAAAAAATATGATAAAATCCTTCACAGGGCTCAGGCATTTTCTCCTCTAGCTTTTTTAACTTTAGTGCTAATCCTCTGATTGAATCCATGGTGACAAATTAAGCCAACTATACTCTTGAATTATACCTTTATACCTCTATCTCCTGAGGGAGAATGTAATACATTCAATCTAAATATGGAAAATCTTTCCCTGAGAAAATACTTACAAAAGATCTGAAACTTTAATAGCAACCATTATGTTGAGAACAATGCCTTTGATCCTGAGGGAAATCATCCAATAAGTATAGCATGTATGTAGCCAAGATTTGAGTATTGCACAACATGTCAGCTTTCAGAATATTAGAAGTATCTAGTGTCAAAGGTTATCAATAAACATACATATTTTTACGTATTCCTTTTTCATTTTACAGCAAACTTGACGTTCTTATCCATTACATACAAATACTATACCCCAAACTGCATAAACACTGGAACATGCTCTGGGTTGTAGCAGCCATTATCATCATTTTTGCTGTGGTATTGGGAATCTCCACTTTATACAATTACTTCTTCTCCTGTACTGAGTTATCAGATGGGCCACAAGTGAAGGCTACCTGTTCTGCTGTCCAGCAATATTCCTGGTGGAACTCGGGACTGCGACGTGACCAGCGTACAGAATAACAAAAGCAAGAGTGGGGGAAAAAGCCATTTACAATCCAACAGTAAGCATCCATTTGAAAACTGAGGTGTACAAAGTTGTGCTTTGTCACTTTCCTGGTGGTCACCTGTGATCAGTAATTCACCATTTAGGTTCTTTTGTGCCATAAAACTAGGGAATGCAGTGTGGTTTTTTAAAATTAGCCAGATAACACCAGCCAATAAATGCTGTTCTTTTTTTATGCTAATCATTACTTGATTGATGTGCCTGACTATCAAGACAACCACACGAGAAATATAAAGAAAGAGTTTGACCAAAAATTAGGCACTGATGTCTGAAGAGTCATAGGTAAAACACAAAGTATAGTGCTTCTAAAGAATGCCATCCACAGCCTTCCAAGTCTGTAAATGTCAGTATGAATTCCTGTTTCAAGATTCTTTTTATTTATGTGACAGAGATTTGTATTTGGTGTCACAACAGAAGAGAATGAGAAAAAAGTGAAATGTATACATATGTTGGCTGTATGAGCAGTTTCACATCAACCAGAAGAGAAGCCTGAATGGGTGGAAGCATTAATGCTTGACATCTCTGCCATATATACAAAATAATGCCATGCATGGGAAATTCCAAATAATGATGTGCATATGAAACTTCTGTCACATCCCATTATAGGCACTTTATGGGCACACACAAATTCACATTCAGTTCTATCACATGTCCAAGAGAGTGACCTCCCTTATGTGTTCTGGAAAGCTTTACCATATGTTCCAGTAAGTATATAGTGACACTATGGTTTAACAAAAAGTCTGGTGTGCATGATAGTTGGAAGCAGCAACCTGCTATAAGTACAGCAACCTTGAAGAAATACATTCCACTTGAACATGTTCTACTGAGGTTAGACATTACAAAGGAGATGTGTTTGTTTTAAACTCTTATCTCTATTATAACTTTAATGAAGCTTGGAATACACTTGCAGAGTGCAACTGGTCGATGCAATGAGGAGCTTCTTTCCTTCTGCTGATTTCAAGAGGAACAGATACTAGTTGGGTGGAGGAAATTTCCTATAGGAAGAGCTAAGCACTGCTCTTAGCTCTCTTTACTGTATCTTGTTTGCCAAGTAAATGTCTGTCCAAACGCAACTCTCATAAATCTTGAGCTGCATAAATAACTCTTTCACATATCACAAAGAAAATTAGACGATATTGATAAATATGGATGTGTAGAAGGCCAGTGGGTATGTTGGAAGGAAGTCATGTGTAATGTATTTGTAGTGCTGCTTTGTAAGAGGCTGAAATACCCCTGTCCTTTCTAGTGTGGGTCAATCTCTTGGCATAAAATCTAAGTTATGAAATAAAAATTTCAGGCCTTAGCTGACATAATTAGATGGAGAACAAACAGGAGGCTTGATTCTAAATAAACATCAGGATGAAAAGATTGCTGGAAGTTCTTCTGCCATTTAGATTCCTATAAGAAGTGTGAGGTGTAGTTTTACCATCTCACAAAGCTCTCCCTCAGCAAACTCTTTGTCATCACACTGTGTTACCCTTTTGTACAAATTTCTCTACATATTGATGTGGCAATGAGATAATTCCTCTAGAATTAGAGGCTCTAAAGAAGAGTTAATGGTTTTTAGAAGGTACTGCATATCTAATGTTGATAAAATATGGTAAATTCTAATTCTGCCATAGATTATTGATAGACGATCATGAGAATCTCAGGAAAAACGCATAATACGATTACCCAAGCAACAGTTAAAAACATGAAATTTCTAACCAGGGAGAAGCAGTGTAAAGGAGCTTAACTTATGAGATGGGTAACATTGATACTAAATACAACTTTGTCTATATATTCACCATCTAATATGTCTCTTAACAGCTCCAGAAGCACAAAATAGTGTGATTAAGCATGTTTAAAAGGCTAATGAGAATGTGTATCATTTCCTCTCAAACTGGAAAAGGAAAATTAAAGGGGGGTAAAGAATAATAGATTTCTGCTGGCTTTTGAATTAATAAGAAATAGCTCATCATACTTTTTCATTCCAATGAAAAAGAGCTAGTACTTTAAATGCATTATATAGGAAAAATGATGAAGCAAAACCAAAGAATGAGGAATAAAAATGCCATTACAAAATAACTCAGAAAGCTGTGTCATGCAGGAATACGCCTCCCAAGCAATGGTATATTTAATTTGAGGTGATCATTGTTGGCAAGATAAAATAGCGAGGTTAAGGTTTGATTATGTGGCAAGGCCATATATCTGCCAATGATTGGCCGTCCATTCTTTATTCCTTAACTATGGCTGTGAAATGAGCTAAGGGCTTTTTCCTTTGTTTTTCTTGGACTTTAACGAAGGTTTACATCTGTAAAAATCATTCTTAAATCTAAATTTATCAGGGTATTGTGTTTATCAACATTTTAAAACTAGATTCAAACCCAAGTGTTACTTCTTGCAGCCTTTTTCAGCTCGGTGCCTTCCAGTTATATTGTACTCTCATCATTCCCAGCAAGCATGGCCAATAGAGCAGAGTTCCTGCTTAATATCTATCCTTGTGATATGACTAACCAAAGTTGATGTTAATGTCAAGCAGAAGAAGAATTTGTATATAGTGCGGTGTCATCTTAACCGCATAGCCATTATTAAAAGAAGTGCTAAATCTGAACTATATAAAAATGCGAAGTCCCTCCAAAATGCTACATGCATTTGTACACTTTTTGTCTTTATTTCATCTATAAAACATTTGTATTGGGCTAAGTAGAATTACTAAAGATAAACAGATGTTTTGCTTACAAAGCCATCTACGTTCTGCTGAAAATATGTATTGCTTTACCAATACCTGGAGGGAGGGAGAAACAATTTTTTGCCAGAGCACCTGATGTTTGATGTTCTCATGATCAGGGTTTGGGGCCAACCATTGTTTATTTAATTTTTAAATGGAATTCTTTCTTAGTGTTGATGGGCTCATCAGGATATAAAATGGTGGCTGTCTTTGATGAAAAAGAAAAGATTATGCAGCCATTTGTTTCTCTATGCATTATCTCCTATATGTTATAACTGAATCAAATTCATAGGGCTGATATGGCCACTAAGAGTAGGTCAATCATCTTACACAATTCATAAGTTTCTGTTTTGGGTTTTGTTCTTGTTCTGAGGTTTTGTTTTGGAAGTGCAATATTTATTTATTTGGCTTTAATGAGACACATTTTCTCTTGTGCACAGCACTGATGTTTTTTAAGTAGGAGGTACTCAAGAGGCACTATCTTTAATTTAAATTTTCTAAGACTTTGCACAGGTGTGCTAGCATTGTACTGTATAGAGCATCACATACTTGAGATGTTGAAATAAAAGTATTGTTTCAGAGTTCTCTGTTTTGCTGGTATGTGACTTATTTAATAAGAACATCACCAAAGAATAAAAATTATGTGTTGTCCTCAATTAGCTATCTTAAAATTAAACACTAAGTTTCAAAATGTTTTCTTTTTTGTTGAGATTCTTTTTTTGCCAAAATCAAGCAAGATTAAATTTGAGGAGTATTTTCTTTGCATAGACATGAATTTTGCTCCAAAATGCATTAGGAAATACAGATAAATACCAACTTTTCCATAATGCTTTTAAATGTGCTAGATTTTAGAGCTTATAGAGCAGCACCAGCATTCGTCCAGAAATGTTTTTGTGATGGGCCCTACAATTCCTCTACTGAGATGTATTGAGATCTCATTCACTACACATATACTTTAGTGCATTATAAATGCTTTATTTTAATTTCTTTTGTCATCATACATTTTCCCAACTACAATCATGTAATGAATATAACAGGGTTGGGTAGCCAATGATATTTCACTGTATTACAGTGTCATTCAGAGGAATCAAGGGCTATGTTTTTCCTTCCTTGAAATGGTTGGAGGGATAGTGTAGGATTATGCTCACGCTTCCCATACCTTCTGCTGCACAACTGGTGAAGACTTCAGCTAGAATTTTTGCACTACAAAAAAAATCACCAAAAGAAGGGTCTTTTGAAAGCAAGACAAAATATTCCTGAAAAACTCCACCTGTTTCAGCTCAGTTCTGATTATTCAAAAGAAGAAAAGCATAATGTTCGTAGCTCAACTTCACTGGAAAAAGTACAATGTAATCTAATTAATAAATACATAAAATATGTGCCAATGGAGCGTGAGATTATTTCATGTCATTTATTTGGCCAAGGTTTTTTTTGTAAACAATGATATGCCAATAGAGAGTTTTTTCTGTTATAAATGTAATGTTTTGTTAGTCTTCCACTGTTCTTATCCCTAGTAGAATGACCAGTTCTTATTTCCAACTAGTTGTACCCGCCACGCGTTGCTGTGGTCAATCTTCCCTCCCACTTTCTCTCCTCCTTTCTTTTTCACATTCCTTCCCTTCCTCTTTCATTCTCTCCTTCCTTCTCTTCCTCTTTCATTCTCTCCTTCCTTCCTTCCTTCCTTCCTTCCTTCCTTCCTTCCTTCCTTCTCTATCTCTTTCCTTCCTTCCCCTCCCTTTTTCTTTCTCTCCTTTCTTCCTTCTCTGCCTATTCTTGGACTTTAACTCCCAGCAATCCTCCTGATTGATCTGTCTACCTATGTGTCTCTATCTAATCTATGTCTCTTATCTATCTGGAGGATTGCTGAGAGTTGTAGTCCAGGAATATGAAATAGAAAATATGCACGGATTGGATGCTCTCAAAGAATTCCAAGGAGAAGCAAACTTGCAGCTTGGAAGCAGTACATTTGGAGGATCCTCCTCCCCTAAAGGGTCTGGTCTAGAGGATGCTGGGAGCTGTCATTTTCACGCATGCACTGTATCATCATTTAGCTTTTGGGGGTTTAAGGCCCTTTCTGCTGTTTTTTGGGAGGGGTTTATGAGTGATGGTCACTAGTTGGTCTGTTAGGGATGTAGTGTCCAAATTTCATGTCAATTTGTCCAGTGGTTTTTGAGTTATGTTAATCCCACAAACAAACATTACATTTTTATTTACATAGATTCATCCCTTTGAAAACAGTTTGCACTCAGATCAGTGCTGCAGCATGCATTTAAGTGGCTGCAGTGCCAGAAAAACTGATGGGTGTAGGCTTCTTTAAAGACTACAAAGGAAAATTCTGAAAGGTTTTTTCAGGACAAACAACAATGAACGTGGAATCAAAGCACTTCCTGCACGCTGCACTAAAACTCTACTGATTACATAGAATTTTTAAAAAACTTTGAAGAAGGGACTGCCTACACACTGAGCGAAGCATAAAATTGTGGTGGTCCCCAATGAATATGCAGACTGTTTTTGGGAAATGTTTTTGAAAAGAAATCTTGGCTTATATGGAAATGTTTGAAGTATTTCTATCATAATGGTATTAAGCAACCCCCYCCCCCCCCCCCCCCGAACAACCTTTGTGCTGTGCCCCAAACTACATGGCTCTGATAGGCTGGAAATCCTGTAAGATACTCAAATGACTTGAAATGATTTCTGTACAATCTGACAGAAATATAACTTAATCAGACCCATGCGGCAAAAATACTAGACATGAAGCAATGGCAACCACTCTCTTATTTAATTAGACACAATGTCTATTAACAATATTTCAAAAGCAGTTTAAAAGCAATTTCAGAATCCAGTTCTAAAACAGCACTTTTAAATGTTGAATGCCATGTGGAACCGCATTGTTTTGGTTGCCAGTCGGAAATTTAAAAGAGATGGGGCAGCCTGACTTCCTTGAGTAAGGCATTCCAGAGTCAAAGCACTGAGTCTGTCTACACTGGTTACAAAATCTGTCATGATGTTTACACCTCTCCACGCCTGAACTAGGGCAGGGGTGGGATCAGAGTCCTGAACATCTAGTCAGAGCAAGGAGAAAAGGAACAGGTGATCCCCTTCTTTCTTCAAATTGTGTGGCCACCTTGACCAACATCGGTAAAGGCACTCAACGACAGCCATGAGCTCTGTTGTCGTCACTGTGGTGACAAGTGCCACCCCCTTTCCCTATGCCACAAAACACTGGCCTGTGTGAACCAAAGTGTGGAGAAGCTCTAGAGCATGCAGGCACAACCTGTGGCCCTGCAGGTGTTTTGGACTTCAGCTCCCAGAATTCCTGGCCATTGGAACAGGTGGCTATAGATTCTAGAAGCTGGAGGCCCAAATGCCTGGAGGGCCGCAGGTTGTATAAGCATTCCCCATCTGGATGATGTCCAGGAACTTCTGGCCTCTCTCTAACACAGGGTAAAGTTAAGGTAGCAGTTTTACCCTGTATTAGAGGCCAGAGGTCCCTGGACATCATCCAGATGCTCAGAAGTGACCTTTGGCCCACTTTGCAGTATGGGTCCAGTGTAGATAGGTCCACTGTTGCAAAGTCCTATTACATGTAGCCACCAGCCATCTTCATGAAGTGCTGTGGCACACAACAGAACTTCCTTTGAAGAGCACCAATTTCTAGCATGAGGGGAGGCATTCTTTCAGATATCCTAGCCCTAAATCATTTCAGGTTTTGTAGGTAAACACCAGCACCTTTTAATCGAGCCTGGAAACAAACTGGAAGTCAATGCATTTCTTCCAAGACTGATGGCATTGCGGTCTCTAAAATGCACACTTGAAACCGGTTTGGCTAATGCATTTTGCACTACCTGCAGCTTCCAAACACTTTTCAAAAGCAGCTCCATGTAGAGTGCATTACAGTGGCCTAATCAGCATGTAACTAATACATGCTCCACTGTGGCCAGATCTGCCTTTCCCCCAAAAAAGTGCAGGTGGCACATCAACTACTTGTCACTCTATGGCTCTAACTGTTTGGTGAGCAGTCACCATAACTATCTTGCTTTCCAGGAGCAGTGCTGGATCCAAGCTCACACCCTCAAGCTATGAAAACTTCCAGAGGAAGTGCAAGCCTATTCAGAACAGGCTGCAATCCTAATCCCAGGTTGATTTTAATACTGACCCTTGGCACTTCCTTCTTGTCTGGATGAAGCCTCAATCTGTTCACCCACATTGAGTCCTTTATTGCACCCTGTCAACTAATCCATACTAATGATATCCAACCACAGAACACTGGATGACCTCTCACAGCAGCTTCTTATTAAAAAGCATAAGGGAAAGTGTTGACCCCTGTGGAACCTCACAGGCTAGAAGGGTGAACAACAGACCCCTAGAAATGCTCAAGCAAGAAAGACAAAAAGACAAAAGCAATGCCTTCAAGTCAAATGGCTCAGAAAGACAGCATGGTTAATGGTATCAAATGCTGCTGAAAGATCTAGCAAGAATAACAGGGGTGTAATCCCCCTGTTCAACTCCTAGCATAGGTCATCCACCAAGGTCCTTGAGACAATTTCTGGCATATAGCCATGCTTGAACCCAGATTGCTATGGGTACAGGTAATACATTTTGTGCAAGGAAGTCTGGAGTTGTGTTGCCACTCCTCATTTTTAGGACAGTGGATAGCAATCATCTTCTAGGTGGCATATAATAAATATAATACACAAGGAAAAATAAGGTGAACAGCACAGCATAAAATCACAGTAAAACCAACAGTGGAGGATAAAACCGAAAACACCTGGAAGCACTATAAGAATTTCTAAAAAATATAGGAAAACATCAAGGTCTCCGCTGGTACAAAAATGCATTAATATATACAAACCTTTCTGAATACAGAACCAAGGTACCACAACTGAACAACTCTCTTGTAAGCAACTCCTGCTGTGCCTCACGTGGAAGGGTACCTAGGGCAGAACCTCAGATTAGGGATTTAGGATCCAGGCAGGTACATGTGAGGGAAGACAGTCAGTCAGGTAAATAACTGTTCTCCTCTTTCAACCATCCATATAACGCATACAATAATTCTGAACTGATACTAAAGCATCCTTATTTTCCAAGTGTTTGTGCTTAGAGGCACCCACACCATTTCATGCAACACACACTTTTGTGCCCAACAGACAAACCATTTGAAGGAAAGATAAATGAGTCAGAACTGGATGGACAGGAACTCTCACAGAATGGAGCTCTCTGGAAGTACAAAGAAAAACCTTCCTCTGTTTATAAGAATAAACACTGTGTTATCTCTTTTCCTCATGTGCATGTTTTCTGAGTCAGCACTCAGTCCTGTTTTCCAGATAGTTCTTTATGGTTTTGGGGGGTGTCATGTGTTTCCAGATAGTGACCTTGACCAGGGAATGGCTTTTGAGCTGAGCAACAACTTTGTTCCTTCCTGTGAAAAAGGCAGTAGCTTTTCAGCAACTCCCAAGAAAGAACCTCACTCCAACTTCACAAGGTGTGGCTCAGCATCGCTTTATCAACACAGCAGATTGGGAAGCAGCTGGACCTGGATTTCCCTAGTGTCATTGATAATGGCAATTCGTTTTGGAATTACCTTCTTCTTCTTCTCAATCTGGATTATAAACCTCACAATACAGGGCACTTTTCTTTTAAAAGGTATGTTTGTATATATTATTTGTACTGTCAAAATGATGGGATCAGATAATAAAATCTATCCCACTGCCTTCAACTGGGCTATCTACCATTTTATAAATTAACATTTGATTGGAAGCAGAATATTATGAAGGAAAACGTTGAATTGAACAAACTGTGCTATGAGTAAGGAAAGACCAATTCTGTTGAAGAACAATTTCCAGAGGTTGCTTTGCTAGTCTTTTGCAGCAGGACACATATATACACACAACAACAACAACAACGAAGCTCCATTAAAGGATACCAACTTTGTTATGGCTTAACCATTTGTATATTAGAGTCTACGTCACTTGATGCATGACTAACAAATCCAGATGACTCTAGTTTGCAGAAAAAAACTGAATTGTTTTTCATCATCAGTTCTGTCATCATCAGAACTAAAATGATGCTGTTATGGTCACACAACTGGCTTTTTTATTTATGTTTAAATAAGAGAGAGAAATAGGGTTATGCACAAAGCTATGTGGCCAGACAAACAATATTAATTTTGCAATGATGTCCCACCTGTCATTTCTCAGGAATCTGTATGGTAACATAGAGTACTGAGAGTATCATAGCTACGTTACTCTGAGTTGTTACCACTGTTAATTTCTTAATTAGAAGTATGCTCCCTACTCTCATTTTATGTTGTCCAAAATTTCTTTCAAAGTCTCATTAAATCTGCTTGGCAAGCTACAAGGCAATTCAGGCATGAAAGCCCCATAAAGACAATTCTGGCTCTCAAAATGTTGAATTGGAGCTTAACTGGGATAGACTATTGCTGGCTGTTTCTAATGAGAGCTGGTGCCTAACACGTCTTGAGGGCCATACATTTCCCATCTGTAGCCCGACAACAAAATGCTTTGGGTGGTTACTAAGTTGATAGTTTTCGAATAGGATACAGCAAATTCATGAAAGACACCTTTATCAAACACTATTAGTCATCATGAGAAGACAAGACTTCTGTACCTAGGGAGGGAAGCTACCCAGCACTGTTTTCTAGGAATCAGTGGTGGGACAACACTCTTTGACAGTTTCCTAGACGCATTTTCTCAGTCTCTATACAAAGAGGGGTTCTGAAACAGACCTTTGATATGATCTTATTTCTGTGTGCTGCCATGTACATAGCTGTTTACATTGGAAAAAGAAACCATTGTATTGTCAAAGGCTTTCATGGCCGGAATCATTGTGTTGTTGTAGGTTTTTCGGGCTGTATGGCCATGTTCTAGAAGCATTCTCTTCTGACGTTTCGCCTCCATCTGTGGCAAGCATCCTCAGAGGTTCCAACAAACCTCACAACCTATGAGGATGCTTGCCACAGATGCAGGCGAAATGTCAGGAGGGAATGCTTCTAGAACATGGCCATACAGCTCGAAAAACCTACAGCAACCCAAAGAAACCATTCCTTTTGAAAATCTGACATTAAAAATAACACTATTTTAAAACAAGTGGCATTTTAACCTCATAAGGTTATCAAAAAAATTTCAACAAAACAACTTAAAAGTGAATTTCCTGTTCTATTACAGTCCACAGAATTTGCTAAAAACTTTACTGATACATTGTTTACTTATTTGGTGTATATGCCCTTCTGCCATAGAACCCAAGGAATCACAAAATGAATAAATTAAAATCCAACACTAAAATATTTAAAACAAGCCTTGCCAACAGCCAAAGGATTTGGCTGGAGGCAAGCAATTGAAGCCTCTGTGAGAGACCAGTTTATATTGCATAGACTAGTATTTCCCAATTGCATTTCATCTGTTTCCAATTTTATCAGCCTTCTCGGTGGTTGCCCCTCAACTCTGGAACTCCCTGCCCAAGTAAGCCAGATGCCCCCCTCCCTGACGTCCTTTTGATAAAAGGCTAGAATCTTTTTATCCAGACAGGTTTTTAAAGATGAAGGTTTTTAAAATCAGTTCAGGGATGCTGTGGTTTTTAACTCTGAATATGTTTTAATGGTTTTTAACTGGGATTTTAAAAATACTTTTTATATTTAATCCTATTTTAATGTTTGCATATTGGTATATTTTAGATTGTATGCTAATGCTTTTATCTTAAGCTGCTTTGAGTCTCCTTCGGGAGAGATAAACTAGGGTATAAATAAATATAATAGTATCTATCTACAAATCTGTCCACTGAGCCCAATACTTCATTCATTTGACCCTAAAAGGGGGGCTTTATTTCTTAAAGCTCATGCTAAAATGAATCTGATAGCCATCTAACACAAGTGCATTGGCTAAAAGATTTTTGCTAGAACATAATTCACATTGCCCATTAATATTGTTAATGTGCTCTTTCCTATTGTTCTACATTAACCTTTTAAAAAGTGAGTAATCTTCCTCATTTGTCATTCATCCTTTCAGCAGGCAGTCATATTTTTCCAACACAGGATGCAGCAAATTGGCAGGCTTGAGATTATTAAAAATGGGTGTGCCTTACTTCTCATTTTGGGCAGTTAAAATGGCATTCAATTTCATATTAAAACAATTCGCTATTTTAAAACCATGAAATAAGACGTGATAGAGGTCTAAGGCGTGTTTTTGGCTAGAGTACAATGCTTCCTTGACACTTTGAAGAGTACCTGCTTTTATTTTATATAACTTGTTACATTTATTTAGCTGAATGATTTGAGAATCTTACAACTACAAACAGAAATCAGGGGAAGAGGTGGGGACTAACTGGACTTCAGGCCCATAGACAGAAAAAAATGGAGGGGGGGGGGAGTTTTGAAACATTTTTAGCGGATCATGAAGCATAGGTCCATAACACAAAACAATTTAAATTATATGATTGAGCCTATATTTTATATAGACATAATGAAATCAAATTTCTATTTTAGTTACAAAGTTTCAAGTCTTTAAAAAACTGAAAATGACTCTTAATTAGTAATTTATGGAAACACTTGAAAATGGTGTCAATACACTTTGACAGAAATCAGGCTCCATTGAGACACTTCAGTGGACACTCAAGAGTACAAGTCCAGACGGTCTTTCTTGCCCCGTTGTGCTTCTTATATATGTTTTCAAATGTTTAAGAGTTGAAAACGACCTTTCATTTGTAGCTGTTGACACTGGCGATATTGCAGAAATCTGAAGAAGTGTCTTCACATTTGGAAAAAACTGTTAATCACAGACAAGATATGCTTCCAGTGCATTTGATGTAAAGGTGTAATCTTTTTCCTTTTAATACAAGATCAAACTCTTCCATCAGTATGTCAGTATGTTGAAGGCATTCATTGTAAAATTATGTGCACTTGTTCAAGTTGGATTTACAATGGCCTCAATTAATAGGGATAAACACTTGCAATTCCTGGAATACTTCCCAGTGCTTTGTAAACCTTTCTTGAAGCCAACTGCTGAAAAAGTTCAGAAATTGAATGTACACATTTAGCCAATAATATTCCATTGGCATTGGTGAAGTTTCCTGCATGTTGCTTTTACAAGTCTGCTTTGAACAGATGCAAGGAATCCTAACTTCTCCACAATAAACTTTACCACTAATTTTGCTGGCTCAAAGATCTCCTGAAATTCTTTTCAAAGCTTCTGTGCACATCTCCCTGGCTTCTTAAAAAAGGCCGTCAACATGTTGCACACTGTAAAAACTGTCCATATCTACTCTTTGTAATGTTTTGCTAAGCTGAAGAGATGATGACAGAAGCTTTCTTAGGATGTTTATGGTTACTACAAATTCAGCGTTCAAAACAGCTAAAAGAAGGTGTCCAGCTTGGTAAAAAGTCTCACGGTTGTATAGAGGACTCTCTTTTAGTTCTTCGAGTGTTCTCACCAAAATGTAAAACTGTATCATGTCACTCAACCCAATTAGTTTCACAAAGTGGCAGCAGGCATGTGGACAATTTCAAAAGAAAGGAAGAAACCATGAAAATGAACAAAATCTTGCTATCAGTATTTTAAAAAAACTCTAAAATTATAACAAAAGAACAAAACTCAAACACAGGGGAACTCCAGACAAGAAACAATCAGGAACACCTAATCACCTCTCAACAAAGGATTTTCCCAGGCAGTAACAAGTCACAGCTTAAAACTGTCAGGCCATCAAATGCTAATCAAGGTGGCCAATTGAAACATTTATACCTAGGTCCAACAGACAAGAGTTCTTTCCCCCACCCTGGGCCTTCCACAGATATATAAACCCAATTTTCCTAGCTTCCAACAGACCTCACAACCTCTGAGAATGCCTTCCACAGATGCAGGTGAAACATCAGGAGAGAATGCTTCTAGAGCATGGCCATACAGCCCAAAAAACCTACAACAACCCACTGGCAGCAGTCCGTTTACTCTTGATTCAGGAAAACAGTATTGTATATTTTTCTTCAATAGTTCCAGTCTAATGAATGATGCTCTGAAGAAATTGCACACAGATTATATTGTTTCTTGGCAGTTTATGACAGGTGGAATGTTGCAAGTCTTTGCTAAGGATAGATTTAGTGAGCGAGCACTGCAGTGGACATAGACAACTATCGGATACTTTTGCAATATAATTGCTGTGCACCATTAATATGACCACTCATATTAGCAGCTCCATCACAATCCTGTCCACACAAGTATTGCAATTTCAGCCCAAATTTTCCAATGTTTCCAAAATAATGTCTGCTAGTCCTCCACTTGTTATATCTCCTATCTTTAAGGTGAAGGTTTTCCCCTGGCATTAAGTCCAGTCGTGTCCGACTCTGGGGATTGGTGCTCATCTCCATTTCTTTTTTCTTTTTTTAAGTATTTTTATTGTTATATCATCTCATCTCCATTTCTAAGCTGAAGAGCCAGCGTTGTCCATAGACACCTCCAAGGTCATGTGGCCAGCATGACTGCATGGAGTGCCATTACCTTCCCGCCAGAGCAGTACCTATTGATCTACTCACATTTGCATGTTTTCAAACTACTAGGTTGGCTGAAGCTGGGGCTGACAGCGGAAGCCTACGCTGCTCCCCAGATTCAAACCTGCGACCTTTAGGTGAGCAAGTTTAGCAGCTCAGTGGTTTAACCCACTAGGCCACCGGGGGCTCCATCACTTATCTTTACAAAGCCTATAAAGTCTTCTCTTATTTCTGCAACTTCAACATCAACATACCTTACCAAGAGCGATAACTGGTCTGAGGTACTCACATCCAAAGTTTCATCTGCCAAACCAGAGAAACACTGTGATGCATTGTATTTTTCAACAATTTTTTAGCTATCTTGTCACCACAAATGTTTATTAGTTCATTTTGTATTTGAGAATTAGTATATTGGGCATTCATAGCTGTTCAGGTCAGTGTCTCCTGATCTGGCACAAGGTCTCAACAAGGCCCTGAAATTACCATCATTGTCCAAAGGTTCTTCGCAGGTAATAGATCCTAAATCATTGCTCCCTCTTAAAGCCAGTTCTTGCCGGCCACAAAGAACAATAGTTTCCACAATTGGCAGAAGTTTCTTTCTGTTTTCTTCTGCTTTCCTTTATTGTGGTGACTGGTTACATCAGGATGTTTTCCATTGTGAATTAGAAAGATTTTTCAGCCAAGTACAAGTTGTTCTGATGGTACTTTTTTTTTTTGGTATTCACTGAAGACTTCTATTACATCTTTCCATCACACAAATGGTTTAGCAACCAGTGCACCAAGCTGCTGATGACCACCTTTACTCCCAACTTCTCCTCCAAACAGCACACAGTACTTACATTGTACATGAAATGAGTAGGCTAACCAGGGAAATCTATTTAACCATTTGGGTTGAAAACTTAGAGGCCTCTTCTTATCAACAGGAAATACATGTCCTAGCAAAGGACTCTGGATTTTGCACTAACTGAGCTTTCACGTGGTCATCAGAAACAGTCTTGTTCATATAAAGTCCAAGGTCTAACAATAACATAGCTTATTGTCTTTGCTCCTGTTATATGGTTTCTTTGGCAGGGCTTGGATTAGATGAGCCAGTGGTAAACGCCACAGTTTCCACAGTTTCCTCAGTTTTCATCTGCAGTTCAGGTGTGCATGTTCTGGGGTCTTCATCAGTACCAGCTGTTGCAATGGTTCTCAACCTGCTGTCTTCTTGGTCTTCAATAGTTGGCTTTTTCTTTTTTTGCCATGAACTCACAAACGTTCAGTTGCTTTTGATAGACGTTTAGGCATCTTCTCGAGTCAGGTGGATGACAGGAAATACTAATAGCAGATAATAGGGCTTTAAGTCTCAGAACAGCAACTCAAGCTAGCAGATAAATTGCACAGTAAGGAATGACCCACAGCTGCTTTGAAGAAGGTAGACATAAGAAAGCTTTGAAAGGGGGAAGAGCAAGAAAGCCGTGACATGACTAGTTTCATGTGTTTATTTATACTTCCAATAGTGTGTCTGTGCCTTGCTCTGAGGCCAAGAGAGTATGACTGCACAGCTTGCAGAACAGACACGATCTGATGCCTTCTAGTTTGTTAGGCCATAAGCCCGAGCAAGCAGAACCTGGAGGGCCTCTCAGATACAGGGGAAGAACTCCTCCAGAATGGCCGCCGCCTGAGGCAACAACAACCTAAAGGCATGAAGCCTAACATGAGGTCTGAACAAAATAGAGACCTCCAAATGAAGGTTTCCTGATATATTGGCAAAGGTTATAAAGCTGAACACGAGGCCTAGAACAAGATGGAGAACTCCCAATATAGTTACAAAATGTAAAGCTTAACATGAGACCTAAAACAAAAGAGAGTCCTCAATTAATATAATTGCAAGAGCTAAGCCTAACATGAGGACAAAGTTTAACTCCTAACATGAGGCATACAATAAAATGTAGGCCTCAGTATTTGATGGTACAGTTAATGGAATTGCCTCTGCCTTCCTGGGGCTGAGAGAGTGTGACTCCCTCCAGACAACAATGTATTAAGTGTTATTTTAAAGGAAGGAGTTGTCTGCAACCTTCATCTGTGGCCTAGCAATCATGACTTGGGGGCTGAGAGAGTGTGACCCACCCAGGCAACAATTTATTAAGTTTATTCTAAAAGCAGGGAGGACAAACATCTGGTACAGGATGTGCCTTACTTATGGCAGCCCAGGAGAGGAACTCTGCTTAGTGCAGTCACCCAAACCTCCAGCCCATCCCTTATGCTCTGCTGGGAAATCCCTGCCAATAAATGCCAAGGGCAGAAACTGTCCTGATTTGCCCTTCAAAAACAGCCTTAATAAAACTTTGAAAGTAAAAGAAAAATGCTTTACTTCAGCAAACACAAAAGAACAGCAAATGTAGTTGAAAAATGCAAAAGAAAGCAAGGAAGTCTTAATGCAGACACAAAATTAAAGTCTCGAATGAAGTCCAAAATAAACAGCAGTCTTACATCCAACAACGGGCAATGATCACTAAATCCTTAGAAGCAGACCCAAAGCAGGTACAATTGGAGTGGAAACATCAGCATCAGAGTCGTTATTACCAGCAAAAGCTAACTGCTCCTGCTTCTGATTTATAGCCCTGAATTCCCCATGCAGGAGGCGCTAGGGTGGCTCCCAATTACCTCAGCGTTTATAGCAGCTATTCTTGCTGAACACTTTCTGTGCTCTGTTTCCTTTCGCCTCTCCAGAAATGTGGGCACTTGCAAAACCTCATTGTCTGATTCCTCTTCCCCCTCCAATTCCTGAGCACTTCCCTGCTCCCCTTCCTCTTCTGAAGATGAGGAATCCCTAAGCGAAACTGCTCAAATTGTAGGGTGAATCCTGGGGCAAAGGCATAGCAATAGGAACTCTATTATCCTCTGGAAGAGGGGAGGGAGCAAGGAGTGAAAGGCCTAATGCCCCATGAGGAGCTTGCCTTCTACCTCAAGCTGAAGCAAAGAGCACAGCAGAGGGGGCGGAGCAGCCTTAAATAGCTTGCAGCTCCACCCCTTTCAACCAGCTCTGCCAAGTCTGGTGTCCATCATGGGAGCCTTCAAATTACCCCCTCTGCCTTAGGCTTTGTCTGTTAGTTGCAGGTGGGCAAATCCGGTTGCTTGCACTATATAGGCTATTGCTGCTATTGCAATGTAAATTGGTGGAAAGGTAGGCAATGAAAGTGTGAATAAACTGTCAACATTTGGTTGAGATAGTGCTCGCAATTCTGAAGGGGCTCTTAATTTTTGCTTCTCATAGATTTAGGATGGGGATTTGGTTAACCAGTTAAAATTCATGAGTAAATTAGGTTATTTTAACCTGAAAAAGGGGGGGGGGGGTTGAATCCCTCCCCCTTTGGCTACAGGCTTGCATGAGTTACAACAAGCATTCTTTCAATGTCTTTCATTTATTTGCAGATTTTATAGCCTATCCTTTTAACAGGCTTGAGACAGTCTCCACAACCCTTCTCACATAACCTTAAAACTACTCTTTGTGGTAAATTAAACTGAAATACAGTGACTAGCCCAAGGTTACCCATCGAGTTTCAATGGTTTGTTTGGAGCTGCACCATTTCTCCCTAGACCTTGCCTGACACTCTATTACATGACATCGGTTCTTTTAGGTTCAGTTTCAGATATCGCCATGTTCAGAAGCTCTGATTTGGGATATAAATAATACTAAAGAGCTTCAACCAGTCAGTGCATACACTACTGGATATAATTTAATCCAGGGGTCCCCAAACTAAGGCCCTTGGGCCAACTGCAACCCTCCAAGGTCATTTACCTGGCCCTGCCTAAATTTTAGACTTAGAGTCACCATAAGTCGCAAACCATTTGAAGACCCACAACAACAATCCCAATTAACTTGACTCTCTCATCAGGCAAAAGCTGGCCCACAGTTCCCATTGCAATACTAGTAAGTTTACATTGGTTAAAATTGTTCTTCATTTTAAATATTGTATTGTTTTTTCATGTTCTTTTGCACTACAACAAGTGTGCATAGGAATTCATTCATGTTTTTTTCAGACTATAGATCAGCCCTCCAACAGTCTGAAGGAATGTGAGCCTTGCTTAAAAAGTAAACTCTGCTTAAAAAGTTTGAGGACCCCTGATTTAATCCATCCTTCAAGCGTACAGTTATTAAATATCAACACCTTTTCTGTAATAACTTATTTCTATTCTGTCTTTAGATATTTACACTTCCAGGTGCCGGATTGCTGGAATTACTCTTGTTTCATATAAGAACCAAGCTAATTTTAACTTCACCGAAGCACAGCAGGTGTGCAAGCAGCGTGACTTAGTACTGGCACATAACTCTGAGGTAGAAAAAGCTTGGAAGCATGGCTTTGAAACCTGCAGGTACAGAACATTTTTCAGCTTTTAAATTATTTTATGTTATGTATTTTATTTCCCCGCTGTGGCCTCTTGGCTCTGGAACTCGCTACCTGGTGAGATTAGGCAAGCCCCCTACCCTTGCAGCCTTCAAGAAAGATCTAAAAACTTGGCTCTTCCGATGTGCCTTTGGAGAGTGACCATATATCCCATTTCTGTCTGTTCCATCTACAGAGTCGTCCTCATGTTGCACTTTCCACCCATCCTTAATGAAGCCCTAACCCCACTGTTCATCCCTTTGAGCTCCTCCCTCACAAATACACTTTCCCACTCCATTCTCATCCAGGGTTTTATCATTTTATCTTGTGCATTTGGCCCATTGTGTTCTATTTTTCACTATGTTGTTTTGCACTGCTTATTTTATTCTGTTACTTTATGTATTTTATGGTGATGTAATTTTTTTTGTTGCTTTGTATTTTATTTTGCTGTATTGTATTTTTGGGCTTGACCTCGTGTTAGCTACCCCAAGTCCCCTCTGGGGAGTTGGTGGTGGGGTATAAAAAAAGATTATTATTATTATTATTACTATTATTATTATTATTATTACTATTATTATTATTATTATTATTATTGGGCCCGGAATCACTGGGATGCTGTGTGGTTTCCAGGCTGTATGGCTGTGTTCTAGCAGCATTTTCTCCTGATGTTTTGCCTGCATCTGTGGCTGTCATCTTCATATTAGCTTTTGGGGAATTAGATCTGAAGCAGATGTAAGGTCAGCCGGCAGAAGGAGACTTCCTCTGACACCCTCTTTCCCCTAGCAGCCTGCCTGAGAATGATATATAATGAATAGGTCATAAGCACTTATTCAGTGAGGTAAGCTGTGGCTTGTACAGCACCTTCAATGAACAAAATTCTGCCTTCCAGTGGAAAGCAGAGATTGGCTCCTACCCAAGAATGTTGAACATAGAATCATCTAAAACAACTCTGTCTAATATAATATTTGCAAAAAAATTATCACTCATAAATATATGAAGATTAAAATCATGCAATGATTGAAGGCCTTCTCCTTATTCTAATGTTTTTAATAAAGTACATAACATGCATACAAGAGGCTTCAATAAGCTTAGCGAAATGTGTGACCTCCTTACCTCCTCTTTAAAAAGGATTCTGTTACAATACTTATTTTTAATCAGCTGTCAAGTTGGCCTTGACTTATGGCAAGTCTATGAATGAGATATCACCCTATCATCAACAGCTCTGTTCATGTTTTGCAAATTCAGGAACATGGCTTCTTTGATTGAACAGATCATCTATAATTTAGTCTTCTTTTCCTTCTTTTGCCTTCTACCTCTCCAAACCTCATTGTCCTTTGGAAGCTTTTGTTCAATGGTGGGTTACTGTTTGATACTTATAGCTCCTTTGGACATTAACAATCTTTGAGGTTTTTCACATTATCTTAACATGCCAAATGCTTTTTAATCATTTTGTAATATAACTTTTCTTATCTGTATTTAATATCTTATTGTTCAATGTTATTCTTTCTCTTCTCTTGGATATATCACAGACAAGACTAGAACATACACTATCTATTGCTTTAGTTGTTTCTTGCATGCAATTCCATACATTTGATTTTATTATTTTCCTTACATTTTCACACATGGTGGTGCAGTGTAGCATCCTGGAACAGCACTGCACCTTCTGATCTTTTTTTTAAAAGAGATTTTATTTCAACTGTTAAATTAGAAATGACAGAACTTAAATAAAATCACAAATTGTATGGCAAATTGAAAAGGGAATCAACAAAGATGTCACAATAGACAGTACACAGGTTTACCTCAACTAACAAAGTGGATATGGTTCCTGGGCACTAACTACTTCAATACCATCTTTAAAAAACAATATTTTATCTAGACAGAGGAGGAAAAGGTAGGGGCTGGCTGGATGTTAACTGAGGTATGCCTGTAGGCTCTTTTTTATGATGCACACAAGAAATACTTTCTACAGCACCTTTTATTACACAAATTGCATTGCATTTTCTACTGTCACAATAATTCCATTAGGGAAAGTAGTCTAAAGAGCTTCAAGATTAGCAAGGTTGTTGGGTCTTATTCAGAAAAACACCCATTATTCCAGAATAACCAAATTCTATGCTGCAAAATTGTGTATGTGTACTAGCAAACTTGTTCACAATACTACATTACAAAAACCTCTTATTTTCCATTGCAGTTTTGGCTGGGTAGCAGAAAGATATGCTGTCATTTCCCGGATAACTCCAAATGAAAAATGTGGTCAAAATAAAACTGGAGTAGCCATCTGGAGACTCCCAGTCAACAGGAAAGCCCGTGCTTACTGTTATAATTCTTCAGGTAAGTGTGATGAGACAAAGATTATGTAATTTTATTGTATTGTTCCCATAAAATTCCCTCCTGATGCAGTGAGAACACAACCTGTGGAGATTCCTATTCTCCTCTTGGATGAGGAGAATAAGAACTGTTGCAACCAAACTGTAAGCAGTTCAGCTAATTCTCATCTAACAAATTTAGTCTGTTTTCCTCTTACTGTATGTTTCTTTGGTCTTGGCATCTAGGCAATAAGCATAAAAGGGTAGCAAACTACATTTCCCCAAGGTTTGCTGATATTTAGGTTTTAGATTAGGGACCTCATCACATGGATGAGGTCCAGCATTGCAATTCGCCAGCCTCCGTGGCAAAATGAGTTGGCAGCAGGGCAGTCCTGGTGCCTTGGCTGGCAGCTTACATTTCTCCATCACATGTGGGGAAGTGTCGCCTCACAGCTTAATCCTGCGGTAGCCACATTGTTCTTAATGGAACACAGCATCCTCCCACGCTGCTGTCCCAGATCACACACGGAGCACCGCCTGAAGCCAGCCTACGTCGTCTAATGGGTGGTGTAGGGCTGTGTCCTAGGACGCTTATTTTTTCACATGTGATGAGCTCATAAGTAGCTTCACTGAAATTAGAAATCAAGGCACTTGGAAACACATAGGAAGCACCTATGAAGCTCATTGAATTATGAATTTTCATAGGGATGATTTCCTTCTGTAACCCACTGGAACTGGGTGTGTGAATTCCCCACTCAATATGATTTTATGGGCTGGGCTTCTGTGGTGTATCTTTTTAAGACCTCAGTACTAGAGGATCCTGTTAGTTTTCAGTTTTTGAGGGAATGTCATCAGTTTGGGGAAAAGCTACTGGGAAAGCTTAAAGATTTTCTTCTTCCCTAAGGCCAGGAAAATCCTGTTCTTGCCTTCGCAGCCAAGAAAAACTTAATCAGTCAAATTCTTAAATTTCTATTTCTCTAAAATCAGATACTGTTACATGTTTTAAAAGGTTCTAACAAATAGCTGATGGCTGAAAATATCTGTATACAGTGCAGAAGTTAGCAACTCTGGAAAGCTAAGGGGGCACATTAGTTCTCTAGGAAACACATCTGGAGTTACGGAGATACTTTCAAAAAAGGACCCTCTGGGACCTAAATTGGTATATAGGCAGGGGCAGCTCAACCCATTACGCAAAGTAAGCATTTGCAGTATAGTTGATTTTGCCCAGGGACGCTCTTGAGGCGCTCATGGGGGAAAATAGACCTTGACATACGCGAGTTGTAGTTACTGGGATGTATAATTCACTTACAATCAAAGAGCATTCTAAACTCTACCAATGATGGAATTGAACCAAATATGGCACACAGAACTCCCACGACGAACAGAAAATATATATCATTGATTGGTTGGGGGGGGGGGGAGCGACACCAAAATACTGTTTGCTTACCATTGAAAATTACCTAGGGCCGCCTCTGTATAGAGGCCTGGAAAATGCAGTGGAAATGCACCCTATGTCAGCGAGTAGACATCTTGGGAGATTTCAGAGCATAAAGGTTTTTGAACCCTTTTGCAAAAATTGTTTTTAATCCAAACAGGAGCATCAAGGAGCCTTCAAAGTGGTGGAAAGGTATCAAATCTCACAGAGTGCATTTGGAAGCATTCTGGAACAAAACAAGTTGGGTGTTTTTTGTTTGTTTGTTTTACTCCTTGGGTCCCTGGTGCCTCAAAAACAGCACTGGAGGTTTCGTGCAGTCTAAGGCAGCACTTTGCCAACCTCTGCTGTAAGGCTGTGTTTTTACACTTGAATAAATTGCCTTGAGATTGGAAAGATGGCTCACAATATCCTCTAACAATGCACATGGTAACATTTCTCATCATGACTATCTTCAAAGCTACACCATTCAAGAAGAGGTAACAAATGTGTGCAATTATATCCATTTAGATCCACAAAATACTGTAGTTAAAGTAGTTTTCATTGACACAAAACTCTGTATCTTTTGTTAATCTAATGGGCTTTAATTGTTCAATTGAGACCAAACTTCCTTGAAAAACTTTACATCACAATATATAGAGCCCCCAGCAATGCAAAAATCCTGTGAAGACAGTCACTAAACGCAGAAGAAACATGGTAGCCTGATGTGTGGCAGATGATGCCATCATCTCTGCCAATCAGGAAGTTTCCACATACCATCATTGTATACAACACTCACAATAGGAGCCCTAGTAAATGACAAAACATTAAGTCAGAGGCACAGGAGAAAAATGCAAATGTGTGTGTGTGTATTTAAATGGTGTATCGTATTTTTCATACATCCAAAATTATAACATTCCCACTTTATTTTTCTAGCTCAGCATTTTAAGTTAAACATTTTTCATATTACTAAGGAGAAGTAATTATAATTACCAGTATGTTTATAACTAAATCTATCATTTAATAATCAGTGTGTTTATAACTAAGGTTGTGTATTTGGTCAGAATACAGACTGACATTTTGTCTTTCCTGCTTATACTTCTGCAGTGGTGAAAGTAATACCACTCATTCAGCATCCTATTCAGTCAATGAAAATGCGTCAAGTTCCCTCCAGGGACTCATATTAAAAAAATGGCACAAAGGTCATTTCCTTCCATTAATGCAATGTATTCAACTGGCCATTCTGGTATTGGAATGTCCTTAAAGCTGTGTAAAACATGAATTTGCAATTAAAAATAAGGAATTACTTACGTTTCAGGATATCATTTGCATCCCAACTCTCCTTCTGTTTCTATTGTACTCTAACCTATGAGCTCATATAGGCTTTTAAAATATGCCGTGATTCCTTTGAATAGCACCTCCATAGGCATGGCCTATATACTTACCGTAGTTTTCCTTCCAGTATCATGAAGGACTCTGAGCCCCTGATTTTATTTGCTTTATGGTCAACCTACATACAATGCTAATTATGTTTAAGCAAGATATATTTGTTTTATTAGCAATTTGAGGGAAGGAAATGGAGGAATATTTTCTTTGGGATGACTGTGTGGGAAGTTAGGAGATTTAATCATTTCTGTCCTTGCTATGGTTCTAAACAAAATCACTTCTCTCTTTCCAGCAACCAATATTTTCCTCTATAGCCTGGACAGTGTTGCCTTGCGAAACAGAAAACAATACTGGGACAGTGATTTTGTCCCAACGAGCATTCAATATTTTATGGCAGCTGAGCATGCTCACCTCAAAACATTCTGAGAAATTAAATAAAGAATCACCTCTTCCAATTTTTAAAAAGTACACTTAACTCCCTCATGGGCAAAGACTCTGTGTCACCAGTCCTGTTTTAGTAATCCACCAGGACACATTCTCAGCCCTGGTCCCACCCCTGACCATTTTTTTTCATGGAAAAGTAACCCAAAAATATTTCTAACTGCCACAAAATGACATAAAAATCTAATGGTTCACTTTGATTTGGCCCATTTGATCTTCCCTGAAAGAAAACCAGAAACAATGTGATATCACTTCTAGCTCACTGGGAGGATACCAGCATGGCTCACTGGGACAAAAATTAGCATGCACTACAGTTGCCCACTCCTGCTGTATTTATGGCCACGCTTTTGCTCTGGATTATATCAACAAGAACCATGTTTGCTACTGAGAAATAATGATACTGATTAAATAGGTTCACTATCGCTATTGAAAAATACTGGTACGTTTCCAAACTTGTAAAATGTTCACTGCATTTTCGCATGTGCTTTAAAAAAAATATTGTGTTTTACCATTTTTCAGACATATGGATCAATTCCTGCATTCCAGAAGCAACTACACTTTCACTGCCAGATGTATCAACAGAGATGAACTCCACTTCAACAATCTTGCCTCAGGACACTTCAGCAATGGTTCAAACATCAGAGCCACCGCAGACTAAAGGTCTTCAGAAGTTATATCGTGTTAAATGTGTAACAGAGATCATAACACCAAAGCCAACCACAGAAGAGGAAATAGTACTTTCACCTGACAAACGAACTGCCTTTAAAAATGATGGTGTCCAGTTTGGAGGTAAAGATTTTATTTATTTATTATAGTACCTTTCTGTGAATTTTGCCTTTGTAACCAAATATATGAGTAGAAGTAGGGTAAAGCTACAAGTAAATTTTAAAATTCTTCTTGTTATATGGGAGAACTAGTGAAGAAAGTCGTGCTTTGTAGTAAAACAGCTGTTAAAATGCAACACAAATAAACAAGATCCATAGTTTTCACTCCATCTCTTAGCATTTTTCAATAGATGTCCTCTTTAATTTAAACAAGTCTGCAAAAAAGAGCAAAGAGTACAGTGGCTGAGAGAATAAGCTATAAATGGGGAATAAGGAGTTACAGAAATTAGTGTTTTGTAAGAATTCACCAAATTTTACATATGAGAGAGAACAAAATTGTCACATTTCTCCTTCCCTACGATGCCCTTAGCTTGAATCTTGCCTTTGTCACAGGGCTGTTCCTCACTGGTCAAAAGAAGTGTGAGTGTTGTGATAAGTTTAGTTGATTGTTGTCAATTCCTGACCCTTCCACGCATATGCATTTCATATTTGGAGTCGCTTGTAACAATCTGTAGGATCTATGTTTGAGCTTTCATGATCTGTTTTTCTCCTGGGGTAGCCTTATTGTTGGGAAGAGACATTTTCTCCTGATTAAAAAACAAAACAATAGAGCCATTTCCATGCCATTTCAACACAAAGAAATTAGGAAAGGTAATAAGGGACACTTTTTTGCGTTAGGATTAAAAATGACTCTATTTGATAATCTGAATAAAATGCTACATTAAAAAGTAGCCAATGCTGGGCATTGTCATATAACAGACCTTGGCATCCAAAGCATTGCTTGTTTTTAAAAATAAAAAACCTGTTACTGATAGTAATGTATACTTCATCCTCCAGCAAACTCCCAATATGTTTGCTCCAAGGGAAATAAGACAGGCCCTATCCCTCTCCTCTTTTCGTAAGAGCTTGAATGTTGGAGACGCATGAAGAAAACCACCAGTCAGTCAGAAGGGGGGTGAAGAAGTGATCTCAAAATTTATTGATCAGCCAAGCTGCTTATATATCTTTTYTTGTGCTCTTTGCAAAGCTTGCATAGTAACAGTGAGYTGGRTTAYATCATGKGGCMGAGTSATTGGCTARAGGTGASCTCATCYTAAGGTGAGGTAGCCTACAACCTACTATCAGTCCCAGGTCATGATGCCCCCTGCATCCCCTTGCCAGGAAGGTGTGAAACATAGGTGTCAGAGGACTGGAATCTGCAACGTTCCCTTCGAAGGTATGGCTTGCCAGTCCCCCCTAGTGGTCTATTGCCATTCCTGCACCTCTGCACCAAGGACACAATAGTGTCTCCCCCTATATAGATGACATTAATAATGATAATGTCCCTTCACTTGAAGACCTGGTGGTTTCCACAAATCTTTGAGAACAACCAGTTCTAGCCCAGCCCCAAACATTGTTGAATATGGCCATATATTTCCTACCTATTACCCCAGTCATCCCTCTAATAGGCCCTGGAAAAGAGCAGCCACAGACCCGTACCTGCTATTGCTGCTAGCCTGATATAGCACTGTATTTAATTCCCAGTCCCCATATTTTGAGTTTGCACTAGCCTCGGCCTTTTAATTGCTCTGAACAGGCAGGATTGTTTTTAATATATATGTGTAATTGTGATAATTTTATGCTTATGTTGTTTTGTTAATTTTGTTATGCTGTTTACTCTGTATGTTTTGGTGATGTTGCTTGGAAACCGCCCTGAGTCCCCCTCGGGGAGATAGAGCAGTATATTAATTTATTTATTTATTTATTTATTATTATTGCTCAATCTGGAAGAGCAGTCACTAGCTGGCTATAGACAAGTCACTCCTTCTCAGCCTTCACCCTCACCCACTCAATTCTTATGTACCTCATGAGAATTTTGTAACAATACAAGTAAATATTTGTGTCTGTGTGTGTGTGTGTGTGCATAACATTTTTGTATGTTGTAGATTATTGGTTCAATTGTGTTTATCTCCACATGGAAACATGCATATCCAAATGGCAAAGTGGGAGTAAGAACAATAATAATGGAATACTCTAAAGGATATGGACTAAACACTTGCTGTTATTGCAAAGCAACCCTAAATCTCCATCCTTTACACTCTGCCACTTCTCCAAGATTCAGAATTTAAAGGATCTGTGCTTGATAGAAACCTCTACAAGCATTTTGCCAAGAGTGCCCACATACACACCTGACACTGATGCTCATTTTGCCCATGTCAACTGGTTGTTGTTGTTGTTTTGCCCAGGGATACTGTATAGTGTAAGTGATTACATAGCTTTATTATGAGAAATCCTGATATAGAATTTGTCACTGGTCCAGCTGCCCCTTTTTCACAATCAAGACAGCAACCTAGATAGTAGTTATTCTTGTTCTTTCTTCAATTGCAGAAATAAACAAGTACAAAAATAAAGATAGACTAACAATATTTTGGTGGTTTACATTTAGTACTATTCAACAAATAATAATTCATGAATAGATGTGACATTTTTCAAGGGACATCTATTCATGAATCATGATTGAACAATGTTTAATGTTTGTCGCGTATGAAGCCTGTTCACTCTTTATCACTTCTCTAAGACAAGTCTATAAACAAAACAGAAAGCCAAAATTATGCATATTTTCCTATTATGACCAAAGCAAGAATCATGGGTGCATCTCAGAATAAACTAGGATTATAAACAAACATTAAAACAGAGTTTAAATGTTGGTTTTCTGGGAACAGTGAGTTCAGGTGTCTCAAGAAACTCTGCTTATCTGAGGCTTCCTACTTGTATGAACAGAGGAGCAAAGTTGGAGTGAACAGGCTGCATGGCAGTAAAGTCACCACTCCTGAACACCTGTCCCCTAATCTCTAGCAGAGAAGGCAGTCACACTATACCTACCTCTTTGATAAAGGGAAGTGATAGTATTTTCAATATTTTGTCTCTCATAGACAAAAATACTAACTTGACTGGCTTCTATGAATCAATGACTAGCCTTTGTAAACCGTCAAACCTGATGGGCGATTATTCATACCCAGTGTACGAGACATGTGGTGTGATACATTTGTTTTCCTTTCTAGGTGTAGCCATTGCTCTTCTTGTGCTTGCCCTCACCTTCTTTGTAGCTTCAGTGGTTTTAGCTGTCTGCTACATCAAAAAGTAAGTATGTTTGTTGCTTTTTGATTCAGCACATTAGTGCTAACATTTTGTTTCTTTAAAAATACATTTTCTAGATATTTTAATGTGATATCTATGTTTAACTCGGTGCCTTGATATTTGCACTGGGTACACATATGTAGCATAGGAATACTCTTTGCTTTGTACAAATGACAACTGAAGTTTTTTTTACATTGATTAGCAAGTAAATTCCTTCACTCATGCCTTTTGTGCAGCAAAAATATAACGCAAACGAAGCATGTATGAATGTATATGCATAGACATTGTCATGTAACATACTCCGCACATATGATAGGTGTGTGATGGGGTATAGCCCAAAGGGGTATGCATGATGGAGGAATAACTTCAGCTCATGAACAGCAGGGCATATAAGGGAAAAGCCCATTGTTTTAACGTAAACCTGATGTTACACATTTCATCTACTCCTCAGCCTTTTTCCTGTGTGAGCGTAATAACCGAAGCTATTTGCATTGGTGATTGTATTACTACAAGATCTTCTAGCACAATTCTGTCCATTAATCCATTAATTTTTATACCCCACCTTTCCCTTTAAACTGGGACACAGGGCCTTTGTCAGTTTCTGCAGAACAGCAACTGGGGGGGGGGGGGGGGAGACCCTAATATGGCCAGCCCAAGATCATAAATGCAATGTGCTATATCATCTGGTGATCTGATCCAAATGCTGAGACAGTGGCAATAGCTATCCATGCTACTGATAGGTATATTGTTTTAAACACACTGTTAGCTGTCTTGGGTCCAGTTATCAGAAGAAAAGTAGAAAATAAATGAAATAGTAAAAAGTCAGTGTATTTATATACCTAGAACAATACACCTTATTTTCCATAATACATTGTGCACAAAGTGATTCACAGAACAAATGAGATAACTGCAATAAAATATTTTATTACATTATATACAAATGAAAATACCAGTAAAACAATCTAATAACTCAATGAACTATGTCCATTACAAATAACAAACATTATACTTGCATTAAGTAAATTACCTAACAATACATTGCACTCGGAGCAAGAAAAGGAAAGTTAAAATGAAATAGCGATAGAGCATATCTGACAGCTCACTGAAAAAGACTCTGTCACCAGTATCCCGTGGCCTGATGGAAGGAATGGCACCCATATGCCCATGGCTAATCTTCTCCTGGATGTCTCCGTTATAATTAGAAATATTTCTGCATTCTTTGTTATGCATGGTACTTAGGACAGATAAACACTGCAAAAGCAGCAGTTTCCTTCTGAAGGGGCTTGAAGCTGGACCACAGCAAACAGAAGGTGGCTAGATTTTGATGGAAGAATCGTACCTTATTAGAAGTTATCTTATGAAAGACTCTGGGGAGACAAGGCAATAAAAACATACTTAGCCACCAAGGCATTCAAAGTACAGCTTTGAAAATAGATGTTTCCATATTTTGAATCACATAGGCATTTCAATTTAATCTACCATTGGATCAACACACATAGGTTAATTCGATTTTTAGCAGGTAGACTCTTTTCCAGAAAATATTAGTAGCTAGCTTTCCACCATCAGCAGCACCTGACCCCAAGAGGCTATGTAAATAGTATTGCAGCAGCTGAAGAGGATGTTCTCCATTAGGTTTTGGGATGGGGTTTATAAAGTTATATTCTAAAATGTAACACCTGTTCATTCTCCCCCTGTTGATTTTCTAGACTGTATAGTTATAATGGCAATGCTTTCTAATAAAGTGTATTTTCCAATTCATTCAAAGATACAAGAAAACATTTCCATTTTCTAAAAAGAATGAGAAGAAAGAAGAAATTGAAACCAAGAATGTCAAACAAACAAAGACAAGTGATATAAGTCCTGAGCAGGAACCGAAGAATGGAAAAAAGGCAGGAGAATCTCAGCCCAAGCCTGAATCACCAGTGAAATGCTTGGAAGCAGAAGTTTAAGAAATGACATCCAAATGGACTGACCTTAGATGACTAAAAGGCAGAAATTAGCAAATAGTTTATAAGGATAGTTGTAAATGCTGTCAAAGTCGGTGTCATGTACCTCTTATAAACTTTGAATCTATACCTCCTAGCTATAAGTTGTTATTATAAAATATGCAACTCTCCAAATCAGAACAAGTTTCAGTATGCAGATTTTAAGTCTGTTTGGTGTAAATAATTATCAAGTTTTAAGTAAAGGTAAAGGTTTTCCCTTGACATTAAGTCCGACTCTAGGGGGTTGGTGCTCATCTCCATTTTTAAGCCGAAGAGCCGGCGTTGTCCGTAGTCACCTCCAAGGTCATGTGGCCGGCATGAATGCATGGAGTGCCGTTACCTTCCCACCAGAAGCGGTACCTATTGATCTACTCACATTTGCATGTTTTCGAACTGTCAGTAAAAAATATCAAACCAGGAGAAACCTGATTTGAAATCCAAGTTCAAGCAAGGATTCAATGACACAATAGACAATTTCCCCTTTTACAAAGAATTCAATGGAGAGTCCTCTATGTGTAAATTGGGTGGTGATTCAAAACAATTTTCAAACTTTTTCTTTGTTGCGATACCACTTGAAAAAAAACACCCTGCTATAAGTCTAGAAATGACTGCAGACTGCCTCTTTGTGCTGTGTGTTTCATTACATAATTCCAAAAACGGAAGCGTTAAAGTGGAAATAAAAGATCTGATTCACTTTAGAAAAAAATGGGCACACTCTGTGATATACAATAAATCTTTCAGAGAAAATTCACCCAACAGATTTTACTTTGGACAGTTAACTATACAAGGCTCTAGATGCAACGGTGCTTCAACTTTTCTTGAGATTTCCCAGGCATGTACACAAATTAGGATCTGTGGACTCCAGATCTGAAAAGCATTTCCAGAACCAGGACTGTATAACCTCCTGCTTGTTTTATTATTTTCCAACGTATTTGCTATTTACTACAAATGCAGCTACCTGTAAAAACCTATGCAGGTTTAGCCAGAATTTTGTCCCACTGAGTGTAAAGTAGTCTACTTTCTAGTAAATGTTTGGTGCTGCAGTACAAGGTATCTCTGAAACCTGATACATTGCCATATTCACTCATTATCCATATTATTTATTAAAACTGCATGGAAATTAGATAAATCAAGAACTACATAGTTATTACTATACAACTGTCTCAGATATAATCAATCAACTAAACCAGATCTTGATGATTATGGAAGATCAACCTCACAATGGATAATAAAAACTACCAAAATGTATTTGTCATGATTTATGGATATCTTCTAATAACCTAAAAAGTACACAGGATAGGGTGTCATGCTATGCCATAATAAATTGGCTGTGGAATATCATGTAAACATATAAGATCCAAAGAAAGTGTATTAAGGCTCACTTTGGGCCTTCCAAATATCTCTCTAAAATACTATCGGGAAAGGTGTGTGTGTGTGTGTGTGGATGTACATATATGTGTATTATATAAATATAATTGATTTTGGATGTACATGGAAAATCTGAGAGTAAAGTTGGGCTAATACCAAGCTATTTCAACTACTACAAATTATGTGTGGGGAGTTATCAGAAGGGTGGAGGCCAGTTTCTTAAAGATATGCTTATATTAGCATGATTCATTAAGAAAATACAAATGACACATTAACAAAGAATTGCTGTATAGACCAATCGCACTACCAAATCATGATTATAAGACACTAAAGGCTGACATTGACTTCTCATTAGTTAACAACAATTTTGCCAAACAGGTTGAGAAAATACCTGTCTCAGAATATCCATGAGGATCAGCATGGTTTTTAAGACCATATTCATTAGAAAAAGACTTTTATTTTTATTAGATGCAAGGAAAACATTTGATAATATTTCTTGGAACTATTTATTTCAAGTACAGTATTGGGCTCCTCCTTTGGAAGCTTTTAAAAAGAGACTGGATTGCCATCTGTCAGGAGTGCTTTGAATGTGATTTTCCTGCTTCTTGGCAGGGGGTTGGACAGGATGGCTCATGAGGTCTCTTCCAACTCAATAATTCTATGATTCTATGAGAGTGACATAGATTAAAAAATTATTCAAGCAATAAAGATTTTTTTCCCCTGTCAGGAGCAATTTGAGAAACTGCAAGTCGTGCTTAATACCCAGAACTTAGTAAATGGCAATATAACAATATTGACTGAAATACAAAAAGGGACCCGACAAGGTTGTCCCCTCTCACTTTTATTGTTTATTTTGATGTTGGAAAATCTATTGAGAAATATTAGACAAGATAACAGAATCTATGAGGTAAAAAAAAATAACAATATAAGCAATTATATAGGTGATCTTGTGATATTGAGACAAAAATCACTGGACTCAACAAATGCTCCTTTGGTTAAAAATTAAAGTATTTAAAGTGAAAGATAAGAAAATAATATTGCTGACTAAAACTATGACTTCAGAACAGGATAATGAACGAACTACTCTTAAATTTTGAAGTGGAAAAAGAGGATTAAATATTTGAGAGTTATAATCACAAAGAAGTTATTTCAAAACAACAATGTGACATCTGAAAAGATGTGACATCTGGAAAAGTGGAGAAAATTTACATTTATCCCTTTCGAGTTATTTTTTTCCCCACGTCAGAAGCTACTTGAGAAACTGCAAGTCGCTTCCGGTGTGAGAGAATCTGCAAGGATGTTTCCCAGGGGATGCCCAGATGTGTTACCATCCTGTGGGAGGCTTCTCTCGTGTCCCCACATGAGAAGTTGGAGCTGACAGATGGGAGCTCACCCCTAAAATAATATTATTTTGATCCTCCAGATACTTTGGACTTCAACTTCCACTATTCCTTAAGAGGCTGAAGGGGGAAAGGAAGGGGCCTGAGGCTGTTGGGAATGGTGGAAGTTGAAGTCCAAAACACCTGGAGGGCCCAAGTTCGCTCATGCATGAGCTATCTCGACCTACTAATTTGCATATGGTTTCTGATTGGCCAGACTCAACATTCTAACATTCTTACGCGACTGAGGGGGAAAAAGGAAAACACTTGAGGTTGTGAGGAATGGTGGGAGTTGGAGTCCAAAACACCTGCAGGGCCCAAGTTCGCCTATGTTTGGTTTATACACACGTTTAGGTCGAACTCCTTGAAGACGGGTGTGGGCGCTGACATTGTGGATTTTTATACCAGACGTGGATAAATCCTGGAATTACACCTCAGAGATGGGGAAGCACGAACTCAGAACGCATGGCTATGGTTGCCGAATTGTGCTGAAAGAGAAAGGCCTCTTAGAAAGGCTGCAGACCGTTTATGGACCTTTCGAGCTATGAACGATCTTAACGGCAATTACTATTAGCGTACTGATGTAAGTATTGGATCAATGTTTTGGTCTTCTCCCGGGATGGGGTCATTTTTCACTGTTTTCATCGGCGGCGGCGAGAGGCCAAGGCGAAGGAGGCCAAATCCAAGTCGGTCGCCTAGCAACGGGCGGGCGCGAGCGTGGGAGGGGGCGGGGGCGGGGGCGGAGGGAGGGTTGATGACGCGTCACCCAAACGCGACGGGAACCCATCGGGCTTGTCTGTGGCGCCTCCGCGTCGCGCGCCCGCCTGGTTGTCAGGGCGAAGGAGAAGAGGAAGGCCTCGGCGCCCGGAGCGAGGAGGCAACAGCGGCCTGGAGCAGGATGCCGTGGCCCGGGGGGTGAGCTTCCTCGGGAGGAAAGAACGGCTCGCCATTTCCTCCTTTCTCTCCCCTCCCTCCTCCCCCTCTCTCTCCTTCCAGCCTCGCTTCCCTTCTATCGTGATGGCGAGGCGTTGTTGTGATGGCGAGGCCGGTGGGCGTGGCCCCGGGGAGGCGTGGCGCTGCTTCTCCCTTGCCCTTGGGGTTGCCCAGAAGATGGGCAGAGGGGTCGGAGGAAAATGTACACTCCTGTTGGCGGTGTCAGTGCAGTCGCCGTGTCCCTAAAGTAGTGTAACAGGCGCGCCCTTGCGCTTGGGGCCCTGCTCCCGGAGTGGGCGTCTTCCCTTTGTTTTAGGGAACTTTCAACCTGCTCCAGCCCTCATGCCCATCGTACCCCACACAGTTCTACACCACTTCAACTGCCATGGCTCAAAGCCATGGAATCTTGGGAGCTGTAGTTTTACAAGGTCTTTAGCCGCCTTTGCCAGAGGGTGCTGGGGCCTCACCAGATTACAAAACCCACGATCCCGTAGCATTGAACCCAGACAGAGTTGTTTAGAACTGCCTGAATTTTTCAATGTAGGTGCAGCTCCTGTTCTTTTCTGTGGAGCTATGAACTACTGTGACATCTGTCCAGCAGCAATGACCAGAGGTCAGATTTATGGGATCAGTTTTGTTTGTTTGTTTTCACATGGGTGCAAACGAAGTACACTTGTACTTTAAGATCTTGGGTTTTTGATGTCCTGGACAGAACTCACAGTTCTTCCTCATTCAAATGAGTGCCTAGTTAGGATTATTTAGGTTGTTTTTATTTCCATGTGAGAAGCTGCTTGAGAAACTGCAAGTTGCTTCTTGTATAAGAGAATTGGCCATCTGCAAAGACATTGCCCAGGGGATGCCCAGGTGTTTTTGATGTTTTACCATCCTTGTGGGAGGCTTCTTTCATGTCCCCGCATGGGGGGCCAGAGCTGACAGAGGGAGCTCATCTGCACTCGCCTCGGATTCGAACCTGCAACCTGTCAGTCTTTAGTCCTGCCAGCGCAACCTGTCGGTCTTCAGTCCTGACAGCCTACAACTCCCAGCAATCCCAGCCAGTTTACTAGCTGTTAGGATTTCTGGGAGTTGAAGGCCAAAACATCTGGGCACCCACAGGTTGAGAACCACTGGTTTAACCCATTGCGCCACCGGAGCTCCGGATTATTTAGTGCAGTGGCTCCCAACCTGTGGTTCATGGACCACCATTGGTCCCCAAGAACTAAAATATGGTCTGCGGCCTCACCATTACTACATCGTTGCAGCGAGACCCACTGGTCTCATAAAATCCTCATGTAGTGCCGAGGCAACAGGGATGTCTGGAGGGAAGAGGCTGACTACCCACGAAAGACACAACACCAAGCCTCCTGACTGCTGCTTCTTCTCCTCCTCCTCCCTCCCCGGAACATAGTTGTTCCATGTGGTGCCTGGAAGCAGGGGCACCTTGGTATCTTTTTAAGGCTTTTTCCTGGGGTCATTTGGGGTATGATTCAGAAAATTACATTGGATAGGTCACATCAGCTGTAGATTATTAAATTGGTTTTCTGTGAGCGAGCAAATGGCGACTACTGGATGTCATGTGTTTTGTATCAGAAACTAGAGCTGACGTGGTCTATCCAATGCAGTTTTCTGAATCAGCACACCCCAAAAACCAAACCAAATCTAAAGTTGACCAAAAACTGATTCATAACCTTTTTGATACTAATGTTTGAGAGTGATCACTTGTCAAGTGGTCCCTAGTCAAAGTGGTCCCGGGTCAAAAAAAGGTTGGGAACCACTGATTCCCAACTTTCAACTGATCTACCAATCATGCAGTCTACATACAAAGCTGACTTAAACCTGCCCAGATGTAAACCAGGTGGATGTCTGTTTGGAGAGACTCTAGGTTAGGGTGGGAAGCATGTTGTTGTTAGACCGGAACTGCTATCACTCCTGGCCAGCATTTCCAAGAATGAGGAATGTAGGACTTGCAGTCCATAATCTATAGCACGGAACTGTGTTCCGTGAAACTCTAGGGTTCTAAGATCTGCCGGGAAGGCCTTGCTATCAGTCTCATCTCAGTCTCGAGCACGGTTGGTCAAGGTGAGAGAGAAGGCTTTTGGTGGTGGCCCCCCAGCTTTGGAATGCCCTCCCTAAAGAGATCAGGTTAACCCCCATCCTCCAAGCTTTCCAAACACAATTGACAACATGGCTTTTTATACAAGCCTTTGGGACATGATTAGTACTTTAACCACAAAACCTGAGGACATGGTGACTGATTTATGTTAGCACTTTATGGCCTGAGACAGTACACAGCTTGTTTTTATCTGCAGCTCTCTGAGTCTGTTGGATTTTAAGATTGGTAGGGTTATAGTATGCTGTCTTATGTAGATGTATGTTGTTTTTATACAAACAATTGTTGTTTATGTAAATGTATGCTGTTTGTGTTTTTTTGAGCCACCCTGACTCCCTCCGGGGAGATGGTGGCAGGGTTTAAATAAAATAATAGTAGTAGTAGTAGTTATCATTGTTACTATATTCCGCAAAAGCATTCTGGGGGTTCTGCAAAACAATTTAGAAATCAAATTTAAAACT